CCCAATCCCGTTATTTGCGCCAACCAGAATCGGAAATCCGAGCTCGGTGTGAACGCGGCTTTAACTAGATTTTTTGAAAAGCGCGCCGGATTGATCTGGAATTTCGAGCAATTTTGGTAAATGTCACACTGACATTTATTTTCGCGATGGTTAATTTTAAAAGGGTGGAAGTTTTTTGTTTGTAGTTGGCTTTGCAAAAAATTGGGAGCTTCAAAGGGGCGCCACACGAATGACACGCTAGGGGAGACGAGGAATGAGTTAGTGCGAGGTTAAATATTTTCGAAAAATCGACCAATCGAAACATCAAAAAAACGAAAAATGTTATACCGGGTGTCCGGAAAATAGCGGATTAAGTCTTCAGTACGTTATGTACGGGGGTTTCGATTCCAAAAAGAACAATAAAAAAAAATTGGTGGAAGATTATTCCGGTAGGACTTCCCTCGCTTCTGAAATACAATAATACAAATCCAGCTTTTTCGAAAAATTATAAAATTTGATTATGCGAATTTAATGTTTACTTGTAAGATTTCAGAGCAATCGAAGTTATAATACAAAATATTGTTATTCAGTTTTGAATTTTTTCCAAAAATTCTGGATGTCTAGGGTGAAAATTCGACAAAAGTAGTGACTATTTTGTTTTTGTTTAAATGTTTGATTTTCCTATTTCTCGAATTTTCAGTTTTACCATTTTTTTGATTAGTCGAGATTTCGATGTTTCGTTTTTTAATTATTCGATTTTTTTTTAAATAAAATTTTTCAATATTTTCAATTTTAATTTTTCGATTTTGGGCTACTTCGATTTATCGATTTTTTGGATTTAACGATTTTTCAATTTTTCGACTTCCCGATTTTTCCACTTTTGAATTTTTCAATTGTTCACTTTTTCAGTTTTTCGAATTTCAAAATTTTGATTTTTTAATATTTCACATTTTGACGTTCTTAAGTTTTCGATTTTTCTATGAATCAATTTTTGAATTTTTCGATATTTCAGTATGTATTACAATTTAACAATTTTTGGATTCTTCAATTTTTCGATTTTTCAAAATTTCAATTTTTGGGGTCTTTAATTTTTCGATGAATCGATTTTTCGTTTTTTCGATTTCTGGATGTTTCGACTTCTCGACTTTTAGATTTTTCGATATTTTGGTTTTTCCATTTCTCGATTTTTCGATATTTCAGTTTTGATATTTTTTCGGTTTTCGATTCTTCAGTTTTTCTTCGATCTTGCAATTTTTCGATTTACGAATTTATCAGTTTTTTGATATTTTAATGTTTTGATTTCTTAAATTTTTGATTTTTCTATTTCTCGATTTTCAATTTTTAAACTTTTCGAATTTTCAGTTTTACCATTTTTTTGATTACTCGAGATTTTGATGTTTCGTTTTTTAATTATTCGATTTTTTTTTTAAATAAAATTTTTCAATATTTTCAATTTTAATTTTTCGATTTTGGGCTACTTCGATTTATCGATTTTTTGGATTTAACGATTTTTCAATTTTTCGACTTCCCGATTTTTCCACTTTTGGATTTTTCAATTGTTCATTTCTTCAGTTTTTCGAATTTCAAATTTTTTGATTTTTTACTATTTCAAATTTTGGCGTTCTTAAGTTGTCGATTTTTCTATGAATCAATTTTTGAATTTTTCGACTTTTCAATTTCTCGCTTTTTCGACTTCTCGACTTTTTCGATACTTCAATATTACAATTTAACAATTTTTGGATTTTTCAATTTTTCGATTTTTAATTTTTCGATATTTTGGTTTTTCCATTTCTCGATTTTTCGATACTTTGGTTTCTCGGCGTCTTGATTTCCCGATTTTTAGATATTTCATTTTTGGATGTTTCAGTTTTGATATTTTTCCGGTTTTCGATTCTTCAGTTTTTCTTCGATTTTTCAATTTTTCGATGTACGAGTTCATCAGTTTTTTTTTTGATATTTTAATGTTTTGATTTCTTAAATTTTTGAATTTCCTATTTCTCGATTTTTCAACTTTTAAACTTTTCGAATTTCCAGTTTTACCATTTTTTTTTATTATTCGAGATTTCGATGTTTCGTTTTTTAAATTTCGATTTTTTTTTTTAATTAAATTTTTCAATATTTTAAAATTTAATTTTTCGATTTTGGGCTACTTCGATTTCTGGATTTTTCAAATTTTCAACTTCACGACTTTACCATTTTTCCAATTTTAGACTTTTTGATTTTTCAACTTTTGGATTTTTCAATTGTTCACTTCTATTTTTCGATATTCAATTTTTTGGTTTTTTAATTTTTCAAATTTTGGCGTTCCTAAGTTTTCGATTTTTCTATTTTTGGACTTCTCGACTTTTAAATTTTTCGATATTTCGATTTTCTCATTTCTTGATTTTTACATACTTCAATTTTTTGATTTTTTAATATTCCAATTTTTGGGGTTTCCAAATTTTCCATTTTTTGACTCTTAGATTTTTCGATATTTTGGTTTTTGGAGTTCTTCAATCTATCGATTCTTGAATTTTTTGACTTCTTAAATTTTAGATTTTTCGATTTTTTAGTTTTATCGATATTTCGATTTCTCGATTTATCGAAGAGTAAATTTTAAAAAACTTTTTATTGCAAATATTGGAAATGACGTCATCCAGTTGGTGGTGGGGATGATTAGCCAAATTTTAATTAGTATTTAACTATCTACCTGATATTCCTAATATACATACAAAATATGACCTCTAACCACCATTTTTGTTTTGTAATATTGTATTTTTAAGGCTGTTGGGTGCTATATTGAAAATAAATAAATAAATAAATAAATAAACAATCGGTCTAGTAGTTTCGGAGATTACTTGTCTAATAAAAATGGATACAGACAGACAGACAGATAGACGGAAACGGGAGACCACTTTTTTCATACTCTAGAGGTCACAACACGTGGAGAAAACATGAAAGTGGCAATTCGGCCAATGAACTCGATTACTAAATTTCCTTAGCTTACGCTCGGGAATTAAAAATATCTATGATGATTGATGAAGAAAAGGAGGGCGGGTGGGCGGGGCTAGTAACTGCTAAGATAAAACTTTGGCAAATGGCATGCCCTCTAAGAAAAGCTGGGTGGGTGGGCGGGACTAATATCTACTAAAATAAGACTGATTTTGGCAATTTACATACCCTATAAAAAAAGAGAGGGTGGGTGGGCGGGTTTAGTACCTGCTAAGATAAAATTGATTTTGGAAAATGAGATATTTTCTAAGAATAGAGGGGGCGGGTGGGTGGGGCTAGTAGGGTCCCAAAATTAACTCAAGAATACGTGAGGTCAGAATTTTCCAAAAATAGAACACCAAAATAATACACCATGGATACCCAAGAGTCTCCCGAATTAAAAAAAAACCTGCTCAAAAAATTTGTTCAAGTTCATCCAGGTACAAAACACCAGATTTCTTTAAATTTAGCCGAAAATAAAACACCAGGGGACCTAAAATTAACCGCGAACATTTTAAACCTAGGGTTTTGAAAACTTTGACAATAATAATATGTTTAATGACGTCATTCTTTTATTGCTGGGGATGATCAAACAAAATCTGACAATCGGTCCAGTAATTTGACAGTCTAATAAAAATCAAAACAGACGGAAACGGCAGACCTATTGTTTCATACTGTATAAATCATGAAAATAAATAAAATATGAAAGTGGCCAGTCCTTCGATGACTTACGTTCGGGAAGTAGAAATAGTAATCAAAAACACAAAAAGTTTGACGTCAGTGTTCGATAAGTTAACTTATCTAATTCCCCTAAGAACACTTCTAGATTTTCCATTAAGAAAAAAGATTTAAAGTAAATATAAACTTATCTGTCCACGCCCTACAGTAAATATTTAAAATTTCAGGAATATAAGCATGGTTTTGTGTCACATTTGCTCACTTTTTGTGTATTCATAATTCTTAATACAGATTTAATTTTGTAAAAAGTTTTAAAATATTTCATACTTTTTGAGACATTAATTAAACATTCCGGAAGTTTTGTAAATTTATCGCAAATTATTAATTTCGGACTTTCTCGTTGCTCTAACAGTCTCCGCTTTCCCCTACACATTACACCTGATGCAGGCTACATCATTGTCACATCAGAGATAGTTTGCCGCCTCGTCGAAACAAGGGTACAAGCTAATTGTCAAATTTAAATTCCAGTGGCAATTTGATGCGAAAAATAATTATAGACAGTCAAAGCCAACTTAACGTGACGAAAGACACGGTGCAAAAATTCGATATATGATTAGCTCGTCTGTGGTGTTATTTTGACTAACGGTAGCCAAGAAAGAAGTGATAAAAATGACCCACAAAGGCTACTTCCTTCACGCTAGATCAACATTCATTACTAGAAATCTTCCAGTCTTTGCATGATTCATTTTGCTAATTATCATCAGAATCAACACAGCGGTTTTTGTCGGACAGTTCCAAAGAACTTAACAAAGTGGTAGCAAAAAACAAGTAGCAAATTTTTACTAGACCGCTTTTTAATAGGAAGCTTTGAACGTGATTATGTTTTTTGCGCCGTTTTTGTCGTGGACAAGAAGTGGTAAAATTCCCCACGCTACTCCAGTTGTTTTATAATTGAACATCCTCTGGTTACTATGATTCATTTTCTTAATCAGCATATCTATGAAATCGTCGAATCATTATTTCTGCTGTATTTCGTACCAGGTGCATTGAAGTTGACCAACGCCGTACAACCGAAATCAACCTAGAACGAGTTATAAAACTTATCACCCCCGAGCACATTTTTCGAGAAATGCACCCCGCGGCGGTCACGTCGCATTTTTCCGAGACAATGTCGCGCAAGCTGGCTCCCAAAAGGGCGAATTTTCGCGCCGGTGTGAACGCCCCCTTAGCACCCTCGCAATTTCGGAAATCGCAGTCGGCGTGTCAAACTCGAATTTGACACTAGTGACGTTAGTGACGCGCCGAATTGTCACAACAAAATCAATAATCAACAATCCCAAATCGGAGACGGCCTCGCCGCCCCCGGTACCCACCTCTTGACCATTTCTGAAGCCGTCTTAAACAGTTTGCCGGTGATTGTCGGATTCGAAACACATAAAGCGCGCCACTATTTCCAGCGATATTTTTATCACTCGACTCGCTTCACTGGGAGATTCTTCACTGGAGCCGCCGTCTGCTGTTTACGTGACAGCATGATTGGGTATCACTGGATCGCGCACTCACTGGGAGCTGCCGACTCGGATGCACTGGGGCCTGGAGAGTGCCGGTTCACGGGGTTCGGTCTGCGAAGAAGTGCGTTTGCGGGAAAACGTGATGTTCGCGCTCGGAGACGGACTGAATGGAGCACTCTCGACACTTTTCTCGCCAACAATGGCGCGGTTAGACGTCGATCGTGGGGGTCGGTGGGATGTAAACATTGGCCGGGTGCTGCCATCTGCAGGAGCGAGGGCCAAAGAGGGTGACGGGAATGACAGTCGACAGTGGCGGAGGCGCGGGTTTTCCATTTTTCGCGCCTTTTCGACCTGTTTATTAACGTTTTTTTCATAATGAGTGTGCATGTTATCAGTTTTTACTTTCGAGGGTAGGTGTTAATGAAGAACACGTGACTATTTGTGGTTTCTAAGGGGACATAACCTTGGTTGACCTCGGTGATGGACAGGGCCGGCGTCGCCCAATCCATTGACTCATCAACTGAGCTTTTGGCTAAAAATTGTGATATATCGACGAGCTGAATCAAAAAAGATCTTTTAGACATTCGGTTTCAAAATATAATTTTTTGCAAAAATAGCAGAAATTTTCGAAGAAATTAATCTAAAATGACTTCTGGGGTCGGAAAACAAAAGGATATTTCCAGGTTATTTTAGAAGGTACTCTGGAAAATATCAAAAATTTCGTACCTTGAAAAATTGAGCTTTTAGTAAGTTGACTAAAAATTTGCTGCATCGAAAAAGTCTGATTATTGACGGTACTAAAGCAATATTCGGTTTTAAATTATGTCAAAAATACCATAGTTATTTTATTTTGGCCATTCTGGAAAAATTGTAGAAAGATAGCTTCTGAATGTCGAAATCAACAAAAGAATTTCTTTAACTAATTTTCAAAAACGTCAAAATTCTCGGATATTGATTTCGACTAAATCAAAAAACTTTGTTTTGGAGATTTTGGAAAAATGGTTGAAATTTTCAAAGACTTCAAGCCAAAATTAACTTCTGGATGTCGAAATCAACAAAGGAATTCATTTAAGCAATTTTCAAAAATGCTCGGGAAAATGTGAAAAATCTCATGTCGAAAAATTGACCTTTGGAAAAGTTGCCTAAAAATCCACAAAAAATTCTCGGAGACTGATTTCGACAAACTGAATCGAAAAATATGGTGTGTTGATGACTCTGGACAAAGAATTTCTAAACATTCCGATCTAAATTCAAATTTTAAAAATTTCCAAAATTGACAAATTTTATTCTGGAGATTCTGGACAAATGGTACAAATTTTCAAAAACTTGTAACCGAAATTAACTTCGGGACGTCGAAATGAACAAAAGAATTTCTTTGGGTAATTTTCAAAAATGCTCAAAACAATATAAAAAATTTCATATGTCGGAAAAATTAGCTTTTGGAAAAGTTGCCTAAAAATCCACAAAAAATTCTCAGAAATTGATTTCGACGATATGATCAAAAAATACAGTGTGTTGATGACCCCAGATCAAGATTTTCTAAATATTCGGTTCCAAAATCGAATTTTTAAAAATTTCCAAAATTGACAAATCTTGTTCTGGCGATTCTGGGAAAACGGTAGGAACTTCCAGACTGAAGCCCAAATTAACTTTTGGACGTTGAAAGCAACAAAAGAATTTCTTTAGGTAATTTTCAAAAGTGTTCGGGAAATGTCAAAAATTCGTATGTCGAAAAATGAGCTTTTGGAAAAGTTGCCTAAAAATCCACAAAAATTCTCGGAGATTAATTTCGACGAGCTGAATCGAAAAATACAGTGTGTTGATAACTCCGGACGAAGAATTTCTAAACATTCGATTCTAAATTCAAATTTTTAAAAATTTCCAAAATTGACAAATTTTGTTCTGGTGATTCTGGAAAAATGGTACGAATTTTCAAAGACTTGTAACCGAAATTAACTTTGGGACGTTGAAATTAAGAAAAGGATTTCTTTAGGTAATTTTAAAAAATGCTCGAAAAAATGTCAAAAATTTCATGTCGAAAAAATTAGTTTTTGTAAAAGTTGCCTAAAAATCCACAAAAAATTCTCAGAAATTAATTTCGACCAGCTGAATCGAAAAATACAGTGTGGTGATGACTCCAGATCAAGATTTTCTAAATATTTAGTTCCAAAATCAAATTTTTAAAAATTTTCAAAATTGACAAATCTTGTTCTGGCAATTTTGGAAAAACGGTAGGAATTTACAAACTGAAGCCCAAATTAACTTATGGGCGTTGAAATCAACAAAAGAATTTCTTCAGGTAATTTTCAAAAATGTTCGGAAAATGTCAAAATTTCGTATGTCGAAACAATGAGCTTTTGAAAAAGTTGCCTAAAAATCCACAAAAATTCTCGGAGATGAATTTCAACGAGCTGAATCGAAAAACACAGTGTGTTGATAACTTTCGGACGAAAAATTTCTAAACATTCGATTCTAAATTCAAATTTTTAAAAATTTCCAAAATTGACAAATTTTGTTCTGGTGATTCTGGAAAAATGGTACGAATTTTCAAAGACTTGTAACCGAAATTAACTTTGGGACGTTGAAATTAAGAAAAGGATTTCTTTAGGTAATTTTAAAAAATGCTCGAAAAAATGTCAAAAATTTCATGTCGAAAAAATTAGTTTTTGGAAAAGTTGCCTAAAAATCCACAAAAAATTCTCAGAAATTGATTTCGACGAGCTGAATCGAAAAATACAGTGTGTTGATGATCCCGGACCAAGATTTTCTAAATATTCAGTTCCACAATCGAATTTTTAAAAATATCCAAAATTGACAAATCTTGTTCTGGCGATTCTGGGAAAACGGTAGGAACTTCCAGACTGAAGCCCAAATTAACTTCTGGACGTCGAAAGCAACAAAAGAATTTCTTTAGGTAATTTTCAAAAATGTTCTGGAAAATGTCAAAATTTCATGTGTCGAAAAAATGAGCTTTTGGAAAAGTTGGCTAAAAATCCACAAAAAATTCTCGGAGATGAACTTCAACGAGCTGAATCGAAAAACAGTGTGTTGATGACCACCGACGAAGGATTTCTAAACATTCGATTCTGAATTCAAATTTTTAAAAATTTCCAAATTTGGCAAATTTTGTTTTGGTGATTCTGGAAAAATGGTACGAATTTTCAAAGACTTGTAACCGAAATTAACTTTGGGACGTTGAAATTAAGAAAAGGATTTTTTTAGGTAATTTTAAAAAATGCTCGAAAAAATGTCAAAAATTTCATGTCGAAAAAATTAGTTTTTGTAAAAGTTGCCTAAAAATCCACAAAAAATTCTCAGAAATTGATTTCGACCAGCTGAATCGAAAAATACAGTGTGTTGATGACCCCAGATCAAGATTTTCTAAATATTCAGTTCCAAAATCGAATTTTTAAAAGTTTCCAAAATTGGCAAATCTTGTTCTGGCGATTCTGGAAAAACGGTAGGAATTTCCAGACTGAAGGCCAGATTAACTTCTGGATGTCGAAATCAACAAAAGAATTTTCTTTGGGTAATTTTCAAAAATGTTCCCGAGAATGTCAAAATTTCGTATGTCGAAAAATGAGCTTTTGAAAAAGTTGCATAAAAATCCACAAAAAATTCTGATAGATAACTTCTATGAGCTGAACTGAAAAAGACAGCGTATTGATGATCCCGGATTAACATTTCCCAAACATTCAGTTTCAAAGTCAAAATTTCCAAAAATTGGCAAATTTTGTTTTGGCGATTCTGGAAAAATTGTAGCAATTTTCAAAAACTTGCAACCGAAAATAACTTCTGGACGTCGAAACCAACAAAAGAATTTCCTTAGGTAATTTTCAAAATGCTCGGGAAAATAATAAAAATTTCATTTGTCGAAAAAATTAGCTTTTGGAAAAGTTGCCTATAAATTCACAAAAAATTCTCAGACATTGATTTCGACGAGCTGAATCGAAAAATACAGTGTGTTGATGACCCCAGATCAAGGTTTTCTAAATATTCGGTTCCAAAATCGAATTTTTAAAAATTTCCAAAATTGGCAAATCTTGTTCTGGCGATTCTGGAAAAACGGTAGGAATTTCCAGACTGAAGGCCAGATTAACTTCTGGATGTCGAAATCAACAAAAGAATTTCCTTTAGGTAATTTTCAAAAATGTTCGGGAGAATGTCAAAATTTCGTATGTCGAAAAATGAGCATTTGAAAAAGTTGACTAAAAGTAAAAATCCACAAAAATGCTGATAGAGAACTTCTATGAGCTGAACTGAAAAAGACAGCATATTGATGATCCCGGATCAACATTTCCCAAAAATTCAGTTCCAAAGTCAAAATTTCCAAAAATTGGCAAATTTTGTTTTGGCGAAATTGTAGCAATTTTCAAAAACTTGCAACCGAAAATAACTTCTGGACGTCGAAACCAACAAAAGAATTTCCTTAGGTAATTTTCAAAATGCTCGGGAAAATAACAAAAAATTCATTTGTCGAAAAAATTAGCTTTTGGAAAAGTTGCCTATAAATTCACAAAAAATTCTCGGACATTGATTTCGACGAGCTGAATCGAAAAATACAGTGTGTTGATGACCCCCGACGAAGGATTTCTAAACATTCGATTCGAAATTCAAATTTTTAAAAAATTCCAAATTTGGCAAATTTTGTTTTGGCAATTCTGGAAAAATGGTAGGAATTTTCAAAGACTTGTAACCGAAATTAACTTCGGGACGTCGAAATGAACAAAAGAATTTCTTTAAGTAATTTTCAAAAATGCTCCGAAAAAATTCAGAAATTTCATGTCGAAAAAAAAAGTTTTTGGAAAAGTTGCGTAAAAATCCAGAAAAAATTCTGGTAGATAACTTCCACAAACTGAATCGAAAAAAACAGCCTGTTGATGATCCCGGACCAAGATTTTTGAACATCCGGTTTCGAAGTCACATTTTTAAAATTTTCCAAAAATTGACAATTTTTGTTTTGGCGATTCTGGAAAAATTATGGCAATTTTCAAAGACTTGAAGCCAAAAATAAGTTCTGGACGTCGAACCAACAAAACAATTTCCTTAGGTAATTTTCAAAATGCTCGGGAAAATATCAAAAATTTCATATGTCGAAATCACGAACTTTTGGAAAAGTAGCGTAAAAGTCTAGAAAAAATTCTAGGAGATAATTTCTACGTGTTGAATCGAAAAAGACAGCGTGTTGATGACCCCGGACCAACATTTTCTAAACATTCGGTTTCAAAGTCAAATTTTAAAATTTTTCCAAAAATTGACAAATTTTGTTTTGGCGATTCCGGAAAAATAGTAGCAATTTTCAAAGACTTGAAGCCAAAAACAAGTTCTGAACGTCGAACCAACGAAACAATTTCCTTAGGTAATTTTCAAAATGCTCGGGAAAATATCAAAAATTTCGTATGTCGAAATAACGAGCTTTTGGAAAAGTTGCCTAAAAATCCACAAAAATAATAAGATAATTTCTACGAGCTAAATCGAAAAAGACAGCGTGTTGATAACCCCGGACAAAGATTTTCTAAACATTTGGTTTTAAAGTAAGATTTCTAAAATTTTTCAAAATTTGACAAATTTTGTTGTGGCGACTTTAGAAAAATGGTAGGAAGTGGCGAAGTTACATAAAAATCCACCAAAAATTCTAGGCGCTAGATTTAGACGAGCTGAATCGAAAAATACACGTATTGCTGACCCCGACCCGATTTTCTAAACATTCGGTTTTAAAGTCAAATTTTTACAATTTTACAAAAACTGACAAATTTTGTCTAGGCGATTTTGGCAAAATGGCGAGAATTTTCGGAGAAATGACTCCAGTTTCATGTACCCCATGTGTACAGTACATCGACAAAACGCTTTCTTTTAAACAAGAAATCGGTTTGTTAGTTTCAGAGACTGTAATAAAATCACCAACATACAGACCACAACTTTATATGAAGCTATCTCGTTTTATCTATGATTCCAAAGTGTTACAAAACCCCAAGCCTACAATAAATACCGAGTGACTATTAATTTTTGTGATTCAAACTTCTATAAGAACGAAGTAGAGATATTGCGGTACCAACCGAACGTTTTAGAAGATTACTACATGTTAATTTTTGAGTTTTTGTTTGTATTAGTGATAAATTATGGATACATTAGTTCAGTTATTGCATAGTAAATTGTGTTTTAGTTGGTTTGGTCTTTTTGGGTATGCCCCGTGTCATAATCTAATATTTTTTTATCATGGCATACCTGATATAAATAGAAATTTTGAGCTCCAATTCAATTGCCGCCATCTTCGAATACGTCACATCACGTGCTCCGCGCTGTTGCCGGGTCTTGGTCCATCGAGTCCATTTTAGAATTTGAAGGGAAGGTCATATAGCAGTGGCAGCATCGACAAAACATGGGTTTAAGTTCAACGAATACTGAGTTAATAAATAAAGTATAGTCCCTTTATACTTACAAAGAATGTCACTATAGACGTATTGAATGATTATTTACCTGTACTATTTTCACTCGAAGAGTTTTAGACTACGCCGCTGGTAATTTAAGAACGCGCATCTTATGTCATGTTTCATTCTTGACACATGTGACAGTGCTAAAAACTTAAGCATTGCCAACCCAAAAAAAAAAAAAAAACTGCGTCCATCATAAATAGTCACCCGGTATATTTACATCCAAATAAACCTTGATGATTTTTTGTTTTTTTCTGGATTCCTCAACCTCTCCCTTTCACAAACTTGAAAACAGTTCTCCGCTTTTGAAAAATAATTTCCCCCAGAGTACCCCAAAATTTCGGGCCAACCTCGGTCGATTACTACCGACCACGTTAGTCGACCGAGTTTCGGGAAACCCAAGAAATCGCAAGAAACGGTACTAAACGTGTTTGTTTTGATGACTCACCCGCACGTAGTACTCCAAGTCAAATTTCGACTACCACTTCACCACAACCACGTAAACAATCTTTCGTACGCTCTCCCAACGCCAAATAAACAAATCGCGCGAATTCACCTTAATCAAAACAAATATTTGCGCCACCCGCGCCGCGCCATATACAGGGTGTCGTACTCACAGTTTCATCTTTTTGATGTGCATGATGTCGCCCCCTTGCTGCACGGCCCACTCGATCTCGCAGCAGACGTCAATTAGCACATCCGAGGAAATTTCTTGGGGCTTCATTTTCCTCCTGTCCATCACCGTGATCGAAGCGCGCGCCAATAACAAAATCACGCAAAATCTCGGAGGAGCGACCCATTCTGGTCGTCTTGTCGAGACATGCGGGGTTTTGCGCCAACAGGTTAAAACAAAGCGACGACTGCACACAAATGCGAAGTGTTGCAGGATTAAAGGCACTTCCGACTGAGAAAGAAGTGCGCTATTGGCGGGCTAGATACTGGGAGATGATTCAGCGCTCGACGTCCACCAATCTGACGAGTCTGGACTTGTTCAAAATGCGGCAGTGGTGTGGAGCGTGGAGTAGGTCAGGGAGATTGACTCGGGAGGAGGAGAAAGGAGGAGGTGATGCAACAGTGGGTGATGTGGTGAAGAAGTGGACAAGAAGTTTAGGAAAATGTGTCGTCGAAAACAGTGATTTGTTTTTGTTATGTTAGGGGAACAGGGCCGTACCACCGCCATTTTGAGTGCCTGATTTTCTAATCTCGGTAAGTGCCAAAATTCAAGTCAAGACTTTTGTTAAGTATGCTTGAAAACAAATCAGTCAAAAGTACTAGTTTGACAGTTGTCAAAGTACACTGTCTTTAGAAATTAGAGCACCTTTCAGAATTTTTTACATGTGGGTTGGCCATACTTATGTAGACTATCCCTAACAATATAAAACGACCTTTAGCAATTTTAGTTAAAAACTGCCTGAATTATTTGACAAGTTGACAGATATGGTTGTCATTTTATGTTTTTATGTACCGAATCAATGTATAAATTTGAAAACACTAGACGCGCTTTTGAGATGTCAATTATTTTGAAATATACTCTATATGTAGCAATATTTCTACAAAAATGGCTCAATTTTTTGTCAATAATAATGACTAAGCGAAATATTGTAACGTGATTTGTGTTAATACCATTATTCTTCCCTTTCATGAAGATGGAGTCGTCATATCATTTTAAATTCCTAGTACTTCAAATATTTGCCATGACAGGCAACCTCGATAAAAAAAAGTTTATATGAATAGTATTTGCTAAGATAAGACTGATTTTGGCAAATGATATAAAATCTGAGAAAGTAGGAGGCGGGTGGGTGGGACTAACACTTGCAAGGATGAGATTGATTTTGCCCCTATTAACCTTGTAAAAACTTGTTAAATTTAAAAGGTGTTAAACTGCATATTTCCGTAGTAACGAGTTAAATTCCTAAATCTGATTGGATATTTATTTTTTAACAACTCAGTCATTAATTTTTCTGAGACGCCCTGTATACGCAAATTTAAAAAATATAAATTATATGTGACAAGTAAAAACTTATCATATTTTGCACACTTCGGGTAACCTTAGCAATTTAACTCGTTGCTATGAAAATTTGCAATTTAACACCTTTAAATTTCACAAGTTTTTACAAGATTAATAGAGGCAAAATCAGTCTTATCTTACCAAGTACTAGCCCCGCCCACCCGCCCCCTACTTTCTCAGATGATATGTCATTTGCCAAAATTAGTCTTATCTTACTAAGTACTAGCCCCGCCCACCCGCCCTATATTTTTTCAGAAGATATGTCATTTGCCAAAATCAGTCTTATCTTAGCAAGTACTAGCCCCGCCCACCCGCCCCCTATTTTTTCAGAGGATATGTCATTTGCCAAAATCAGTCTTATCTTACTAAGTACTCAATTGTGGTTAATTGGGACTCAAAAATAATTATCGATAATTAATTACAGTCGAAATAGAAAATTCATAATTCCATTAACATTATTCAATTCAATAAACAAATTAAGTCACTAATTACTTGCAACGATTCTTTGTGAATCGTTATTAACAATTACTTAAATATAATTACGGCACCCTAATTAGTTAATTAATTAATTCGTTGATAACCCATTTTACATATTTAGTATGCATAATAACTTTTATGTTGTCAGTATTATTATCAGAATTAAAGGCATTTAAACACCGCTAATTTCGGTAGCATTCTACATTTATCCAATTAAATCTAATAATTAATTATTTTTAATTCAATAGTTTTTGTTTAAGTACAATTAATTACTAATTAATTTATGACATAAATGACAATCAGGAGCTAATTTAGCAGCACTTTGAGTTCTGATCTATTTCCCAATCAAAAATGTACACATAATAAATAAAAAAAAAGAAGGTATTTTAATCGATTTATTCCAGAAATAACACGTCTAATTTCCATAAAATCCTAGAAACTTCAAAAATTTGCTGACGTCGATTGGAAAAATCGTCGTCTTTAGTAAATCTCCACGAAAACTGCATAGAGCGGGGGCAACATTTCGTAGGTACGGCCCTGTCGTTCCATCAATTTTCTCCTAGGGAATTTTCATTCTCAACTGTCACTTGAATCATTGGTTGCATTGCGGCCAAGTTCCCGCCAATTTGTTGTTATCGAACAATCGCACCCGCAATTACCAGTTTTATTTTAAATATTTTGCACAAACAACTAAATGGAAGGTTTCGACGACCCCGGAGTCTTCTTCAGCGACAACTTCACAGCCGGTGAGGACAATCAAACAGACCCCCAAATCAACCTTCAAGCTATAAAGAAAAGATTCAAGGAGTTCCTCCGACAGTACCATTCCGACAATTTCAACTACAAATACAGGTAGGTGTGTTTACAAACCCCTTTACGAAACACTAAAGACCGAAATCTGCAGAGACACGTTAAAACGCAACTACAACTTGGGCCAGTTCTATCTCGAAGTCAACATTGAAGATGTGGGCGGTTTTGACGAAACTCTGGCTGATAAACTGTACAAGCAACCGTCGGAACATTTGGCTATTTTTGAAGAGGCGGCCCGAGAAGTGGCTGATGAGCTTACAGCGCCAAGACCTGAGGGAGAAGAAGCGGTCGAAGATATTCAGATTATGTTGTCTTCAGACGCTTTACCGACGGTGTTGCGACACATGAAGGTATTGTTGGAGTACCTTGAATCTAACTGTTGTTATTTGTTTGGTTTGTAGTCTGATATTGTCTCAAAGTTGGTTAAAATACCGGGAATTATTGTAAGCGCGTCTGGGATTAAAGCAAAGGCGACGAAAATAGCGATTCAGTGTCGGTCTTGCGCTAATGTTATTCCTAATTTACCCGTGAAACCCGGTTTGGAGGGATATGTAATGCCGAGGAAGTGTAACACGTAAGTAAATTGATTTAGTTGTGAAAGTACATTGAATGATGTGATGATAGAGAGCAGGCTGGCGGACGCCCCAAGTGTCCCTTGGACCCCTACTTCATAATTCCAGACAAGTGTAACTGCGTCGATTTTCAAGTCCTCAAACTCCAGGAGCTTCCAGACGGGATCCCCCAAGGGGAAATTCCTCGCCACTTAACTCTTTATTGCGACCGCTACCTGTGTGAGAAAGTCGTCCCAGGAAACCGCGTTTTTGTCCTGGGGATTTACTCCATCAAAAAAGTAGCCAGAACTGGAAGGGTAATTCATTTTTCAACAATAATAAAATTTGGCTTGACTCATTTTTGTAGCGGGATGATCGCGACAGAGGGACTACTGGTGTGAGGGCCCCCTACATCCGCGTAGTCGGTATCCAGCTCGACTCCGAAGCCATTGGAGCCTCCTCGTGCTCCATCGTCACCTCAGAAGAAGAAAACCTCTTCCGGAGATTAGCTGAATCCCCCAATCTTTATGAGAGAATCGCCACTAGTATAGCCCCTTCTATTTTTGGCGCAACCGACATAAAAAAAGCCATCGCTTGTCTTTTGTTCGGGGGCTCCCGCAAGCGCCTCCCTGACGGTTTAACCCGCAGAGGCGACATCAATATTCTTCTATTGGGTGACCCCGGTACTGCCAAGTCCCAGTTGTTGAAGTTCGTGGAGAGGGTGGCCCCCATAGGGGTGTACACTTCGGGCAAAGGGAGCTCCGCTGCTGGCTTGACGGCGTCCGTAATGAGGGACCCCAGCACGGTGCGACAATTAATCGTTACCACATTATGTTCTGACAATTTTTTTTCTAGAGGAATTTTGTAATGGAAGGAGGCGCCATGGTGTTGGCCGACGGGGGTGTTGTTTGCATCGACGAGTTTGATAAAATGAGGGAGGACGACAGGGTGGCTATTCATGAGGCTATGGAGCAGCAGACGATTTCGATTGCTAAGGCGGGGATTACGACGACTTTGAACTCGCGGTGTTCGGTTTTGGCGGCGGCGAATAGTATTTTTGGGCGGTGGGATGAGACCAAGGTAGGTATAGTCTGAATGCTGATAGATTGACTGACAGAAAAGTTAGTAGAAATTAAGGAGCGCGCGAAAATTTAAAATTTAATTTTTTTATTTAAAATTTTGCGCACTACTAAATTTTAATAAAGCAATTAATTTTGAAGAAACTTTACAGCATTCTAAATAAAGTATGTTTAATCTCTTATAATTCGAGATATCTTATTATTAAGGTCTTAATTTTTAATTTAAATTGCTATACAAGAACTTTGTTAATAGAACTTTATTTCTTCATGTATCATTTTCAGCAGAATTAAAATCGCTATCACTCTCATCTGTCTCTACGTTTAAATTTATTATAATATTATTTACTTTTACAAACTTTTCTTTGTCCCAATAGGTTTTAATAATATTTTCTGTATGTTTAACATAGCTTTTCCATTGTTCCGCTGTTACATTTTGTAGGGCTCGGTTCCAGGCATCAAGTGGGTTTTTAGATTTTAAAACGTCTTTGTCGTAGAAACGTTTTGTTTGACTCCATACCATCTCTATGGGATTAAATATACAATGGTATGGAGGCAAACGTAAAACATCATGACCAGCTGCAGTAATAATATTGTCTACTACATACACTGGATTTTTATAATGAGCTTTACATAGCTTTAACAGTGTATCTTTTTTATGCAACTCTGAAAATGCGATACAGTTCTTTTGCAGCCACAATTGAAGATCAACTTTTTTCCACGCCGTTGTAGGTCGCTTTTCTTCAAGTCGACTATGGTAACTGGCGTTGTCTAAGACTATTATACTAGGTTCTTCCAGTTTTGGTAACAAATCGTTTTGCAGCCACTTTTCAAAATTTTCAGCGTTCATTTCGTGATGATAATCCAGTGTGTTGTTTTTACTTTTAAATATAAGAGAAGCATTTGCTACAAATCCTTCTTCGTTACCAGCATTGATTATAATATATCTACCTAAAATTGTTTTGAGGTAACTTCAGTATTAGACATAAATGCATTGATCCTGTATTAGCCTAAATTAAACTCAGTGTAGTAGATACTCTACCGCCGTCTCCAGAAGTTCTTTTGACAGAACGTAGATCCTCATCCTGCCATGATCTCCTAACGGTTCCATTTGAAAATACCCAAGTTTCATCCAAATATATGAAAGGTTTTTTCTCTGCAGAATTATTAACATTCTCCATATATTTTGATAGAAATACTTTCCTCAGCGCTACAACATGTGGTTTTTCCATTAAAGCACGTCTGCTATCATCTTTTTTGTATGAAAATCCCAAATTCTTTAATAGAAGTGCTAAACTAGATCTTTTATATGTGTAGATAAATTTAGCTGATAATTCTGCTACCAAGGTATCCAAATTTACATGAATTCCTAGAACAAATTTAATGTAATTAAAATTTATTGTATCTATTTGAACTGAATCTCTGGGAATCTATAGAATAGTTAAGTTCAAATTCTAGTTGGAAGAAAATTGCGTCAGAAAAGTTAAATTTGATGTAAGTCTTACTGTTTTGCACCATATCGTACAATACAAGACGAACTTCTCGTTTGATGTTTGGATCCAGGTCAGATGTTGCTTTTTTTGGACGTTTTCGTTTTATTTTTCTTGCAGTTGCATCAGTAAAATTTTTATACTTTATTACTTGGTTCCTACTAATTCCGAGACATTTAGCTGTGATCTATAAACATTCAAATACCCATAAGAAACCATGCATACAACTGCACAATTTGTTGACCTCAGCTGGCGATCCCAAGCATAGATTTTTATTTTTGAAGAAAGCGTAAGCATTTGCAATCATCTTTTGCGCCACAGTATTGTCTATTACTGTTAAGTAATTTCGCTTCATTTGGTTTTCCTAAAAAATATACACATGAAGCCTTTTAAATAAGCCATCATACACTTACCTGGGCAATATTACTCATTATTAGATCGTTATTGTTTATGGAGTTTATATTTTTGTCTAGGTAGGTTTGTATTTACCCACAACACTAGTTCACAGATAATTTTAACTTACCTTACAAATATCATAATAAACACATCACTATACGATTAATGTAACCCAATACAAAAATCTAAAGCACAACACAAATTCTAAAAACCCGAAAAAATGTAATTTTTAATTTAAACGATTGAAACCAACGCATGCGCGTCTAACCTCAATGACATCTGTCAAAAAATTCAAGGCTGCAATTCACCAAACTACAATTCGCGCGCTTAATTCTGGGGACTTTTGTGATCTATGGATATTTAAAATAGTTGAATCTATCACTGGAAATACTATACAAAAACACCATTGACCAGATTTTTATCACAGTTGTGTGTCTTATTTACAGGGTGAGGAAAATATAGACTTCATGCCCACAATTCTGTCCCGTTTTGACATGATTTTCATCGTAAAAGACGAACACGACCAGCAACGCGACATGGTACGTTACAGCTAAACCCATAATACCCATTTAACCTGAAGCTTCTAGACTCTAGCCCGCCACATCATGGGCGTGCACATGAACGCTGGTCAAGTCACCCAGGACCCCAAAGACGGCGAACTGTCGCTCGAATTTATCAAAAAATACATCAACTTCTGTCGCACGTAAGTCACGTTCTTTGTTGCCAGGCAAGTCCCTAACTCAGGTTAAAGAAAACACCTTTCAGCAACAAAATACTTTATTTTTGGTGTAGTTGAACCTATTTACAGGCGCTGCGGCCCCCGGTTGAACGCCGAGGCCGGCGAGAAGCTGAAGCGGCGCTACGTGATGATGCGGTCCGGGTCTAGCCAGCACGAGAAGGAGCGCCGCAGCACCATCCCCATCACCGTGCGCCAGCTGGAGGCCGTCATCCGCATCTCCGAGAGCCTCGCCAAGATGCAGCTGCTTCCCTTCGCCACCGAGAGCCACGTCAACGAGGCGCTGCGCCTCTTCCAAGTGTCCACGCTGGACGCCGCCATGAGCGGCAACCTGGCCGGTGAGTGCCGCTTTTGTCGCTTCTTTGTCACAGCTGTCCGTTCCAGGCGGCGAGGGCTTCACCACCGAGGAGGAGCACGAGATGCTCGGTCGCATCGAGAAGCAGCTGAAGCGGCGCTTCGCCATCGGCACCCAGGTCTCCCAGCAGAACATCGTGCAGGACTTCACCCAGCAGCAGTATCCGGAAAGGGCGGTGCTCAAGGTTATCTACACTATGATTCGGCGAGGGCAATTGCAGCACAGAATGCAGCGCAGGATGTTGTATCGCATCAGTTAAAAGAGGGTTGTGAAGGCATCGTTTATTTCTTTTTTTAATAATAACAATAATTACCAACCGTCGATTCTTTGCTTGAAGGGGTACTCGGGGTGGCGCTCGACGCCTTTGAAAAAGAGGAAGTCGAAGATGCGCCCGTTCTCGTCGCGGTCGAGGGCGTTGAGTTCTTCGAGGTCTTCGGCGGAAAGCTCGAAGTCGAAGAGGGCGATGTTGGTTTTGATTCGGTCGGGGTTGCCACTCTTGGGGATGACGATGATGTCTTGCTGGATGAGGTGGCGCAGGAGGATCTGGCCGGGGGTTTTCTTGTATTTTTCGGCGAGGGCGCACACGCAGGGGTGGCCCAGAATGTCGGGAAAGTCGTCAATGCTGGAAGGGAGCATCATTTTAAATATCGTTTTCGGGGATCTGGCGTGGTTCCGCTGCTTTTTATCTCGTTTACGACTGACATTACGATTTTAATTATGTACAATTCCACGTCTCCTTGGAACTTGGAGTTTTTTCTGGGGGTATTGCGAACTCAAAATTTTCCGTCTCGATGACGTAATGGCATTTCTGGGCGTCTGAGAATTTTAAAAATCGCAGACATTGTTTTTCCTGGCTTGGAAATTTAAACATGCCAAGTTTGGTGGGTTATTATCGACCCTTTATTATTCTAATTTTAGTAATCGCCGGTCTTCGCCAATTGGAAGTGTTTCAAAAAATTTTTAAAAATTGACCCGCTAGCATCGTGCGGAAACCTATACAGGTAAAATTTTGAACTATGAAAATTTGCGTGAACGCCACTGCGTAATAGTACGAGTAGTTACGTCGATTAAATTACACTTTTTCGGGTTAAAAAAGTGCACACAGAATTATACTCACGAGTAGTTATATTTCGAACTAAAATGCTTATTGGCCCCCGGACTTCCCAGTGGCGCGTACGCCGTCACCGCGATACCCAGACTCTTGCACAGCGCCCTCAGCTCCTTCTGCTGCAGATAAGCGTGCAACTCCACCTGGAGCACCGCCGGCTTGATCCTCGCGCATTTATAAATCCTCTCGATTTGACTCTGATTGAAATTCGACAAACCTATCGCTTTCACCAACCCTTGTTCCACCTGCTCCTCCATCGCCTAAAAATTTCCATCAACATTGTGCAACGCGAACCAACATCGTAAATCTTCACCTGCCACGTGGATATGATGTCACTGTCGTTATCCAAACTGAACGTCCCGTCTTCGTTCGTCAGCGGCGTAAAGTTGCCTTCGTTACAATGGAAGCTAAACGGCATATGAATGAGATACAAATCCACGTAACTCAACTGCAACTTCTCCAAAGACATCTTCAGGAAGCGACTGACATCAGCGGCGCGGTTGCCGCAGTTCGGGAGCTGCAACAACCCCACTTGAGTCGAGAAAGAGCGACTCGAGCCTCACCTTCGTCGTGATGAAGAGATCCTCTCGCTTGCCGTTGCCCTCGCGGAACCACCGCGTCAGCACCTTGCCGATGGTCTCCTCCGTGTTGTAGTTGAAGGCGGTATCTGCGTGTTTCGTGCAGTCGTGCGTCCGCAGGGTTTGCGATCTACTTACCGATATGTCGGTAGCCGGCTTGGAGGGCCGCCCAGACGGCCCTTTCCACCTCCTCGGGTTGCGCCCGCCAGGTCCCGAGACCTACGATGGGCATTTCCAGGACTTGGTTCAGCGTCGTTAGCTTTAGGGACCTCATTGCGGAACGGTCGACGCTCAACTAAGAGTTTGTAATTAGGTGATGATGCTATTTATACGAAAGTTGCAAACGAACTTGACACTATTTTTAGATTGTCAGATTTTTTCGACCGATTTGTTTACGATTTTTGTTTTGAGTGGTGTCGGGATGTGGAGGGCGGTTTCGGGGTTAGGATTTTATCGATCGGGGATGGGGTGTGGGGGGCGTTCTGTTCTGGAAAAGGTATTTTTGGAGGAGATTGATTGTTGGCATCGGAACGATCGCGGGGTTTGAGGGGCGGTGGGTGATTGTGGGGGAGAAATGTGCAACTGGAAACAAGAAAACTTGAAACAGGTTGTTATCACTTCCGGAGGAACTACGAAAAGAAATTCAGGCGGAAATCGCTGATTGCAGAAAAAAATACAAAAAAGGTGGACAGACTATTATTCTACATAATTATTAAAAAAAAAGAGAGAGACATATTTATTGAAGGAGCAGCGTTTTTCTTGTTACTCCAGTGGAAATGCTTTGAAAATAACACATTAATAAGACGTCGCAGTAGATGTAAAGGCGTTCAGACGAGTCCAGTTGCGAATTGAGGGGGAGGTAACTTCGTCAGCATCAGCGGCGTTCGTTATTCTCTTTTACGATTACTTCGTGGTTTAACCGAACGATGTTTCGTTTCTAAAGGATTTTTGTAGTTTATTTTTCAGCTCTTTTCAGAACTGCAAAAAATATCGTTTTTGGAATGCCCCTAGTGTAGAATGTGAATGATACGCCTCTGGTCAAAGTTTAAGTGAGTGTATTGACTCGAGTTCCTATGTAGTACGCTAATATATACATCTGGGTTGTACATCTTGTAGAACACATTTGAATAGAAGTGTAAAATGAACAAACTAAAAAATAGGTCGAAAATATAGCGACAGAATGCGCTTAAGGTTATGCTCTCATTTTACGCTGTATTGTTGGTTGCCTATCTACAATAGACAAACTTGGGATGCAGCCATTTTAGAACTGAAACAATGAGAATTAAAATAAGAAATTGCGTTTTGCAACGTAATTACTGCACACATTTTTTCGTCGCTTTTTACGTGTATCCCTTTAACTTAACAAACTTTTTTGATCACAGTTGAGTGTGACATACGCCGAACAGTTGGTACCTCTGACTGGAAAATGACATTACACCGAACCCAAACGAGTTCGTTTAGTACAACATGGCTCGTGCCACATTAATTTCCAAGTGTTAGTAAATTTTATTTTCTGTCGCAGTTTTAGTAATTTCAGGATCTTGAACTTGCCTTGAGTCAAACGCAAAATGAGCAAGCGTTTCCCAGACCTGAAGTTTTTATTAACAACTAGCATATACATTATTATTATTTGTTTTTGTTATAAAATCTGTCTTATTCAGTTGGAAAGACAACCATGCGCATCCTCATAACTTGATGTTCTCAGATAAACGTGATATATTAATGATTACAAGTGTTTGTCTAACCTAATTATACATATCGTCTACAGTAACTTTGAATTGTCACGATCGCCATCTCGTCCGTCGTTCGCACCGCACCACACCGCACCCACCCTCTCGCCTGACACTCACTCCGAAAAAAAACACAACTAAACTGTATCACGCGTATCGTTTAGCGCCAACCGCACTTTGAACTTAACCGGCCCTCGACTATGTACAAAAGAAGATCTATAACGCAAGTATACAAAAATATGTATGAAAAATAACTCTATGGCGCGCACACCCAAGTTTGAAGCCAAAGTGCGTTGATGACGGCAAACTACATATCCTTATGTAATTTCGATAGTCTCGACAGAGTCAGAGTCACTTTACACTATGTATTCGTTTCACTGAGAAGGGTACTTCTGCACAGTGCTGTACATAACCGGCACGTTCGGTTGTTGTCCGGGCTGCGCGGTCCACTGTCCCTGCTGGGGCATCATGCAGTACTGCTGCTGATACTGGTACTGCTGGTACGGATAGCCTTGCATGTAGCCCCCGTAGCCCTGGTACCAGTAACCGCCGTAGCCGTACGAATAGGGCTGCGCCTGAGCGCCGGGCGCCACCGCCGCGCCCGCCGTCATGGCGGCGGCCGGGTCCGCCCCCATGCCGCCGTTCTCTTTGCCCCAGAAGCACTTCACCATCTGGCCGTTGATCTCGGTGTTGTGGACCGTCTCGATAGCGTGCGTCGCCGATTCTTTGGTCGCGAACTTTATGAAGGCGTAACCTTTGTCTTTGAACACTCGGATGTCTTGGATCACGCCGAACTGGGAGAACGTCTTCTGCATGAGCTCCTCGGTCAGGCCGTTGGTGAAGCCGCCGCAGTACACCGTGCAGTTGGTCGGGGAACTTTGGTTGTACACCTGGAAGCGAACGAAACGATCACCAAAAATTTCCTATTGTCGATAATAATTATGTAACAGTACATAAATCAGAAGCGTATCCTTGATTTGGATTAACAAAGACTGCATGGTGTTTGTTTATGAAAACAAAATCTACTCGAGTACTTCGGTTGGGTCACGACCTCACAATAACAGTTTTTTTGTCGACAAAAAGTAAATCGATACAAAATAATGTATCATCAGTTTTCGATACGTTGTTTCATAAATTAAATTATTTTTGTTTGGCTACCCCTTTTCGAATTTCCTCAGGGCTCTATCACAGTTCTGTTATTTTTCATTTTTTTGTTAACGATCACGACATACAGAGGTTTTGTACAGTCAAAGATGGCTTGATTGATGACTGAAGTCAACACAAAACACGTAACAAGGATTTAATTTTGTCTATTTGATAGCGAATTATCTTTTTATCTCTTTGTTTGATACCGGTAATCCTATACAGAAATCTTGATTTTGTTACAAAAAGCTTAGTGTGTCCAGAAATATCGGGTTTCCAGGTTTTACGTTTCAGAGAGGAACCGTTGTTTATTACTGAGATGAAACCTGACATTTCCGGGTTAATTATAAAGGAATTAAAACATCGTACGGGATACTTAGAAATTTTAAGGATACTTTTGTGTTAAACTTACAATAAACATGTTCTTTTAGCTCAATTTTTTTTAAGGAGAATTTTGAAAAACATTAACGCTTATTTAGCGATTAATTAACTAAAACATTAATTTATTCACCTCTTTCGGAAAGTTGATGACGTCATGGTCGTTTTGTATTTAGGTGTGCAGGATTTTAAAAAATTAAACTCGTTATTATTAGTTTTGAAATGGCTCTGATTATTTCAAATTTGCGAAACGAAGTTGCACTCTAATTAGTGTTATTGCAATTAATATATTTGTTCCCATAAAAAGTTGGTGACGTCATCACGAAAAAAAAGTTAACTTCTGTATACAGAGTGCTACTTTTAATTTTTCGGGTGACAGATAAACGGAAGTAAAATAGTGTCACTTCGCCGGATGTCTGTGAAATGCTTTTCTTCGCGTTTCACAGGCCACAGAATACAACAATGCGGAGTTCCATTTCCGGTTTATCTCTTTATCATTTGTTGATTTTATTAGAGAAATCAAACAATCTCGAAACGACTCAATCCTCTACATCCAGATTTTAAGTGCACTTGAAGATTATTACGTAAAATAAACAAAATTTGTACAGTTGGTTTGTTCATTTGTTCATTCATTCATTCACAAACATCCAAGACTTTCTATTTAAAATTTATTTATTCATTCATCCCTTTCCGGAAGTTGATGACGCCACCACAAAAAATTATTAATGAAAAGTTACGTTGTAACTGGACTGCTCAGGGTTCATTTTACCAACAACATTGTTAGTTAATTGCTACGAAAATGGTAACAAATCACATGTCTCCACAATCTGGACTTTAATTGAGTATAAAAATCATATTTCTGATAACAATTTTCTATTTTGTTCTTAATATTAGACCCGTATGAACGAATATCGACTGATAATTTCGATTACAATTCGTGCTTTTCTGTTTAGATGTTTATCCATATTTTTCATAATTCTGGGAAACTCTTATCATCTGTCCTACTACTATCTAATCAAAATTAAGTATTACTTCAATAACACGATTAATAATTCGTAAAGGAAATCATTGTTTTGGCAGATTAAGTTATGAACAATAACATTCGACTAGAATAGACTGCTTATTACTCAATTGCCACAACAATGATATCTTCTTTTCCAGTCGTATTCAGATTTGTTCGAATTAAACTACGCCAGATAAGAACGACTTCAGCCGCGACAATTTTCATATTTAAAAAGAGCATCAAACAGATCAACAGGGTCAAAAAAGCCCCGAACATCGACCTACCTGTTGCAGAATTTAATCCATAGTAGTTTACGCATCCGGACTAATTTTAATCTCAGTCTCGTTTCGTTTCTTGAGCGATTTATCGCAAAAAAAGTGCGAATTACTTCTGATTAAAATAAATTGTTCGCGATGTGCCAACAAACAAAAATAGGGTTAGAATCGGCAGTGCCGTAAAACATAAAATAGTTTAAAAATAGAAGGCTCGCACTTCCACGATTTACATTATTCGATAAACAAACTAATGAAGTTTGCTGACAATTAACTCAAGATTACGCATCTTACCCTCGATAAAATTCCAACAGTAATCTCTGACGTCTTCATAAAATCGCAGACAAACAAAAGGCAATTTCGTCGAATTTTTTACGCTTTTTAATAAACCGCGAAGATTCCGACTCGATTGTTACGCGGGCTTCGTTTCGAGTTGTTTTAACATTTGCGCAAATGAAGTTTCTAGATAAAAAATTCGTAAGCTTAAAATTGCTCGCTAGAACCGAGTGAATACCGTCCCAGTTGGACAAATATTATTTTTAAGAAAATTATTTCGCCGGAGCAATTTAAACGGTCGTTGTAAAAATGGCCCATTGTTAGCGGACACAGGAATGTGTGTTCAATTGAACTAAAAATGCAAGGTTAACTCGATACGTTATTAAAACCCGGGAAGTAATCGTGTGAGCGTTTTCGTTTAAAAGTTTTATTTCCCGAATTTAATGAAACAGAAGTAATTTCTCTGGCAATAAAAATTCATTTCGATGTTATCAACTCTGGATAAAAATGATGTCATCAGTTTTTTGAAGCGGACGGCCGACAAATAAAAACATACCCTCTAAATTATCTAGCAACATTTTAAACCGATTATTAGAGTGAAAGTTCACACAAAAAACAAAAATAACCACACCACACTCGCAACGTCATTTCTGATTTTAAGACAAACAACAAAAACAAAACTTGGTAAAATTCCCGATATTACTCGAGCGTTTTTCGCCTAATAAAATCCCAATTCGTGAACGACGCTTCTTTCGCAGATTTTAGAAGCGAAAGTTCTTAATTATTAACTCAATTACAACGAATGCATAGTTAAAGATGCCAAATTATCTTAATCGCTGTGAACGTACCGCTAAAAGTGCTTGTTCCAATTTAATTAATTACAGGTGGGTGCAACATCTTTGTTTTATTGTAAACATTTTAAACATAATTATAAATCAACAGATCAAACAATCTTAACGCAGCCATAAATAAAATGACGTGTGTTGATTTGTTGCATTTCGGTTTTCGTTAAAAAAAAGATCAAACAATGAAACGTTTTTAATTAAGAAAATTCCAGGGCGTCTAACATGTAGGTAGGAGTGGGCGTAATTTTACAGCAGCCTGGAACTTTTAATAGAAGAATGTCATAACAAGAAAATTGGTTTTGGGGAAAAAGACATTAAAACGACAACACACATTGTCGGATACCTCGTTTTCTGTGGACGCCTTCATCACAAAGCTCTTTTAAGTACACTGACCTCGTCAAAAGTTGGCTGCTTCGCCCTCTGCGAGGGCCTCTCCGTTTTGGGCGGGGGCGGCTTCCTCGTCGACCAGTTGGTCCGGATGGACCTGGAGCCGAGCCACTGGCCGTTCATCGCCTGGATGGCGTTCTCGGCCTCCGCCTTCTTGACGAACGACACGAAAGCGTAGCCCTTCGACTTGAGCGTCTGCGGGTCCCGCACGATGCGGCAGTTGGAGATCTCCCCGAAGGGAGCGAAGGCCTCTCGGAGGGTTTCAGTCTCTATTTCCGGCGACAGGTCGCCCACGAAGATGTGGTGGTGGTTGGAGGTGTCCTGCTTCGGCTGGTTGCCCGGGCTGGTGGCCCAGTTCACCTGAACGACACAAAAAATTAAAAGTTAAAATTTTCTCTTTAAGCAAGTGCGACGATTGAGAAAAAATACAAGATGAGACCATGTCTGGAAGATTGTAATAGAAAATGTTTCAGAGAGTAGCAAGGTAATGGGAGACCGATGTTTTCGTATTCTACAAGCTGTGAAACCTGACTGCCTCTACTACAATAAACACTTCTCTCAGCTCACGCTTGAGAAGCAAAATTGAATAAATACATACAATAATTAAAAAAATTGGTAATTTCGTTGAAAAAATGGAAGTTGTCAGTTCAGGTTAAACTAGAAATGCTACAATCAATTGTATTTTTTTAATTCTGCTGAAAATATTTGATAAATGGGCATTTCAAAAACTGGAACACTCCGACAACAACAATAGCAATTACCCTCCTACGTAAATTAATAAATTATTTATCCTTCCAAAACATTTATATTTTTAGGCAACTCGTCTCCAACCTTCAAAAAGTTTCACTGAAAGTTTTATTTTTTAATGAATATTCCTGTAGGTTTAAACACATTTTAAAATTTCACACAATAAATGTCGCTCCACTTACATTAAAATTATTTCGCGCAATTAGTGTTGCTTTTAAGGTTATTTTAAATTGCGTTTTATCAACATTGGAAACTACGCTTTCAACTGGTGCGAAATTTACTAAAATATTTAAAGAAGTGCAAAAACAATGCAGTTGGTTAAGTAAAGTAATCTGGAAACGCTCTGTATATATTGGTAACCATATAAATAAAGAAGGATATAATTATATAAAAAAAATGTGTTTAGAGAAAATTTTTCACCCTACTTTTTACAATTTACTTTCAACTCATTTTTCCAGAGTTCACATTTTCTTGAATTGTTAGTATTTGGCTTAAAACCTTCAGTGCCCTCCCGAAACATGCACATGTGTAAAACCACCTTCAACACATGCCCCCAATTTACATTCTACTTGTACTCAATTCGAAGAAGTCGAATTGCAACCCAGCATGTCCACACACATCTCCCCTTCTACCACCGTGTCGCACTCCCCCAGGACAAAAGCCCTGCCTTCCTCCCTCTGCCTTTACCTTCATCTCCTTGTCGAGGAAGAGCCGCTTGTTCATCGCCGCCAGCGCCGTCGAAGCGGACTGGTGGTTGGTGAACTCCACGAAGGCGTACGGGTCGTTGCCGGGCTCCCTGATGATCTTGCAGCCCTTGACGGGCCCGATCTGGGAGAACAGCGTGCACAAAAGGTCCTCCGAGACAGAGGAGTCCAGGTTGCCTACATACAAAGTCTTTGGATGGCTCTCGTCCGACATGCTGACGCCGGCACGGCACAAACGGGCTTCCACTACACCGCGCTCACACGCGCGCGTCGCATATACAGCGGGGCGGATTCCCTAAGGGGGCGCGATCACCATCCGGGAATATCGCGATCGAAACGGAGGCGAACGGGATGACAAAAACTGGCCAACTTTTCGCCACTGCACTTCCAGCTGTCATCAAAAACGGTCAAGCGACAAAAGTCCCTAGACGGGGGCATGGACCGGAGGCGGCGGGGGCGGCCAGGGCCAAGTCGGGGGCGCTGGGACACGGGCGAAGCGCGATTTGTGGCGAAGATTGGGCCCGGGGAGCTGGTAGGGCTTGTTTAGACTGAGAAAATGTGGTTTTTTGTGGCCTGTCAAGGCGACGCTGCTGCCATCTACGACGGGCGTTTGCACGGGCGCCAAGTTTGAACAGGTGGAAAGCGATACGATAATCACATAATTATGCAGATTAAAGTTGGTATTTAGTGAACGCTATCACATAGACGAGCACTTTGCATCTCCAGTTATATACAAATTCGTGCGATAAGACAAAATTCTTAAACATTATTTACTTTCAACACACTAAGTTATGCAACCCACATTACTCACTTGAAAGGGTAGCAACGAGATTCATTCTGTAAATTTGTACTCATCCAAAAGTAAATTTTGCGAAACTAACACTGATTGAAGATTGAAATGCACTGTTTATTGCAAATATAAAAACTATAAGTATAACGTCGTCTTTGTTTGAAAACTACTAACGTCCCATCTAGCGTTCATAATTCTAAGTGGTCTCGTGAGCGAGGTAGGCAACCCATTATACACGCAATGTAAAAATTTCGATTTCGAAGTTATTAATCGAGTTTGATAAATATTTACTCTACAAATTAACCCATAAAACATGTAATCCTTCCAATCATCCAATAATTACCATGATAACTAATAATCTCCGCAGCAAATGTCAAGTTTGTACAGGTTATGTTCACCCGATTTCAAAAACAGACGGTGTTCCTCTACAAGAAAAACCACTATAAAAAGTAAACAATCAAGCACGATAGCCTCGAGAGCGCCAAATGTTCGAATTATGCCCGATAAGCACCAGTTTGCAGCATGTCTTGTGAAGACTCGGCCGAATCCCGGCAAAACAACGAATTCGCGGCCCTAGAGGTAAATACCGTAAGCCCCCTTCCAACCTACGACTTTTCGTTTTCAGGCGATTTACGCCGATGACTTGAAAGATCTGAGGGGCAAATCGGCGTGGAACAAATGGAAACCTTTGAATTTCAAGATTTCCTTGACTCCCCAGCAAGGTAGCTCTGGTTGCAACGAGGTGTACGCAAAACTCGACTTACACATTATTTGTGATGAAGATTACCCCAATAGCGTGCCTAAAATCAAGCTGGAGAATAGTAAAGGTCTTTCGGATAATTTGCTTTTTCAGTTACAAAGGGATTTGGAGAGGACTGCCAATGCGTTGAAGGGGGAAGAGATGGTTTTTCAGTTGTCGCAGCACGTGCAGGAGTTTTTGCATAGGCATAATAAGCCGGCGTCGAAGAGTTTTTATGACGAGATGTTGCAGCGGCAGAAGGAGAAGAAGGAGAAGGATTTGCAGGAGAGGTTGATGGAGGAGGATAGACAAGTGAGTTTGGTGGTTTTAGGGAGATTGTTTATTTTTTGGTTATTGTAGAGGCAATTTATGCAACTGGAGGTTCAGAAGAGACAGGAGATGTTAAAATCAGAGTCGCGTTTAAGGCGTGAAACTAGGTATAATTCAGAGAATTCCAATGAGAATGACAGTGAGGATAGGAGGCAGTCTCTATCAAACAAGTAAGTCACTTCCACAATGTAATAGTCATAGAAGGTGTGATTTCGTTTCAGCTCAAACGAAAATAGCGACGAGTGTCTCTGTGATCACAAAAAAACCGTACTTATAGAATTCAGTGGCAGAGAAATAAAAAGAGGCCAGTGTTTAAGTAAGTTTTGTAAGGTGGTCGTTTTTATTGTTTCGTTCGCCAGATGGCAGCCAGAAATGTCATTTACTTAAACCACGGCCAACTGTATTAATACATATGGCCACCCCAATTCGTCTAAAAAGTTGATTTTTTGACGTTTCCAAAATCGTTAATCAGGCAACGACATCTGTTGAGTACAATTATGAACTTGGTTGGCAAATAATTGTCAAAATGACGTTTTAAAATATCACGTTTTTCTGAAAGTGTAGATAATGGCACAAGAACATTAATGATATTACTCCTACTATTTCGTTTTGAAATAAGATAGATATATTTTTACAAAACGAAAATTATTTAACAAAAAGGAAGGTACATATTCATAATTTTAAAACTTTTCTGCTGGTAGGTTTGTTACAGATCGTTATTTTCTTCAACCAGTCTGTTTGTTCCAAACAAATATTATCAATAACTGGTTTCACCGTTGCTCGAATAATTATATCACAAACTCTTGATTTATGTTCCAAGCAACAAAATAATGGATTTTGGTCCAAAGAAGGATGGAGCAGATTACATATTTGTTGACATGTCTTTTTAGAGTTTAAAAACGGTGGTATTAGAAAGTTTTTTAAAAAGGGTAACATTTAGATTCAGTTATTTGAAGACAAATCGTGAAAAATATTTTAGATTCGTAATCTGCGAAAAATTATCTATAAGCCAACTATGTTCCGTTGGATCAGATCGTCTTTTAACTGTTACAGACAAAAAATTTTTGGAAATTACAAAAAAATGTCTTCAACTAATTTTCTGAAATAGTTGAAAAATAGTTGAAAATGTCAAAAGTGCGAAAATCAGTTTTATCTTATCAAATACTAGCCCCGCCCGCCCACCCTCTATTTTCTTGGAAGGTATGTGATTTGCCAAAATCAGTATTATCTTAGCAAGTACTATTTAATTAGTGTTTAATCATTTATTTTGCCATTTCAATATACAATATAGTACTTGCTAAGATAATACTGATTTTGGCAAATCACATACCTTCCAAGAAACTAGAGGGCGGGTGGGCGGGGCTAGTACTTCCTAAAATAAGACCAATGGTGGCAAATGACATATCCTACAAGGTAAGAAAGGGCGGGTGGGCGGGGCTAGTGTTTGATAACAAAAAAACTGATTTTAGTAAATAACATATTCCTAAGAAAATAGAGGGTGGGTGGGTGGGGCTAGTACTTGCTAAGATGAGACAATATTTGGCAAACGACATACTCTTTAAGAAAATGGAGGGTGAGTGGGTGGGCGGGGCTAGTATTTCATAAGGTAAATTTGCGATTAGTATTCTATAAAACTAGAAAGTCAATGTTTTCCTCTCAAATAAAGCCATTTGGAACGGTTTTAGAATTTTTTGGAAATGTTGGGAATTTTTGGACTCCTTTTCTCGCATTTCTCAGTTATTTGAAGAGAAATCGTGAAAAATATTTTAGATTCGTAATCTGCGAAAAATTATTATCTATAAGCCAACTATTTTCCGCTGGATCAGATCGTCTTTTAACTGTTACAGACAAAAAATTTTTGGAAATTACAAAAAATGTCTTCAACTAATTTTCTGAAATAGTTGAAAATGTCAAAAGTGCGAAAATCAGTTTTATCTTAGCAGATACTAGCCCCGCCCACCCACCCTCTATTTTCTTGGAAGGTATGTGATTTGCCAAAATCAGTATTATCTTAGCAAGTACTATTTAATTACTGTTTAATCATTTATTTTGCCACTTCAATATACAATATAGTACTTGCTAAGATAATAGTGATTTTGGCAAATCACATACCTTCCAAGAAACTAGAGGGCGGGTGGGCGGGGCTAGTACTTGCTAAGGTAAGACTAACGGTGGCAAATGACATATCCTACAAGGTAAGAGAGGGCGGGTGGGCGGGGCTAGTATTTGCTAACAAAAAAACTGATTTTAGTAAATAACATATCCCTAAGAAAATACAGGGTGGCTGGGTGGGGCTAGTACTTGCTTAAATAAGGCAATTTTTGGCAAACGACATACTCTTTAAGAGAATGGAGGGTAAGTGGGTGGGCGGGGCTAGTATTTCATAAGGTAAATTTGCGATTAGTATTCTATAAAACTAGAAACTCAATGTTTTTCTCTGAAATAAAGCCATTTGGAACGGTTTCAAATTTTTTGGAAATTTTGGAGATTTTTGGAGTCCTTTCCTCGCATTTCTCAGTTATTTGAAGACAAATCGTCAAAAAATATTTTATCTATAAGTCAACTACATATTTTCCGGTGGGTCAGATCGTCTTTTAACTGTTTCAGACAAAAATTTTCTGGAAATTACGAAAAATTGTTGTCACTTTTTTCGCTAATTTTCGAAAATAAATGAAAAATAGTTGAAAATGTCAAAAGTGCGAAAATCAGTTTTATCTTATCAAATACTGCTAGCACCGGTTTTCGTGGTTTCACTCAAGAGACTGCACATGCTTTAAAATTTATTGCCAGAAGTACATATTTGTGTGTTAAGTTTTTATTAGAACAAGCAGGCTTTTACTATGTTCTTACGCGTTCCTTTAGCGCCGATGCGGTGGAAGCAACGTTCTCACACGTGAGATTAAAAGGAGGCTCCAATGATGCAACGGATGCCAGAGCGGCAGAATATGCAATGTGTCAGATCCTCCGCTGCGGAATTGTTAAGTGATGTCACTCAAAAAATGTTGGCGTTTTTAAACTCCAAAAAGACATGTCAACAAATATGTAATCTGCTCCATCCTTCTTTGGACCAAAATCCATTATTTTGTTGCTTGGAACATAAATCAAGAGTTTGTGATATAATTATTCGAGCAACAGTGAAACCAGTTATTGATAATATTTGTTTGGAACAAACAGACTGGTTGAAGAAAATAACGATCTGTAACAAACCTACCAGCAGAAAAGTTTTAAAATTATGAATATGTACCTTCCTTTTTGTTAAATAATTTTCGTTTTGTAAAAATATATCTATCTTATTTCAAAACTAAATAATATGAGTAATATCATTAATGTTCTTGTGCCATTATCTACACTTTCAGAAAAACGTGATATTTTAAAACGTCATTTTGACAATTATTTGCCAACCAAGTTCATAATTGTACTCAACAGATGTCGTTGCCTGATTAACGATTTTGGAAACGTCAAAGAATCAACTTTTTATACGAATTGGGATGGCCATATGTATTAATACAGTTGGCCGTGCTTAAACACGTCATTTCTACTGTGGTGCCATCTATTCACTAACAAAATAAATCAGGTTAATTTAATTTCAGGGCATTGTAGTTTTAACCATATTGTATTTATTGGTATGGATGTAAGAACAGGCGAGATTGTTCTTTTGAGTGAATGGACTATAACCAATTCAAAACATTTAGCCAGTTTAGAACAAGAATTTAATTATTTGACAAAGTTAAGACACCAGAATCTCATACACTACCTAAATTTTAAGTGTGAAAATGTCTGTGATGGAAAAATTGTTGTGTACATTTTAAAAGAGTTTATTAACGGACCGAACTGTTTATTTTTTATGAACGAGAATTTCAGCGTGAATATCCAGTTTGTTAAATACGTTGCAAAGGGTGTCTTGACCGCTTTAGACTATTTACACAGAAACAACGTTGTTCATAAAGACATCAGGGAGAGCTGCGTTTATATAACAGAAAAAGGTAAATGCAACAATTTGATACCAGTGGCGTCTCAATACAAAAGTTCCATCCTAGGTACTGTGGCTCTATCCAACTACAGTTTACACCGCCGCCTTACCGACATTACCTCACAATCCAACTCCTTTACCAACTACAGCAAAAAGACTGACATTTACAAATTTGGTGCTTTTTTGGTGGCACTATTGCAGGGCTCAGTTGTATCAAACGACGAAGACATCAACATACCGACCACCGTACCTCCAGAGCTTCACGATTTTATTTCAAGGTTGGCACCACTGTACCCCTTTACTTACTCTCACTCCAACATTTTAGATGTTTGCACAAACAAGAAAAAGAACGATGGACGGCAATCCAGTTACTAAATCACGCATTTTTGCGCCACAACGACCTCCTGACGTCACCCGCCCACAAAATCAACTTGAACGTCGAAGACAGAAACGTTTCGCCGGACGTGACAGCAACCGAACTTTCACTGTTACAACAAAGCGGCCAATCGCGAATCGATCAAGAGTTCGAGTTACTCGACAACTTAGGGAAGGGGGCGTTCGGGGATGTGATTAAAGTAAGGTTAGTAGTACTGTAGAAGGGTTAAAAAACAACGTATTTCAGGCGAGGAATAACTTAGACGGCCGGTATTACGCGATAAAACGGATCAAACTCAACCCGAAGAACAAACAACTGAATAAAAAAATCGTGAGAGAGGTTAAGTTACTGTCGAGACTTAACCACGAGAATATCGTTCGGTATTACAATTCGTGGATAGAGCGGACGGTTATTAAGAAGGATGATAGTAGTGAGATGGAGACCACCACGTCGACTGAGACCGAAAAGCGACCCAAAATTATCCGTCCTGACGAGGTGAGTGGTATCTCTAAAACGGCGTTCCTGATTGGTTTATGTTGCAGTTCACTCTTAACGATAACATTGAAGAACTCGCACCTTCGCTTAAAAGTGTCGAAGTGTCGATTACGTACGACAGCAAATCGCAAGCTCCTTTTGATTCGAGTTCCGATGAGTCGAGCAGCGACGACGAAAACAGATGGGGAGTGTAAGTTTGGGTCAAGTTTTGGTGATTTGGTAATATTTTGGTACAGATTTGAGGTGGAGTCCGACGGTATCGAATTCGAGGAACCCAGTATTGAAGAAAACGTCGCCGAGCAGTCGCCTCAGTCCACCAAAAGCACACATTCCAGAGATTCGACTTTCGAAAACGGCCGCCAAATCGAATTCATGTACATCCAGATGGAGTTCTGCGAGAAGAGTACCCTAAGAAACGCTATCGACAACAGCGTGTACTTAGATGAAGTTCGCGTCTGGAGATTATTTAGGGAAATCGTTGAAGGTTTGACTTTTGTAGCACCAACTGACGAAAATGTCATTTTCGCTTTCCAGGGTTGGCACACATCCACCAGCAGGGCATGATCCACCGGGACCTCAAGCCCGTTAACATTTTCTTGGACTCGGCCGACCACGTGAAAATCGGCGACTTCGGGTTAGCTACCAACATAAAAACGAAGTTGAACGAATACAACTTCGGGCGGCCGTTCCAAACAGAGGAGGACACGATGGACGAAAGCAAGACGGGTTTGATCGGGACTGCTCTGTACGTAGCTCCCGAACTGAGCGTGGCGTCCAAAGCCACTTACAACCAAAAGGTCGATATTTACAGTCTAGGGATAATTTTTTTCGAGATGTGCTACAGACCCTCGGCTACCAACATGGAGCGCATCACTATTTTAACAGGAATACGTAAAAAAGACGTCGTTTTGCCTGAGGACTTCCCGAATGACGATAAACAGAAGTTTTTGATTAGGTGGTTGTTGAACCATGACGTATCGAAGCGACCGACGTCACAGGAGCTGCTGCAGTCCGAACACGTGCCGCCGCCTGTGTTGGAGGAGTGCGAACTGAGGGAGTTAGTCAGGCACACTTTGAGTAATCCTCAGTTGAAATGTTACAAGTATTTGATCGCTTCGTGTTTTGACCAGACGTTGACGCCTGCGCAGGATATTACGTACGACAAGGACCCATCGGCGCCTACGTTGAGCAAGCCTTTGAACTTGTACGACTACGTCAGAGAGGTCATTGTTAAGGTAAGTCAAACGGGTCGAATTTCTTGGCTTAACGCAAGCAGATTTTTAAGCAACATGGCGGCCAGAATTTACCGACGCCATTGTTAATGCCGAAAAGCCAGTACTATGAGGGGGTCGAGTCTTGTGTTAAACTCATGACGCACTTTGGAGGTATCGTGTCGCTTCCGCACGACCTGAGAGTCCCGTTTGCGCGCTACGTGGCCTGGAATGGAATAACTTCGTTCAGGCGGTATTCAGTCGAGAGGGTGTATCGAGAGAAGAAAGTTTTCGGGTTTTTACCGCGCGAATTGTACGAATGTGCCTTCGACATCGTGAGTCCTACTCCGGGGAACCACATGCCCGACGCGGAAATCCTCTACGTCATTTTCGAAATCATCAACGAACTCCCGGTTGTGAAGAACAAACAAGTAACGATACGGTTGAATCACACGTCTTTGATTAAAGCGATTTTGTTACATTGTGGCATCAAGGACAAACACCAGGAGGTTTTAGAGAAGTTCTCGGACGTCAAAGTAAGTCACGTGTGTAACTCATTCAACCTGACTTAAGTCGTTTCGTAGGATGGCAAAATGTCAAGGAGCGACTTACAAACTTATCTCATCAGCTTTGGACTCTCTGACAATTCAATAGCGACTTTAACCAACATCTTCAGTTCGGAGTTTGAAGTGTGCAAAGCCGTCAATCAGTTGCAACAAATCACGCGCAAAAAAGCCAACGAGGCGAGTCTTTTAGCTAAGCAAGCGTTGCAAGACTTGAAGACCATAGCACACAATGCTGAAGCGTTCGGAGTGACGGTGCGTATCCACAAACCCAATTTTGTTACTAGATTTGGTGAATTTTAGTTCGAAATGGTGGTAGCCCCGGGGGTTATTTACAACATCCAGCAGTATTCCGGTATGATTTGCCAGTTTGTGTGCGAGTTGAAGAAGAAGCACAAGCACGGTAACAAGGAGGTTTTGGCTGCGGGAGGCCGCTACGATTCCATGATCACCTCCTACAGGAAGATGATTGACAACGCGAATATGTCGGGTCGCGACATCCGGCAGTCCGCAGTCGGGATTTCTTTATCTTTAGACAAGCTAGTGCAGGCCGTGATGCGAGAACAAAGCGAGGATCTACCGAATACGGAGTACCTCGACGTGGCGGTGTGTTCCGTGGGGTCTAAACCCATGCTGAAGGAAAAAACGAAGGTCCTGCGAAGTCTGTGGGCTGTGGGTTTGCGTTGCGTCATGGTGGAAGCCACCAACATCGAGGAAATCCACGAGCAGTGCACCGAGCTCAAGGTCCCTCACGTCATCATGCTGAAAGACGGCGAGCAAGGCGTGGTGCGCGTGCACAGTTGGGAGCGCGAGCGATTCCAAGAGAAAATGTTCAAGCTGCCCGAGCTGGTGGAAAACATGCAGAGGATTATCAAAACGTGGAAGGAAGGCTCGCAGGAGGTCGCCCCCGCCGCCGGGATCCTCTCCAAGTCCGACAGCAAGAGCAGTTACTCGGAAAAGAACGACGCACACGACGCTACGGTGTCGGTCATGTTCGTGACCGCCGAGAAACTATCGGCTAACGCTAGGAGGCGCTACGAGCTGCAGATCAGGAGTCACTTGGACGGGTTATTCAAGAAATTGAGCGGCTCGGTCACCGTGTTGGGGGTTAGTGTGGAGTCGAACGTGATTCGGACGATAGCGTCGTATTTGGAGTGGGAGAGCGACCATCAGTATCATCGGAGTCTTGAGATTATTTTCGAAAAGTATGTACTTTGTGGTTTTTGGCACGCGGTTTATACGAATGTTTTTCAGACACCAGCGCCACAAGAAGAACTTATCCGACATCTGTGATGAAATATACGAACAGAAGTGCAAAAAGACGAAACCTATAGTAATTCTGTTTAGCTTACACGATTCGTTCCATAGGTTACTGATTTGAGTTAAATACAATATTTTTACATATACTATGTATATTAATTACTCGTTTAGGTAGTACAAGGTTACAATCCACAACGCACGAAATTATATTAAATTAAAATAAAACAGATTTGTACCCGTGGAAAAGGGTGTAAAAAAAAAGTACATTCATTGTGTACAAATTGAAGATAATCCTAGAAACTAGAAAAAGTGGAAGTTTATCGAATATAAAAACTAATAACTGTATCCGCCTCCGTACGAACCCCATTGGTTGTAGCCGCTATAGCTCCCTTGCGGATACTGCCACCCTTGATACTGATACTGATCACCTTGGCCGTATGAGTAGTTGTACTGACCGGTCTGGGAGCCCGAGTATTGGTAAGATCCTTGAGCTGACGAATTCCCGTAGTTGCCGTAGCTCCCGTACGAGCTCGACTGCGACGCCTGCTGATTCGACGCTTTACCTTTCTTATCCGTCGAAGTGGCATCGCTGGAAAAAATTGAAAAAATAATTAAACAATAAAAGCGACATTCGCAGCCACTTACTTCTTTGACTCTTTCTTCTTCCCGCTGTCTTTGCTCTGTTTGATGTACTTCTGGTAGTCTTCGTACGCCTTTTGCACCGACTGTATATCCGCCCCGAAATCCTCCAAGTACTCCAACTTCCTCTGCGCAAACAAGACCTTCTGGTCAGCATCAGCAGTCTCCTTCTCCAAGAACGAATCAATCAACTCCACTATCGTATTCTCCGTGACGTCCTCCTGCTGCAACGTCAGATCAATCAACTGTAAGTACAACCTCGGGTTGTTCGGATCCTTCGTAATCGCCGACCGAAGTATCTCCAACGCTTTTTCCTTATTTTTGAGTATCTTCAAAGCGAACCTTGAATATTTTATGGCTATGTTACTCGAGATCATCTTATTCTTTGAATTGTTAATGTAGTGTTCGTACAGTTGTGCGCACTTGTCGTTGTCGTTTCTGCGCCTCTCTAAATTTATCCTTCTGTAGGCTATCTGTAGAACATTAGGTACTGACTTTTCTAGGTTGACTAAGATTTCGGCGGCTCTGTGGAAATTCTGGACGCTCTCCTCGAACATGGCCCATTGCAGGTGCAAACTGGGCTTCTTGAGGTGGTGGATGGTGCAAGCTCTCTCGTACACGTCGCGGATTTTGGACTGGAGTTCGGGGTCCTTTAAACTTTCTAAGTAGTGCACGAATTTCAACCAGAACTCTTCGTAGAGGGCGCAGGCGATGAGGCAACGCTCGAACAAGACGACGATGCGGACTTGGTCGCCTTGCTCGATTTCGAAGTCGAGGTATTCTTGCCAGTTCTTGAGTTGGCACCTTTCCAGGGGCTTGACGTGGAAATAGGGTCGTTTGATCTGGATAGAAATGCAACGAAAGTTAGAGATTGTTCGCAAGAGTGGAATTAAGTGAGGTAATTGTTTGTCCATCAGATGGCCCTTGCGACGTCTACATCAAGGTTCGGGATTACCTCGCGCACGGCGCGAAATAATCGAAGCAAAATCATCACTTGGACTTAAGTAAAAACAAATAAATAAAAACATTTACCCCTTCTTCGAAGTTCCACCTCGCCGTGACCGCCGCCACTGTGTTTTTGTGTATTTTTCGCCTTATTGAGATTATTCTTTCCCGTATCGCTTTAGTCTCTTCGTCTGTACTGATGACTTTGCTGGAGTCGTCTTCCCCAGGTGGCACGTCTGAATTATCGGTTTTGTTTTCGTTGGCACTGTCGTGCTTTAACATGTGTCGGACTTCCTTGCGCAGAGCCAAGAATTCGTCCACTTCTACGACTTTGTTAGGAGGGTTCGAGGAGATGTGCTCTTGGAAGCTGAAATTAAGTTTTTTAACGGATGTTTAACAGTGGAATGTTTCTCACTTTTCGAAATGCGTGTTGTAGCCCTGCGTCGGTGTGGTGAAGAGCCTATCGTAGATCGACGTGACGTTCTGCAGCCTCTTGCCCTCCGTCTCCCACTTGATGTACGAGTCCCACAGCCTGTCCGACCGGAATTCCAGTCCGCTGGCAGCGATCGCCCTCTCGAATTGCGACCTGATGTAGTCCTCGTCGTCCGGTTTGGTCGTTTTCACGTAGGTGAGGTAGTGGATCCACAAATCGACGGAGAGCGGAATCGCTTTCAAGCCTCTCTCGAATACCTTTACAATGATCAATTAGAAAAAAACGTAAATCGTACACCTCTTTGATGTGTATTTGTTTGCCAGAAGAACAATACTTGATTCAATGTTTACCTGTCTGTCGCGTGCCCCGCAGGAGCAAATAAATACACACCAAAACAAAAAAAGTTTATGATACCTGGAAAAGACAATTAGTCTACTTATATTGTATTATTTAGAAATACTGTATTTAGTTATCTCATCCTATCACGTGGAATTTATTTTGGGTTTTCTTACATTTTTCGGATTGCGAAACTATATCCAGCGATGCAAGCCTCGCTGTTCACCTTGCTGAGACTCTTTTGGGGGTGATTTTTACAATTTAACGTACTTCACTATATAGGTATATCAAGTATTGTAAGATAACACAATTACAACTTAAATAACATATAAATAACAGACTACATATACATTTACAATATCGTATTTTGTATTCACTACAATCGTAATATTTAGCAGCCACCACGCCGAGCTGTAGGGATTGCAAAATAATTATGTGAGTGTATAAAGCATTGCACGGGATATGTCTAGAGAAATTTACGTACCTCTTCGCACTTCTTCTTGTTGCCTTTGCGCTTCTCGTAGTCGGCGTACTTGCGCCAGTAGCCGTAGCAGTAGGGGTAGTGGGACAAGAACGCGTCGTAGGCTTCTCGGGCGGCCTCCATGTCATTCTACCACAATACACACACAAAAAAATCACAACCAACCAACCAAAATCAAAACTCACCTCCTGGTCCACATACTGCAGCAAGTACGTCCAACCCGTGAAATCAGTCGGGTCGTCGTTCACCGCCTTCCAGTACTTATCTAGCTCTGGAAGCTTCTTCGGTTTCTCCTTCTTATCTTCCTCTTTGACCGCCGCGCTCTCCAGCGACGGCTTCTTCGACGGCGTTTCGCCCTCCGAAGTCGGCGATCCCGGGTCGTAGTCGCCCTCCGCCAATTTTCGCTTCGGCGCTTCCTTTTTCACGGTCGGCAGTTCGTCCTCCGACACCACCTCGGTGTCGGCGGGCAGCTCCGCGCGCTTCGGCCCTGGAAGCTCTTCGTCGGAGACCTCCTCGGTTTCTGGTACTTTGACGGCTTGCACCGTGGGCAGCTCATCTTCTGATATGTTTTCGGCGTCGGGTTCGCCCGTCTGCTGGGAACGAAATAACGAGAATGATTACTGCATTGTATGGTAATGAGCGGTCGCGGTTACTCTCGTGCTATGTGTGGTCAGCGTAATTAAGTTTCGAACTACCATTAAATCGGTTTGCGGACTTGATTACGCGAGGAAAAAAAAATCGGTTTATTTGGGAACGATCCGACGAAGCATATTGGTTCTGAGGCACGATTTTTTGAATAGCGACTGGTTCGCTAACGTTTGAAGAGAGGCATTTACGAGCTTATACCGTGGACAGGTTTTCTATTGAAAAAGTTGATTTGGTTTTGCGTAAATCGCGTCCTTGAAAAACGCGTCATGCGATGAACTCTTAAAAACTGACCTATACTGCGAAGATTTTTATTTAAATGACCCTGTATAGGGCCAAATGATAATTCTAGGTGTAGAAACATCCCTCCACTGGGAAATATTATTAAAATTTGGGGTACGTTAAAAAGTTTGATTTGAAAATATAAAAATATATCAGATAACGCTGAAATTTTGAAGAGCACCAAAGTTGTCTACCTTTGAAATTTACCGTAAAAATAAATTGTTGGTATCACCTATATACTTTGAGTTTAGTGTTTCCTAAAATTCGTTTTTTTTTTCGAATATTAAATTACTAACAACGTAATTACTAACAACCAAGTGGAACGTGACGCAAAAAATGTTCATATAGTGCCCAGCCAACTATAAAAAGGAATATTCAAAGACAACGAAATATTAAAAAATACCGGGTGTTCCAGAATTTGTTTACTTATACCGTGCCCGAACGACACTCTTATGACGAAAAGCGAAAATAATAATTAACGCAGAAAATGGCACTGCTCTATTTAATTGTCTTTTGGTGCACGTCGATATCTGTAGCAATAAGCGAAATATTGGCCTCACAAGAAAATATGCGCATTTGCAGGTGTCGAATTTTTCAGAAATCGTTAGCGATAAAAAAGCTTGCTGCCGTCACTGCCAAACATAGTTCTCCATCAAATTATGTAAATTAGCTGAAAGGTGGGTGTGAGTCGTGTCGAATCATAAATTAATTGGCCAACATTTTAAAACAAACGATGGCTGAAAAAAATTCATTGATGTTACGTAACTGAGGGACTTCATTCAGATCAGATTGTTTGAAAGTAAAAAAACATCGGGAAACTACACTACACTTAATTATAGACTTTCTCATTCTGATTGCATCTTCATCTGAAGGTTGATTAAAACTGAGAGTGAGATATCAAGAATTATAATTCGTAAAAATTCTGTAACAGTTGGTATTTTTGCAATTTTTTGCATGTCGTTGACTGTGAATAATTCTTTTTAAAATTGGTTTCGCACTACATGAACATTGCGTCACGTTCCACTTGGTTTCACCATTGTTAATAATTAATTTATTATACGAGAAAAAAAAAACAACGATTTTTAGGAAATACCATAGTACTTGAGGTATGCACGTCACAATAATAAATACACTATATACCGGTGTTCTGTGAGATATAGCTACGGTCAAAAGTCTCCTTTTTATAACATAAAACTTGAAACTTTCAGGACTATAAACCGGTTTTAGTCGTCATTGTACTTTGTTTCTACGAAATTAATTTTTTTCTAGGAATTTAATTTTGATTGGAATGTTATCAGTTTCACAATAACCTTAGTAGCACTTAAAGTATCAATGCAATTGGTTCCGCAGGTAGGAATATTATCTACCAAGGCGAAAGGAAACAAAAAATTTGAACATCTGCAACTAGCTGTGGAAATTCGAGAAAACATGAAAATTGAATTTCCTGTCAAAGAAATCTCCTAAGTATCGTGTGAGCTGTTAGAGATAAAACACCCTGTAAATTTATTGATTAAATTTTAATTAAGGTTTTTTTTTCAACAGCCTTCACAACGAATTCTAGAAAATTAAAATAGTATCAAACCACATTGACTCTCAGGCTATACTATTTAATTCACATTTATTTAATAAGTTTTTGGGATGACGTCATCAGCTTTTTGGAGGGGTATAGTAAATATATAATATTACAATCTTCAATAGACAGACAGAATCTTCAACAATGTACAAACTACTTCACTCAAACTCACCACTGGTCGTTCTTCCTCTTTCTTACTCTCTTCACTTTCTTCGATCTTCTCTTCTACGCTTTCCGCGTTCTCGTCTTCCTTCTTCTCTTCATCCTTCTCCTGTTCTGTCTCGCTCAACCCACCCACCCCATTCTTCTCTTCAACCATCGACACATCCGTCTCCTCCACCACTTCATCTACTTCTTGTATGTCGCTGCTCTCTTCCACCACCGGTTCCGCGAACGTCATCTCCTCCCCATCCTCCATTCCCTCCTTACTCGCTTCAGCCTCTTGTGCCATCCTCTCATCAATCAAGGCGCTCAACGCGGCATCATCATCATCCTCCGCACCCGCTGGTGCCTCCACTCCATCTTCAGCGATGTCCATCACCGCCTGCTCCTCCAACTCCTCCTCGTGATTATCGTCGTTCGCGGCGCCGTTGTTGTGCTCCGGTTCTTCGCTCTTCTGCGTGTTGTTCGACTGGATTTCTTCCTCTTCTTCAGAGACTTCCACCTCCATGAGTACGACCTTTTTGCGCGTCTTCTTCGCCGGGGTTTTCACTGCCGGAGGCGTCCGTACGATTTTGCCCGAGCGTGTCCTCCTTACTGCAAGACAAACGTTGTTTCTAGGCGTAAGACGCTTTGGGATTTCGGGGAAAAAACGTCGACTTACCGTTTTCGTTGTTGGTTGTGTCGTCGCCGCTGTCCATGTTGTTCGAATTGTACACTTTTTACCGCAAGAACGGCGTTTTTTCTAGCTTTTTTGCGAAATACGTGCTATGTACACAAGCGGAAAAGCCGAGAAAATACTGAGTCGGTAAGACAGGTTTCGGTTTTGTCAGTGCAACTGTCATTGATTGATGTTTGTTTTTTTTTTAAATTAAATTTGAAAATACGGTTTTGGGGTTTGTTAGGAGTCGGGGTGGTTGCGGTGGTGGTTTTTGCGTTAGTTGCGGCTTTTTTGTGTGGGTATTTTGCTGTTTTTGTCGCGGTTGTGTTAGGGACTTTTCGGAATTCGTGTGTCCGGGTTGGCAGTGCTGTCGAATGGTATCAGCTGTAAGTGTCAGAAAGGTTATATGTGTATTTTTATAAAAGTTCGATTAAATTCGTCGTTGTTTTTTATGTAACATTACAAATTGCTTCATGTAACGCAGGATGTTTTCCCTCCAAAATCAAAATCAGGTAGTGTGTGTGGTTTCTGTGTGCTTGAAAAATCTTGCATCGTTCGAGCTTTCCAGGCCATCGTCACTCTCTCTCAAATATCTGCAATAATAACCCCCCGACAGAATGCCTATCTGAATAAGAAGCACCTCCGTGCGAAAGACGAGCCCCAGATCGTGTGCAAAGAAAGTTTTCTGGAAACTTTGAAGAATTGCGACTTTTCGTTCATGAAGCACTTGAACCCCAAACAGCTGACAGAAAACCATGTCTTCAACAACTTCAAAGTGTCGTACGTGTCTAGCGAGAGCTTCTTCGAAAACAAGCACGGGTTTTTGGAAAACGAGTTAAAGAATCCGGTTCCTACGCTCATCATAAAGAACAGGAGAAGTATTCACATACCTCAGAATTTTTATCAGAAGCTCGTGTACGGGTTGAGGCACGAAAATGCCTTCACTTTTGATATACAAGTTAGGGGATTTAAAACCGACAGGAGCATCAAAGCGGAGTTACAAAGAAACCCCACTCTGGGGGCTAGGATAAAAAGCGCGTTAGGTTTAAGTGGAAGCGAGAACTTGGAAACTAAACTAGCTAAGGATATGTCTATAGGGAACGAAAAGATGAAGCAGATTTTATCAAACGAAGGGAATCTGTCGGAGGCGGAGAAGCAGAGGATTAAGGTGGCTTTCGCTGAGGGGTATTTGCTGGCCAATAGCCCCGGAGCGCGGACTGGCAAAGCCGCCAGATACTTTAAAGTTTTTCAGCAAGTCTTGACAATTGTTATTTTTCTAGCGATAGTTATTAGTTTGATGGTTAGCACTACAGGCTCCATTTTTAGGTAACTACTCACTCTTCAGCAGAACTAGTTGGTTTCATATAATATATTATTTTAGAATTCAGTTAGGCAATCAAGTGGAAGTTGACCCTGAGGAGATCCACGTGACTTTTGATGACGTTAAGGGGGCCGACGAGGCGAAACAAGAACTGAAAGATGTGGTTGAGTTTCTGAAGAATCCTGAGAAGTTTTCAAACCTTGGGGGGAAATTACCGAAGGGTGTTCTTCTGGTGGGGCCACCAGGTGCTGGGTTGAAAATCTTGTTTCTTTGTCTGATGTGTGTGTTTAGGTACCGGTAAGACGTTGCTAGCGAGAGCGGTGGCCGGCGAAGCAGGAGTACCTTTCTTTCATGCAGCTGGTCCTGAGTTTGACGAAATTTTAGTAGGACAGGGGGCCCGCAGAGTTCGCGATTTGTTTAGTAGGTTGTCGTAGATTTGGGGCGACTTTTTGTTATTGTTTTGTTTGTAGAATCAGCCAAAGAGAAGGCCCCTTGTGTGGTTTTTATCGATGAAATCGATTCGGTTGGCGCTAAGCGCACAAACAGCGTTCTGCATCCGTACGCTAACCAGACCATTAATCAGCTTCTGAGTGAAATGGACGGGTTTCATCAAAACGAGGGGGTTATTGTCCTGGGGGCTACGAATCGGAGGGACGATTTGGATCAGGCTTTGTTGAGGCCTGGCAGGTTTGACGTGGAGGTACGAACGTTTTTTGTACCCATGGTGAAGCTACATCACAAAAAATTGATGTTATATTTTTCATTTAGGTGACAGTGCCTACGCCAGACTTTACCGGTCGCAAAGAAATCCTGAGCCTCTACCTCGGTAAAGTTCTAGCCAAGGACGTCGACCTGGAGCTCCTGGCCCGGGGAACTACGGGTTTCACCGGCGCCGACCTCGAAAATATGGTTAATCAAGCCGCCCTCAAGTACGCCCTCGTTCTTTTCCATATAAATCTGTAATGTTTGTTTCGTAGGGCCGCCATAGATGGCGCTGACTGCGTGAGCATGAAGTACCTGGAGTCCGCGAGGGACAAAGTCCTGATGGGCCCGGAGCGAAAGTCCCGGATTCCCGACGAGGAAGCCAACTTGATAACGGCGTACCACGAAGGCGGGCACGCCATCGTCGCTTTCTACACCAGAGACAGCCATCCATTACACAAAGTCACCATAATACCTAGAGGACCCAGCCTGGGCCACACCGCCTACATTCCAGAGAAGGAGCGTTACCACGTGACCAAGTCGCAACTCTTGGCCACGATGGACGTGATGATGGGTGGGCGGGCAGCCGAGGAGCTCATTTTTGGATCTGAGAAAATCACGTCAGGTGGGAAATATGTTTGAAAACGATTGGATTTTAACGGGGTTTTGCAGGCGCCAGCTCCGACTTGAAACAGGCCACGTCCATAGCGACGCACATGGTGAAGGACTGGGGCATGTCGGAGAAGATCGGCTTGCGGACGATGGCGGACACTTCGAAGCCGTTCCAAGGAGACAGCTTGGGCCCGTCGACGAACGAGCTCGTGGACAACGAGATCAGGAGGATCCTGTCGGAGAGCTACGATAGGGCCAAGCACATCCTCAAGGCGCACGCCAAAGAGCACAAAGCGCTCGCCGAGGCTCTGATGAAGTACGAAACGTTGGACGCTGAAGACATCAAAGCCATAATGACGGAGAAAGGACCGCACGTAGAGAAATCTTAAGTTTTAAGTGGAAAAGCGCATCGTTAGACTTTTTTACTTTTATTAACGTCTATGCTCAGTTTAAATCGGGTTTGTTCGCTATATTTAGCCAGATTTTGTACATATTTGCGTATAATAAAGCGTAAGGAGGCCTCGGGTTACTTAATTACGTGCGCGGTCGTCCAAATAGAAGATTTTAAGTAAGTATAATAAAATTGTTGGAAGAAAATGTGTAACAACAATAAAATATTTTACAAGTGGCGTTGTGGTTTTAATCGAGCGTGAAAGTGGACGTCACGTGGTCGACGGCAGTGGTGGGGCGCGTGCGCCCACTAGGTGGCGCTGCGCCGGCGTCAATGTCACTTGTCATTGGCAGTCGGTGTGTTTTTGTGGCAGGGTGAAATGTCAATATTATTGTGATAAGTTTGTTTTTAAGCTTGAGAGTTTCGGTGAAGGTGCCAATTATGACCACAGAGGAAAAGTTTAATGCGGCAGTTAACGTAATTCGGAGTTTACCCAAAAATGGTAATTATTCACGAACAATAACAGGCAGCCCCCTTATCACAAAGCAAACCTTGGTATCTTTGTGTTTGTGCCTTGATTGGCGACCGTGATGTTGCTCGTGGGTTGGGAAAATTTTTAGATGAGCGGTTGGGTGGCTTTTACCTCAAGGACGCTCACAACTGGGTTTTATTAAATAGTTGCTAGTAATTGTCCACGTTGGTTGTTTATCGGCGATTGCGACAGCTAAAACGGCTGATAAAAACAGTGCTTGTAATTTCGTATTGTTTTCGCTGAGAGGGTGCACAGGTCAAGGTTTTGCCAACAATGATCATGGTGGTGCTGCGATAAAAAATCGACAATCATCGAGCCAAACCAGCGACCAAATTCATTTTCAGTAGTGGCTCCAATTATGTAATATGATCAAACTCGTAGTTGAATGACCAGTGAAAGTAAAAATGTATCAGCGCTGGTCTAGTTTAACCCAGTAACCTCAAAACTTGCGCTCTTGATGGATACTGCAGACTTGGTTCGCCGAAACGAGCACCAACAGCCGGGAAAAAAATTTTAGAAAACGTAACAAATTAAGCAACACAGAAGTCCAAAAGGGGCGACTCTTTCCGCGCTCATTGTCACATAATTTAGCGCAACGTTTCAATGGTGCATGGTAAATTTTCATTCCGAAAAAGATACAGCATGTCCGCGAATAATTGCAGTTGTTTTTGCCGCTTCGTCAAAATAGCAGTCGACGCGTTATCTCGTGTCAAAGGTTGACACAAATCGCTGGAAAGTGAGCGGCAAAGAAAACTGGTGTAATCGTTCATCGAGATATAAAAAAAATCGATTGCGTATCGCACACTGCGTAGTTTTTAGGAGACACACATTTTGAGAACGGTGCTTAAATGTCGACTTGTGTAATATTTTAAAATATGTTATCGGTTTGACCAAAAATGTATATTTAGAATAAAGTAGCGTTGATTGTTTGAAACATTATTTGCATTGATGGATTGACTTTCCGGTGATAACACACTTAATATGTGAGACGAGGCAACGTTACTCGTTCGAAATAAAACCTTGGTGTGTTTCAGATATAACTTTCCATCGGGGTTTGCCACTTTCATAACTCAAGTTTTAATGTTCGTTTATCCCTTAAAGGAGTACATGATACCATATATTTACTCGTGTTTGTTTTTTTTATCGCTGCCAATCACACGAGCTAATCAATTAAAAATCCAATTTATATGAAGTGGACAGCGAGAACAAAAGAAATTGTTCACTTCAGTGTTCTTGTTTTTTAGTTATAAACTTGTCCAAATGAGAGAAATTATATAAGGATCATCGTAGTTTAACCATTATGTGGAATGTGAGAATTTTTTATTTTCATTGAAAAATACGTCAACAGAGGTTTTCTTTCCCAGAGTTGAATCTGCTAAAGTAGTTTGTGTTTTACAATGTTTATTCAGATAATTAAAGTGCAAAAAATTAGAAAACGATAATAGAGAGTTATTTGCTAATGTGCGTTCCTTGTTCGAAATAAACAGATTTATCACAAAGTATTTTATCGCAAGTATTGTCTTGATAAATAAAATAAATAATAATGCCGTTTTCAGTACCCCAGTAACATTTTATATGTAATCAATATTGAAGTTCTAACATTTAAATAATATGGGTAACGACAGATTTTTTTTTTTTAATCAATATTGGTTTTAAATATTGAATATATATTTATTTTCAATGTTTAATACTTATTTAGTTCAGAATATTTAATAAATGTTCTTCATATGAAAGGGGGTATGGATATAAAAAAAACTTGTATGGAATACAATATAATATTTATTAAATACAAAAATACATTGTCACTGGAAATAACAGTGTATTTGAAACGTCGCGGCAATATTTATACATTTAAAAATGATTTGTCCTAGAACCAATTCGTTGAAAATTTGTACCGGGTGATTTTTTTTTAATTTCTGCTGTAGTTACCCATGACACTTATGTCGGCAGTGAAACTGAAACTGCTGGCATAAGCTTCATGGGCAACCAGAGCATAAATTTAAAAAATCACCTGATGTGAAACACAATATAAATTTTTTAAACATAAAAATACACTGCCAACTTACAATTAAATAAAAATACATTGTCAATGGAAATAACAATGTTCTGCTACATTTCAATCGTTATACAGAAATATTTATTTAATAATTATTTGCTCTATAACCAATTCATTGAAAAGCGATATAATTAATTAAAATAAAAAAAATCATACCTCATGTTTTTTTCGATGAGAATTCATTCTTGGTTTTGTCTGCGCTTAATGAGGGTCCTACCATTTTTTAAATTTCAGTAGTTGTGGCGTTTTTGTGACGTTTCCGTGTGGTACCTACAATTAAATTAACTTACAAAGTTCGTAATTTTTAAGAAATCACATAACTTGACATATTGTAGCCTTGTTATTGTCAGTTCACTAAAAGAGAGCTTATTTTTTCCTTGCCCTGAAAACTTGAAAGCAATTTGGTTCATTATTAATAATTTCTTCTAAATTGTGTACATGTTTTTTACGTCTTCTCTTCCTGACAAATAAACATTATTATCAGTCTGAAACTAGTTTATAACTTAACTAGTAAGTTAATAATAGTATTAATAATAAATGCTTACAACTTCATCCAATTTCTGCGTATCTCCCGCAATTTCTAACTCGATTTCTTCTTTTTTTTTGTTGCGCCCGGACATTCATCATTTTGTCTCTACATTAATAATATGCTTATATTCAGAAATATTAAACCTCTTATAAATATACTTACGTGCTGAGAAATTGCATTTTCTGCATTGCATGTAGAAGTGAGGTTATGTAGGTTTAGTGCTGTTTTCTTGACAAAACGGTATTTACTACACTATTCTGAATTTATCGCAGTACCGATAATCACAATTCACAATAGGACAAACACCATGAACTTACACAAAACACTTTTTGAACCACCAACAATAACAGAAAATGCAATATATATGTTGCACATTGCGCAAACGCGTTCCAACAGAGTAAGCGCATCTGTAGGTGAAACGCAAATTTAAGTAAGTTTTATAAAAATGATGAAAAAAATTGTTATTTTTTGTTCACAAAAATAAAAAAATATTACTTTTTAATGAGAAATTAATAGTGTGCAAAGCCAGATTTCGAATAGTGTCAATTTCACAATAGCTGGTATTTTTTCAAATCAATTTTTAATATTGCTCCAATAAAAATCCTATGAAATAAATTACCTACAAGTTGTCCCAACATGATACTTTTTTTTTCATTTTTGTTGTTCGATATCTTGATAAAAAGACATTTCATAAATATGTAATATATGTTGAAATTTATATATAAATTTATAAATATAAAATGAATATTATATAAATATTTGTAATATCTAGTCAACATTTAATATTATATCAATCTTGTATCAATATTAGAAAAATATTGCTTGCTACTGGGGTAATAAAAAGTGCAAATTTGCATGCAACTAATTCTTTTATTTAAAATTTGAGTACACGTATTTGCCTTCTAAACAAGCCATTTTTGGTTCGTTTAAACAGGTTTTTAATTTCCAATATTGGTTACTGAATAGCTGCAGTTTAAGTGATATAATATCGATAAAAAATAAAAAAAATCCGGTCTAAACTGGAGTATCCATGTTATAAAAATCTAAGTCGCATTACTTTCGACTCGCCAAAATTTCCGATATGAAAAAATCGATCTTTATCAAAAAAACACTGAGTGTTCTTTGTGAAGTATAGATGTTTCCGGAAGCAGAAAAATATTTTATTGTTGACACAAACAGGAGCCGATGAAAATTCTTCACGAAACATAAATAGCTGGTATTTGTTTAATGCATTCATCATGTAATTTTGATACATACTGAGTTGTTTATTGTGGATCGACCTTGACGGGCCACGTTCGTCAGCAACACTAATTTGACCTGATTGATCAAGAAATGATCACGGCAGTTATTGGTAGAGACACCTATGCAGTTATTGGAAAAAAAAAATCTAGGGACAGACATCATGGTTTTTTTAAACTCGTTGCCCATTTTTAATGTTACAATTTTGCTGTTTCTTTTTATATTATCCTACTAGGGACGTTATCATAAGTAATTAACTCACAATGGCAAACTTCTTTTTATTGTGTGGTGTAACGAGCTAGCAACACATACAAATATAACAATACTTTAGTAGCCTATAAACTGACCTTCAAACCAGTTTACTTAAAACAAAAGCGATTTTAATCTGTGGCGCTATTCATTCTGTTGGGTGTTCTAAAATTACCGAAAATCGTATTCAGACCACCCAATGCAGACTACCTGCACCATAAACAAGGTCATGCATAATTCATTTCGCATAGGAAAAGCTAGTAAAAGTAAAGCCGTACACTTCGTAATGTGTTTCTTCACTTTTACCTACTCGTTCGTTGTACCAATTGAAAATGGAAAGGAAACGGGACCTTAACGTGCCAACCGTGTCACTGCGAACTCTATGGGTATTGCTTATTCAAACCGCTAAAATTTACATATTAAAATGTCGCGGACACAGCGATGGGTGCCGCAGTTTCTAAAAGCGATGACAATCATTATTACCTTAATATTCATTAGTCCTGGATAATGAACAATCGTTTCAAGCATTTACTACCAATTATAATGATAATTCTGGAATTATGACGCATTACGACTGTGAAACAAGTTTAGATAATTTTCCGGATTTTTTTTACTACCAAGGTTAAACAAACGAATAACGTTCGCGACAAAACCACCGATTTAGATCGCGCTATTAATTCTCTTCGTCCCCCAGGATCATATCAACCCAGCAATGACCTCATGCTCAGATTCTACGGCTACTACAAGCAGGCGACGCAAGGTCCCTGCACCAGCAAGCGGCCCCCTTTCTACGACGTAGTCGGCCGTGCCAAGTACGACGCGTGGAAGGGCATGGGCGACATGACCAAACAACTGGCGATGAAGAAGTACGTGGACGAACTGCACACCATCGTCGAAACGATGAGTTACTCAGATAAGGTGGCCAATTTCCTGGAGGCGCCAACCAACGAGCTCGATTGCGTGAACATGCTCATGGACGACCTGGAGCTGGTGGCGGGCGACGTCCTCGAGAAGGTTCGGTCGCAGCCGAACTCGCCGCTGGCGTCGCGGGAAGCCTCGCCCATACGTACATTGCTGTCGAGCAGGGACGTCTCCCCGGTGTCGACGCCCAGTTCGGCGGCACCGGAGGAGTCCGACCACAGCGACGACGAGTACATAGACACGATCGAGGTGAGTGGGACTGCTCGTGGCGCCACCTTACAAAAATGCGAACGTTTGTGTCTTCGACATTTCGATCCGTAACCTTGTTAATTACGCAACGTGATTTTTGTAATTAGTGAGAATCTAAGTAAGGTCCGCGAGGTGGCGCCACTACGGACACATACATTTGAAAGGGCGGTCTTAGTTTCCAGATACCAAGAAGATCTACTCGGAGCAAATATCAAACGGATATATTCCTCGGGAGCACGTTTCCAGGTCCAGGACGAAAGTGCAAACCCAAACCAGTGTGGATATCTCTCAGGAAGTGTCAAAGGCTGTGCAAAGTTTAAAGGCTGACGTCGAAAGGCTCACCACTAAAATACACACGTTAGAAAAATCAAATGTTGCAGTGAGGAAGTCTAGGGGGATGTCGTTAGAAGTAGTCGCGTTCATAGTAATTTGGCCATTTTTGGCGTCTTTCATCATGAATAGGTACTTTTCAAGTAGGAAGTAACGTGTCGGTGTCAAAATAATTATGTTCCAAAATACTTTAATTGGCCTTTATTTGTTATATATTTTTTGTTGTCATGTTATGTAAAGTGTAGACTTTTATATGGTTTGGAAATACAAAGCTAGATCTACGGCTTGTTTTAATTGAAGGATGTTGGTATCGCTGTCTGTCACTCGCACTTGATAGTGCCAACATAATTATTATAAAAATAAATTTCATGATGACTTACTGAATGACTTTTTTTCCAAGCGAGTGCTTTAGTTACTTAGATCGCGTATCGTTGGCGGCGCTGTCAGTCGCACTTGCCACTTTAAGGATTAGGAAATCGGTAGCTTGGGATGAAAACACAACATAAAGTAAATGTAATTTTATTAAGACATAAGTAATTACGTACTTATCGTGAACTAAACAAAATAAAGGAATGAATACAAAATTGACAAAATACTTAATTAAGCACAGTTACAACAATACCTCTACGTATTATTGTAAGTGTGCTCAATTGCCTTTACACCAACACGATATTCTATATTTTTCTAGAATATCGTCTTATATTGTAAAGACAATTAAGCTTAACGATAATAACCTAAAATTACTGAGTTACATTTGTTTTTGTATTTTATGAAATTTTGTATTTTTTTTTTGTTTTCTAATTTTTCCTTTAGGGGCATATAATATTCCGCACTACCAATACAGCAAATTCTTCTTAACTGTTACCTCTCATGTTTATCCACGTCTATAACTCAACGAACGAACAAAAATATGCCTTTACACAACGTATCACACTCAGATCGGGTTAGGAAAATTGTTTATTCAACCCTAGCCGAGTCTGACCGTTGTGTAAAATCATTTTTTCGTTTTCTTCTTTGTACTTAACAATTTTCCTAACCCTATTCTAATCTATATAGCCCAAACTACTTAAAAACGAAATCCATGCAAATAACTAAGACGAATCCGTGGACAAACCTGAGAGGCCCGAGGCTTCTCTGGGGGTCGATCACTCGATATTGTATAGCATGCACACGTGGCCTGAGGACAGCGGCGGCGGCACGAGCGGGGAGGTGGGCGACAGGACGGCGAAGCCCAAGAACATGAAGGTCCGGACGAGCATGGCGCGGTCAGCGCGGTCAGTTTCGAACACCTAAAAACGAGAAAAAGTGCAGAGGCGGCTCTTCATATTTCTATATAAATAGAATTAATAAAAATCAAGGCCGGAGTGGCGTGCCGCGATCGCCCCGAATTCATAAATTGTGTTTACCACAAAAACCTTATTATCTCATTTCAATGTCGTTTATTTTGGGTCGGGAGTCGTGACGTCGCTATTTATTTTAGATTTTCTTGTTTTATTGTCCCAACAAAGTCCACTGATTTGTTATCGCAGTGTAATTACTAATTATAAGGGCAAACTTTAGACAAATAAGTTCAACGGCACCGAAGTTTTTTTTTTATATTACAACAAAGAAAAACATTACCGAAGTCCGCCCGGATTAGTGCATGTTTACAAGTAATTAAATCCACATTTAATTTTCATGCACATAAAGTTAATGGGTTGTCTTATCGCAAGAATGACGAATCCTTTTTCTTTCTTTTTCGAAAACGAGAAAAAATGAATACTTACGACGATCACGTTCTGGCACTTGAGCTGTTCCTCGGCCGCCTCCAGCAGTGCGACGAAGGCCTCCCTCGAGCCCTCAGGCAAGACGTGGGGCGGCAGCGCGATGTAGAGCGACTGTCCCCGCAAGACGGCGTCCCAGGGCTGACGGGCAGTGCGGAAAGTTAGTCGCAACGGCGACGGGCCCCTGGTCTCCCCAGGGGCATCAGGACCACCACAGAGGCCCGGCGCCCAGAGACATGTTGTAGCAATCGGCCTCGCTGGCGCTGCACGCGGAACGCTTACTACTTAACATACTTCTGGAAAAAGTATACATTTTCGAGTCAGTATACACAAGACACTACGGCTTTGGCAAGCTGGAACTGTCGAATGAGGGTTCTGGAGGAGCGGACGATAAGGTTTTGTGGTGGAGGTGATAAGGTTTTTGTAAAGACCGTCGCTGAGGAGAGTGGAGGGTTTTTATTGGCGTTGGAAATGGATACTTTATGTGGAATTAATTGTAGGGTCAAAATTACTTCTTAATTTGTTTTGGAATAATCTAGAAGTTTGTAAATATTTGAGGCATATTTTAAGAACAGGCGATTAGATGTGATTTAAAAATTTACTTGATGGTAAGTCAACACATCGATCATTTCTGGACAATTTTGAACTTAAGTTGTGTGCTACACTTCAAAATAAGCCACTCTGTATAGTTGAAAATAATTTTAGTGTTTGTTCCTTAAAGACCCGAACGACTTTGGGTGACTCACCCTCTATGTCAGGTTTGGTACATTCCGTATATGTTTTATTCTTAGTTTTATTGATACAAGGAAAAAATCTAGTTTGAATTTGGAACAATATTTAGTAAATTTAAGAATCACAGATTCACAACCCGGAAGTCAATGACTGCGAGATAAATCTGGCAATTTTTTTTTTAATTTCGTTCATATAAATCCTGAACTTTTTATCAAATTTATATGCCATACACACTGCAGATCATTTATTTAAATTAGAAGGTTGCATGCATAAAATAAGCAACGTTGTTCTTTTGTGCGATAAGGTTGAAAATTACGCAGCTATGGAGTGGAAATACTGTGAGAAGGACATGTGAGTCATCACAATATCTCGCTTAGGCGTTGACCAGTGGCGTACATTCGAGTTGTGTTTTATTGGGGTATTCTTCTCAAAATATTTCCATTCTAGTCAAACGATTTCTATTACCAAATTTTGTGCAATCAGTTTTTTGAAGTGTTAATTGTTTTTGGAGCTTGGCTCACAATGGAAACGGAAGAAAGTTAACTCGAAAAGATTGTTTACATTTACGCATTTATCTTTCACTTTCTTTACGTCAAAGCTTTGTTGTATAACTTTCGACCACAATTACTGACAAGAACCACAAAGCCTACTTAGGTACTTTAGCGTTATCAGTGAGTACTTGTTTATGTTATCTGATAATAACAATGTTGTTGTGGATTGTCCCGTCAAGAGGATCTATTTTCGTAGTAAAATTCTAGAAACCGTAATTGTTTATCCGCGTTCTAGAACACGGGAAACCCCCAACCCACAAGCGGATCTGACTATTCCATTTTCCCTCCAATTTCGCGAAACCGACTCAGGCCACTCGATCGTTCCGGCGACAAAAACAAACAAATTTGCACGTCCAATGAACCTTCAGGCGGCAATTTGCATAAATCCAGACTAAATGGGTCAATAACACACTTACTCGTTCAAAGTAACAGCTTCATTGCTTTGCAGAGAGTGCATCCTCCGAAGTTGCGGTTTAGCAGTCGTCGAAAAACTGGCCCCGAGACCAGGAAAGCGCCCATAAAACCGAAAATATTTTCGTCCGGCGATCGCACGCTTTTAAATTTGGCAAATTGGCCAGCAAAATAATACGCAGTAGCGATAACCTGCGCTCGTTTTTTATCAAGATAGCTTACGTCAGTTAAACAAAAGCGGCAGAAAAAGGTCACATGAGCAAATAATTGATCCAATAAGAGACCATTTAAATGGTACGTTATTAACGACGGAAAAATACTGGGTCAAAACGGTGGTTTTTAACGCAAACGGCCAGACGAGTTTTGGCGCAGACAGCGGCGAGAGACCGCCACGAATCGTCTGAGTGGCTGGAGTTCACGTCGTAGGCAACTGTTTACTTTCGTCGTGGGGTCCGAGCAGGTTTTCTGTTCTCGAGCGAGCGAATCGATGGGGCTGCGGGGTGGCGATTTGCGGATTTTGCGGGAAAGACGGGGGCGGCGATGACTGGGGGCAGATACTTACGAATTACTTGTACTTAATATAGCAGGCATGGCTTCACTATTACTGTTACTGTCTGTACTCGAATCTGAATTCACTGCCTCTATGGCACTTATAAACATAATTAAAACGAAAAAAACGAATCAAAACACTCGACTGCTGGCTTTTGTATTCACGCTGATAATGGCGATTTTTGTTGCACACGATACATCACTTCCGATAAGTCTCGTTTGACAAATGACAGGTGGTGACGTCACACAAAAATGGTGGCAGCAGCGGCGCAGTTTCTAGAATTGTCGCCGCACAGAATCGGACTTTAAAAAACAGTGGTTAATTTTTTCTCACTAGTTTTATGATTTAAAAAAAATAATATTAAAAAAAAAAATAAAATTGCAACTAACTGCTTCAGAAAAAAAAATAATTAAATTAATTTCTATTGATCAAGTGTACTGTATATTTGGTTGCATATGTGCCAGAAAAATAAAATTTTATTGGCATAATTTTCGTAAGAGAACTAGAAAGAAAAAAAATAATGGTAAAACCCATCAGTATCGAACTTGTACTTGTATTTTTAAAAAGCATTAATGAATACGTGCAATAAATAACATTAAAAAATTATGCTAAAGCAGAAACAACGCTAACTAATTAAAATTGGCATAAGATTCAAATCCATTAATATAAAGCACGGCGGCTTTGTACAAGAACTCGAACTGTTCCAGATCTTGTACGAACTGCTGGCGATTGTGACGAATGGTCCTCACAGCTTGACACACATCACACATCTGTTCCAACTTCATTTTCTCTATAATGAACGACATGGCCACATAGAGACCCGACGCCTTAACACCATCACTAAAAAAAAAAATATGAATCTTCTCAGAAAAAAAACCAAGACAACTCATTACTAGCACGTGACGAAAATCGGGGTGGTCCCTCTGGACGTGGAATCCGCTTGCTCCATAAAGGTCAGAAACTCTTCCACAGATGTGGGGGAGTTGACCCTCGGCGGCCAGTTCTTCATCGAAAGCACCTGCACCGGAAGAAAGTCCTTCCGCGACTCCGAGTGCAGGTGGATGGTGATCACGTCGTAGTACTCCGAACAGAGGGTGTTCTGGTGTCGGAGAATAATGGGAGGGATGGGTTTCATTTGAGGGTTGGTGGTCGTAGGCCAAAAATCGCAGCTTGTGGTGTCTCTGGGGTTGATTTCATTCAAAGATACTATGACGGAGTACGAAGAGTTGCTGTTTTCGTCGACGAGTCGCCAGAAGTCGCCCAGGGTGTTGGGCAGGGGCTGCTGGGTCACTATGAAACGGCCGGGACTCCTGAAACCGTCGACTTTGACGGCATTGATGTACGAAGAGGATTCATCGGTGGCTGGGTAGCGAGTGATGAAAACGCGCCCTTGAATCTCTGCAAAAAATTGCAGATATTTTTGATGCAAAAAGATGAGGGTTTTTGAAGCCGCTCTTGTATCAATATTTGCTCGTTATCTGTGGTTAAATTGTAACTACAATGTTTACACGAATTCATCATGTTTTTTTAAATCGCTATGTTCTTTGAAAGTTAAATAAACAAATGCTTGACTTATATGTTTACGCTATTCTGGGAATTACTTCTTTGTTATCGTTGTGGGATTTTTGATGAAACGCTGTCTTTGTTCCTTAAAACAGCTATTACTGCGTTATCGTTAGCTAAATATTTACTTGTAAATACCGGTTTTTATGAAGTGGATAAAATAAACAAACTAGTTTTAGTAATGTAATTTTTTGAAAAATTTGAGTTAATCCCTTTTAAAACAACAATTGGTCTAGTTAGTACCTGGAATGATATTCTCAAATCGATTCTTCTCTCGTACCACCAGTACCTCCTGCCCCGCTTGCCCCACTGTCTTCATAGCCTGATCCTGCCACTGCGTGTCCTGCAAGTACCTCATCTGCAGAACCAAAGACCCATTGCTTAACACCTTCTGCACGGCCTCGTCAATCTCGCTGCACTGTATGCTAGTATGCAGACCAACCAAGCACTCGAGTACCACCAAATGCGCCAACTTGTACTGCTCTATATTATCCACCATGTTGGCTCTCTGGTCTCGCAGCAGTTGCAGGTTTCTCAAAACATCAATAGTACCTTCTCTCGCCGCCATCCTAAGACAAATGTCACACAGCAGGATGGTACCAGTCCTTCCAACTCCAGCGCTGCAGTGTACCACCACCGGCGACTTGGAGTTAAGAGGTATCTGAAGCATTTTTTGCAGGAAGGGTACCAAGCTCTGAGAGTAGAGAGGCACACCGTGGTCGGGCCACGATGAAAAGTGTAGTTGTTCGATCTGTAACAGATGTTTTTGTAAAAGTACTAACAAGGAGGACGTGGTACTTTTCGACACTCGTCTTTGTAGGTTACTGCGAAGGTTCTGTGTTCGTAGTCGGCGTAGACGTCGCGGGAGACGTGCTGGACCGTGATGTCGCCGAACTGGAGGGTTTCGTTGATGTCGGGCCAGTACTTCTCTAGTTTTTTCTGAAAAATTAATATTACGGGAGTGTACGAAGCGTGTATAAAGTTTACCTTCCCGCTTTCGTATATGTTGGCAAGGTTTGCTATATGTTTGACGTTTTCTTGCCACATCATCCTCCAGAAATCGTTCAGAGTGGCAACTTTGGGTCCTTGAGTCGCAATGTACGCCTTTAGAACTTTGTACCCCTGGAAGAGTAAGAATGTAGAAGGAGAATTAAAACTGAAGAGAATTTTACGTTTATGTAACTGGCGTTGATGTAGTCAGAGTTGGGTTGGCCGTCCATCGTTTCCAAAATCACTCTGCTGTGGTCGTCTGAAAAAAATTAAGGTGGAGGTGTGTTCTTTGCGGAAATTTTTTATTACATGCGATTAGGTTGTTGTAGCGATTCTTGGATTTGTTCTCTTTCATGGATCCATATTTCCAAGGTTTAGTTTGACCTCGAGGAAAGTACTAAAACAGCGAATTGTGCATGGTGGGTTATTTTTCAAAAGAGTACGTCTTACGGCGTGCTGGCGTTCAAGTTCCCCGTTTTTGATCGAGTCCTTTACGTATTGTTCAAAGTCAGTGATTTTGATGGGTTTGGAGTAAATTTTGCTGGTTGGGTTGGTGTCCTCAGGTGGCTTCTACGAAAAACTGTACATATTAAAAAAAAAATGAAAATAAAATACGCACAACTGGTGTTTTGACGACTTTTTTGGGAACGGAGATGCTAATGTTGGGTTGTGTAACTTGTGCCAAAGGGATCTGGTCGTCTTTGCTTTCTAAGACTTCAGTAGCTGGAAAAGTAGAGCGAATGAAGGGGTTTAAAACGGCTAACGGTCACACTTACAGGTGTTATCTTGTTTTAGTAGACTGTCTTTGAGTGACGTTAGTTTGTTTCGTTTTCTAAAGACATAATGAACTTACAAAAAAATCAAGCCGACAAATTTGTACTTACATGTACAGGAATGCTAACAGAGGTATTATGAGTAACAATATGAGTAGGGCATATAGACTTGGATCTACTTCAGGCGGAATAGGTTCCCCTAGTGTTGTTTGGTAAAACCGATATATTCTAGCTCTACTTTCATTTTTGAAAACGTTTTGCAAAACGATCGTAATGTTGTAATTAGTTGCTGGCTGCAGGGGAGAATTGTCCTTGTTAGTGCAACCGGGATTCTGCGGAAGACTTCCAATATTTATTTCTAACTTTTCTGATATTTGAGAAATGTTGCACTCAACAACGACTTTCAAGTTTTTCAGGTCATATTCTTGTAGGTTTGGATACTGTTCGAGATTGGTTTGTTTGTCTGATTTTAGAACAAACAGTCGATAGGTGTCGGTAGATCCCCGCACTTCGTTCGGTGAAACCGAAATTTTAAATGAATCGTTTGAACTAACGAATTCGGGTTCTGATTCTGATAACGTTGGTACGTCAGGTGGACTCGTTGTCGTACCTTCTGTCGTATCTCCGGATTCGCCGTTGAAGGCAAAGACAGCTACTTTGTAGGAAGTTGTTGGGAACAGTGCTGAACCGTTAACCTTTTGTGAAAATATAAATTGGGTAAAAGTCGTATTCGATGGTGTAGTTGTACCTACCACGTACTGGTATGTTAAATTGTATGTTTCTCTCGACACGTCTAACTTTTGCTCATTAATTACTGCGTTTTGGCGACCAGTGGAACTAAGAATTTGAATTCCAAAGTAAGATACGTCACCGTTTGTTTGATTTGGGTGCTTCCATTCTACTTGTAAGTGGTTTTGTGAGGTCCAGTTGAGCACTAAGTCGTACGGAGACTTAGACTTGTCTACGAAGTGACCATTAACTAAACATAATTTTGACAAAATGTTTATCTTACCAATTCTTACAAAGGTTTGTACTTCCTTCGATGGTCCATAACCGTCCGGATCTTGGTTTCTTGCATAAATCTGTAAATATTACAGTAAAATATCGCCTAGAGATTTTGGTACGTAGTTGTTTCTTACTTTAAATGTAAGATATGCATCAAATGGCAAGTCGGATAATGTAGCACAATGAAGCTCAGACCACAGCGTGCACGGTGTAATTGGCACAACTGTTTCCTGGTTGATCTTTTTACGATAACTAGAGTAATTAATTGTGTAATCTTTTAAAATACCAGTAGGTGGATAGGGTGGTTTCCACCTCAGCGAAACAGACGATGCATTTTTCGTGTAAACAAGTAAATCGGTGACGACTCTCGGCACTGTTACAAATTAGTCGGTTTTATAACAATGTATTATAAAATATTCAAGTTACCTGAAGTCATTGTTTTGAATTTTTTCTTTTGTGGTACACTGCAACTTTCGGTTCCGCGACAGAACTTAAGCTCTAGATCATATTCTGAGAAAGGTTCGAGTTGCATAACTCCTAGGATGGCTTCATTCGGGAATGTTTTTTGATCGGTTCTGGGCTCTCTACTTTTTCCTTGACACCATTCGCTGGTACATGTAGTCTTCATTTCCACTGTAAGTGGACCTCGAATGTCCTCACATTTTATTTTAGACAGTACGATGTTTGCACTGACATGTGTAGTGTTTATGTCGACGATAGTGGGTGTCTCTTTTGGTTGAATCGTCTCAGAACTGGGTGTTATTGTTGTTTGAGAAACAGGCGGCCCATTGAATTTTGTGTTAACCGCAAATACGGAAAAGTTGTATAATGAATAAGGAATCAGTTCGGTGATTGTTATGGAAGTGTCTGTTGTTTCTCGCCGAGATTTCGTCGGCGGCTCAGCAGAAGGAAAATTACAACCCACATAAGATATATGCTGAAAATGTTGTTTTTGAACGACTTATCTGATTATTTATTAAACTATTTACTTGGTATTCTACAACATAGTGTTTAAAACCACCGTTCATAGACGATGGTTCGGTCCATGTTAGATTTGCAGTCGTAGCCGATGCAGCTGTAGCCGTAAAAGTGAGAACAGAAGTAGGTACTAAAAGTAAATTTCAAAGTTCTACGACTGAACATAATCACATAACAAACTTATACGATTTTATTACCTCCTTCGGTTGTTGTAAATTTTTTTTCCAATGTTTTTTGTATTCCACAAACTTTGACTGTGTAACTTTCGTATGGCATCAGATCAGCGAAAAAAGTACCGCTGTTGTTTAAAAAACCAGCAGCTTGTTGTTCAAATAACGTTATGGTGTACGATTTGCAAGTAACTGAGGTACCCTGGCGAATAAAATAATTGTTTTAACTCGGTGATTATTTCTATAAACCAGAAATACTTACCGGTGATAAATATATTCTTGCAGTTGTGTTAGATGCTTCAATATTAATATCGTTGTCGGAAATATCTGCAAAATTATTTGCATAATGCGGAAAACTATGGTTACAACAAAAAATACTTACCATCACACTTTGTCGTAAAGTTATTAGTTTTTAAATGATCACCATTGTGGAACCGTCCATCTGTTGAAATAATAACACTTCGCACAAGATACTGCGTTTCTGATGTCAAATTAGAAATTTTAAATTTTGCAGGCAGGTTGAATTGGGTATACTGATCATCCATTTGTCTCCAGCTAATATCAGAAGCTTCGGCTGTCTAAAAAATTTGATATTTCAAATGAATGTTTTAAAAAATAAAAATACAACTTTATATTGGACTATGTAATATAGTGGTGTAGCAGAAGATTTAGAATTTTCAAGTTGAAAATTTGAAACTCTGACGGTGGCTTCTGTGTAGGATATTTCAATTATTTGTGGAGGCTTCGCAAATATTGTTGCTGGTGCTGTATTGTATCGAGAGAGAAATATGGTTATTTATTTTTATTGTAAGGTATGGCATTTTAACGTACGTATATCACATTTTGGACCAGAATAGCTCTCTTCACAGTATGATGAAGGACATTTTCCGTGAACATGGTCACAGGAATAGCCCACTTTATAATAGTAATAGCATTTTCCACACTGTTTTTGACATCCATGGCCGTAAGTGTTTTTATCACATTCTAAAATGATTAAATGATATTAATATTGAGAAAATAGTATTATAGTAATAATTAGGTACCGTAATAACAATCTTTGCCTTGATATCCGGCAGAACAGACGCACTTCTGCCCTTTGCAAATTGTAATTTGTTTACATTCCTCAAAGATCCAGTTATATGGCACACAGAAATCACCAATCGCATCTTCTGGACAGTTACTGTTTACATTTACTTGAGAATACCTTTTAAAATAAGCGATTTGTTCAGATTCAGATATCAATTGACACGGTGCCTCCTCCGTTAAAACCATAACTCGAAATTCTAAAAATCGATTAATTATTATTATTTTCGTGTTTCTCGTTTTTTGGATTTTACCTTTTTTTCGACATAATCTGATTTTGTCGATCGCCCAGAAAGGTTTTGGGTCTGAACTATTAGTACTTACTAACAATTTCATTCCGTTTGAAGAGTAGGCGTTTTCAGTCATAAATTTAATTTGGTTCCAACCTGCATGCTAAACGTTTTTGTGGGTAATCAGTACTGAATTTTAGCATCATAATAATATACATACATAATAAAGAACTATAATACTGTATTTAATGGTACAATAAGATTGAGCTTTTAACGATAAATTTCACACAGGGTGACTTGTTATTTCTAATCTAATGTCTGCAATTTTGGTCGAAAAATGTTAACAGACACCTTCAGATCACTTCGGAAGTAAAAGTGTTAACACTTCTTTAATTTGCAGCATTTGTGTAATTCTCACTATAATAATGTTACGATAACGATAAAAATATCAAATATTTAGTTCTGTGTGTATTTATATCTGGTAAAATGAAATATGCAAACGACAGAATAAAATAAAGTACCACAGTAATGAAATTATAGATGTGAAAAATTTTACTTATTTTATAAATGTAAAAAGCATGTGTTTACAACAAAAATAGGGAAAGTAATGAAACAAAATTAAATACCGCTTACTCATTACAGGACTGATTAAAGCAAAAGTCACTACCTCTCGTTCACATTAAATACATACCTTAATTTCAAATTCTTCGCTTGTGATAATGTGTTTTCCAGAAGCTAAAGATAATATTAATTTACAAGAAGAACACATTGTAACGTACATCGAAATGCATACAAATCCATTTGTTCCATATATCAGAGGGCCTAAATTAACATCGCTACTTACAACATCTGTATAAAGAAAATCAACTGAAAATATATACGTATTAGTCTGTTTTGTACAAATAAATTTATTATTCCATAGCTTACCGTTATGAATCTTCCACAGACCATTGTTTGTTTTACTGTGAACTAAAACGTTTTTAACGTCTATCGGATTTTCGTCATGTCGCCATTCCATTATTAGGTTCTCTTTATGATCACTAATCTGAGTAAATTTTAATACATTTTTATGTTTAGACAAAACAAAATGTGACCACTTTTTGCTGGAAAGGTAAGTAGGGACTATGGTATGCTAAATATTAACCGTGTTAGTGTAAAATAAAAAGAAAATTTAAAATGCGTACGTTTATGTATACTTTTGCTTCATTGCAAGGTGCCTTAGGCCACGTTCCATGTTCAGAGTTAATGTAACCCTTTTCGCATTTTCGTATCGCACTGCCCGTTCCACTAAAGGCTTGCAGCATGAACCAATAGCAACGAGCTTTTGGTGGATCTTTACCATCACAAAGAAATATGTGGCCTTCTTTTTCGATTCTGATGGAAAGAGGAATGTCGAAACTCTCTTTTAGAACCACGTTTGTAACGAGTTGGTATTTTAGTTTATAATAATTTGGTTCCACGTATTCCGTTTTAATTACTTCCATTGCTGGATTGGAAAAAAATAAGCACATGTTTTTTTGTGGGAGTACGTTATTTTGAAATACCTTCCCATCTTTCGTCTAAAATTGGGTAATTAATTTCAGACTGCATCGAATGTCGCAATTCCCAAGGGTGTTTTGTGAAATCATTTTTGGTCTTATAATCATCCGTTATGTCACAATTCATTTCACCTGATGGTTGTTGTGGTATATATGTTGTAACTAGGAAATAAAAAAGTGTTTAATATATGTGTTTTGAACAACAAGTATGAAGTGGTCGATCTTAACAAATTCCATATAAAATTTTAATAACACATTTCTAATGTCGCATATTTTACTAGAAGTATCCCTTTGCACCCCCAAAATTAATATCTTCTTGTTTTGCATTACCATAGTCAAATTTTTCCTTAATATCTTCTTGAATCCAACTCAGTGCGGAAGAACTGTTCGTCACACAAATGTATTTTTTGTTTCCGTATTGTTTCGCCAAAAAGTAACTGCCCTGACATATCGATAAAGTCGTATAAAGCACCACAAAACCACACAAAATCACTCTAAAACAATGCAACCCTTTAACCGATTTTTTATTAAAATTTACAAGACCAACCTTTTCGCCGACATATTTAAACCCAGTAATCACATTCACGTTTGCTGTTTAGCACATCCTAAACGTATACATCAACACCACAATCCCGTTTATAAAATTGATACGAGGTTTCCCGGTTGACACATATCCTGGTAAACTGATAACAGCAATTATTCCCACAATGTCGTAATACCGTAAAGTGACTTATCATCTTAAACAAAATTATAATAAAACCACCGCTCTAATCATCACGGAGCAATAAAAAAAATAATTTCTCAGTTAGTATCAAAACGACAAAAAACAACAAAAATGGCGGGCTGCCTTTACATCATTAGACGAGATAATAGTTTTTCCCCGTGAATGTGTACTTATAATTTTAAGTTGGATGTTGTCACGGTTATTATTATCGTACGCATCGTGATAAAAAAGTAAGGAAGTTTTTGCCAGATTTGGGCTTGCCGCCGGTAGTTGTTGCAGATAGTGCAACCACATTTCATAAGAGGGAAAAAAATCGTTCCAAATGAAAAATTATAAACATTTATGTAATGATTTTTATTTTCATTGAGTATAAAATAATATAGATATGAACACACTTATAAATTATTTCATCTTACTTCATACAAACTAAATTCTTTCAGATAGTTGTGGGCTGCTTCTAGTAGAAACATGTAGTGCTTCTGCAACGATAAAAATTTGAATCAGTTTTTTAGTTAAGGAAGTGAATACAATAACGCTATTAATCCATACATACCTTGTCCACAACAAAGTTCTCAGAGTGGCGCCGAAGCATCCTAACACTGCTACAAACATCGCATATGCCCTCATTTTTGATTTTCTGAATGATATACGTAGTTGCAATATATAGACCAGACGCAGTTAGGTTTCCACTAAAACCACAACCATTAAAACGTAAAACCCAAACCGCTTCCCTTTTACCAATCCGTAACGAGCACCATTTCGACGTTTTTAAAAATCTCGTTAGACTCGCTAACGAAATTTGTAAAATCCTCAGGTTTTGGCAACGATACAATCGGCGCCAGCCAGTTCTTGAAAGAAATAACTTCCAGAGTTTGACTTGCCTGCAAAAAACTTCACTTAATTTTGAAACTAGTTACCTTTCACACTTACGGTTGCAGTAGTGAGTTTCACAGTTATCCAATCGTAAGTTTCAAAGTTTTTCGTCAGTTGATGTTCCAATACGACGTCTGAGTTTATTTTCATCACGGGAAAGTTTTTACTAGGCCACGAGACAATTTTTTCCTTGAGGGTCACCACGACTGTGACCCTTTCGTCTTGTACTAGGTGCAAAAGGTCGCTCAACGGATTCGCTTTAGGTTTTTGCACCACTAGAAACTTTTTCGGAGCTTTAAAACCGTAAACTTTAACGATGTTGAATCGTTTCAAGCAAGAATCGGCGTCCCCAGAAGTGCAAGGTACGAGCGGAATATTGTCTGCACTTTCTAAAAAAAATGTTAAAATTTGAAATAATGTTAGTGTTGACGTACTTGGAAAGATCGCTTGACAATACATGTAGTCTTCGTCGGCATCCTCGTATTTTATTCGGTCTAACCACTTAGTGTCCTCCAGATATTGAAGGTGCTTCTGGATTTCGGTCTTGTCGAAGAGCTCTTGTTTGTTAACGTCGAACTCGTTGAATTTTATGCTCGTGTCAAGGTGGCAAAGACAATCGGCGATGATGGTGTGCGCTGATACGTAGTGGTCGAAATCTACCATCATCTCCGACGTGTAGTATGTAAGGTTTTTGAGATTTGCCACCACATCGATTGCTCCGTCTTTTGTGGCTGTTCTCAAAGACATGTCACAAAGCAGCGCGAATCCGGCTCCTCTCATTCCTGAACTGTAAGCCAAAATTTTGTCAAAAGAACTTTGCTTGGTTTAGAACAAACCTGCTGTGGACTAGAATCGGTGACCTAGAAGAATGTGGAATTTTTGACATTTTTTGGAAAAACTTGACGTAATTGGAAGAGGATAAGTAACACCTGTCGTCTGAATTTAGCAGGAAATGTAATTGGTCGATCTAAAACATGACTCGTGAGGGAAAGTAATCTAATGGAGTTGGGGAGTAGTAACCTTTCGAGATTTGTTTCTAAGTTTAATCGTGAATGTTCTGTGTTTGAATAGGTGGTGTTCTTCGGACGTAGTACACTGTACGGTGATGTCACCATAGAGGTTTTTATTTCGGGTGGGCCAGTAGGGTTTAACCCCAAGCTATGAATAAATTAAGCGTGTTTGTGGTGTTGTTATTTAAAAAACTCACTCTGTGGCTCGTGTGAATGTCTTCAAACAGTATAATGTGACTAATATTTTCAGCCCATACAGTTTTCCAAAACTCGTCGTATTCGTTGGAAGTCGGTATTTTGGTCACAGCGTAAGTTTTTTGAATTTTAAGACCCTAGAAAAAGTTGGGTAAGTTTGAGAAATTAGAACAAAAATTTATTAGGTACGGTAATATAATTCATGTCCACGTATTCGAGGTCCAGTGTATCTGGCACACATTCGTAGGCGGAAATGGTTGCCAGAATTGCCTGCAAAGAATTTTTTGGTGCAAGATTATAAAAAAATTTCTAAATATACCTTGTGTTGATGTTTTAGTTTTTCATTGTCCAGCGACGTTTTAGTATAGGTAACTTTGAAAATCTTTCCGTTCGATGATTTTTGAAAAAGAGCTTAGATTGCCACTTGTCTAAAATTATTAACTGTGAGAGATAATTGTTGGTTTCATACAACTTACATTATGACGTTTGCTATTTTTTCGTTTAATTTGTTTTGTGATTTCTAAAGGAATGTCCATTGCATGACGATCTACTCTGTTTCCTGAGCAACAAAAAATAAATCTTTGATTGTTGAAAGTTTGTTTCATTTTTCTTACCTGATCTGTGATTTTCATATAAAGCTCCAGCATTTTTCTTTGTGTGCCATTTACTAACAATAAATATTTTGTAAATCTACAAATTACCGAAACCTAAATACTTACAAACCAAAAAATTGCACAACCGGTATTAGTACCAATAACACACAGAACCAATAGAAGCTATAATTCGCAACGACTGGCTCCAACGGCACCATCAGTTTATACGAATAAATGATCGCCCTACTTTCATTTTTGAAACAATTTTGCAAAATGATCGTAATATTGTAAGTAGTTCCTGTCTGCAGAGAAGAATTATCGTTGCCGGTACAATTGGGATGCTGCTGAGGGCTTCCGATATATATTTCAAAGGTTCCTGATATTTGTGAAACGTCACACTCGATAACGACTTTCATGTTTTTCAGATCATACTTTTGCAGACTTGGATATATTTCGAGGTTGCTTTGTTTGTCTGATTTTAGAACAAGCAGTCGGTAGGTGTCGGTAGATCCCCGCACTTTGTTCGGTACAACCGAAATTTTAAATGAATCATTCGTCCTAACGAATTCGGGTTCTTTTGATTCTGATAAGGTTGGTACGTCAGGTGGACTCGTTGTCGTCCCTTCTGTCGTCTCTCCGTGTTCGCCATTGAAGGCGTAGACAGCTACTTTGTAGGAAGTTGTTGGGAACAGTGCTGAACCGTTAACCTTTTGTGAAAATATAATTTGGGTAAAAGTCATATTCGATGGTGTAGTTGTACCTACCACGTACTGGTACGTTAAATTGTATGTTTCTCTCGACACGTTTAACTTTTGCTCATCAATTACTGCGTTTTGGCGACCAATCGAATTAAGAATTTGAATTCCAAAGTAAGATACATCACCGTTTGTTTGATTTGGGTGCTTCCATTCTATTTGTAAGTGGTTTTGTGAGGTCCAGTTGAGCACTAAGTCGTACGGAGACTTAGATTTCTCTACGAAGTGACCATTAACTAAACATAATTTTGACAAAATGTTTATCTTACCAGTTCTTACAAAGGTTTGTTCTTCCTTCGATGGTCCATAACCGTCCGGATCTTCGTTTCTTGCATAAATCTGTAAATATTACAATAAAATATCGCGTAGAGATTTTGGTACGTAGTTGTTTCTTACTTTAACTGTAAGATATGCATCAACTGGCAAGTCGGATAATGTAGCACAATGAAGCTCAGACCACAACGTGCACGGTGTAATTGGCACAACTATTCCCTTCTCGATTCTTTTACGATAATTAGAGTAATTAATTTTATAATCTTTTAAAATACCAGTAGGTGGATAGGGTGGTTTCCACCTCAACGAAATAGACGACTCATTTTTCGTGTAAACAAATAAATCGGTGACGACTCTCGGCACTGTTACAAATTAGTGGGTTTTATAACAGTGTATTATAAAATCTACAAGTTACCTGAAGTCATTGTTTTGAATTTTTTCTTTTGTGGTGCACTGCAACTTTCGGTTCCGCGACAGAACTTAAGTTCTAGATCATATTCTGAGAAAGGTTCCAGTTGCATAACTCCGAGGAATGCTTCATTCGGCAATGTTCTTTGATCGATTCTGGGCTCTCTATTTTTTCCTTGACACCATTTGCTGGTGCATGTAGTCGTTATTTCCACTATAAGCAGACCTCGAATGTCCTCACATTTTATTTTAGACAGTACGATGTTTGCACTGTCATGTGTAGTGTTTATGTTGACGATTGTGGGTGTTTCTTCTGGTTGGATCGTCTCAGAACCAAGTGTTGTTACATTTTGAGAAACAGGTGGCCCACTGAATTTTGTGTTAAAGGCAAACACAGTAAATTCGTATGATGAAAAAGGAATCAGATCGGTGATTTTTATGAAGGTGTCTGTTGTTTCTCGCCGAGATTTCGTCGGCGGTTCAGAAGAAGCAAACTTACAACCCACATAAGATATATGCTGAAAATGTTGTTTTTGAACGACTTATCTGATTATTTATTAAACTATTTACTCGGTATTCTACAACGTAGTGTTTAAAAGCACCGTTGATAGACGATGGTTCGGTCCATTTTACATCTGCGGTTGTAGTCGATCCAGCTGCAGCCGTAAAAGCGAGAACAGAAGTGGGTACTAAAAGTAAATTTCAAAGCTCTACTACTGAAAATAATCACATAACAAACTAATACGATTGCATTACCTCCTTCGTCGGTTGTAAATTTTTTTTTGATTGTTTTTTGTATGCCATAAACTTTGACCGTGTAACTTTGGTATGGCTCCAGATTAGTGAAAAAAGTACCGCTGCTGTTTGAAAAACCAGTACCTTGTTCAAACAACCTTATGGTGTACAATTTACAAGTAACTGCATTGCCCTTACGAATAAATTAATTGTTTTAACTCGGCAACTATTCCCACAAACCAGAAATACTTACCGGCGTTAAATATATTCTTGCAGTGGTGTTAGATGCCTCAATATTAATATCGCCCTCGGAAATGTCTGCAAAATTGTTTGCATAATGCGCAAAACTGCGGTTATAACAAAAGTACTTACCTTTACACCTTGTTGTAAAGTTACTAGTTTTTAAATGATTACTTATTTGCCAATTTCCACTTGTTATGATAACACTTCGAACAAGATACTGCGTTTCTGATTCCAGGTTAGTAATTTTAAATGTTTGAGGCATGTTGAATAGGGCAGACTGATCATTCACTTGTCTCCAGTTAGTATCTGAAGCTTCGGCTGTCTAAAAATTTGATCTTTCAGATGAATGTTTTAAGAAATAAAAATACAACTTTGTATTGGATTATGTAATGTTGTGGTGTCACATGAGGTCCATAAGATTCAAGATCGAAGTTTGAAACTCTGACGATAGCTTCTGTGTACGATATTTCAATTATTTCTGGAGACTTTGCAAAAATTGTTGCTGGTGCTGTATTGTATCGAGAGAGAAATTATTAATTTATATTTATTGCTGTGCATTGCATTTTAACATACGTATATCACATTTTGGACCAGAGTAGCTTTCAAGACATACTGATGAAAGGCATTTTCCGTTAACGTAGTTGCAATTGCCCCTTCTAAAATAAAAGTAATAGCATTTTCCACACTGTTTTTGACATCCATGGCCGTAAGTCTTGTCAGCACATTCTAAAAGCATTAAAGAATATTAATATTGAGAAAATAGTATTATAGTAATAATTAGGTACCGTAAAGACAATCTTCGCCTTGATATCCAGCGGAACAGACACAATGGTGCCCTTTGCAAACTGTAATTTCTTCACATTCCTCAAAGATCCAGTTACATGGCACACAGAAATCTCCAATCGCATCTTCTGGACAGTTACTGTTTAAATTAAGTTGAGAATATCTTGAAAAGTAAGTGATTTGTTTAGATTCAGATATCAATTGACACGGTAACTTTTCCGTTAAAGCCATAACTCGAACTTCTAAAAATCGATTAATTATTATTTTTATGTTCTTCGTTGTTTAAATTTTACCTTTTTTTCGGCATAATCTGACTTTGTCGATCGCCCAGAAAGGTTTTGGGTCTGAACTTTTAGTACTCACTAATAATTTTATTCCGTTTGTAGAGTGGGCATTTTCAGCCATAAATTTAATTTGGGTCCAACCTGCATGCTAAATGTTTTTGTGGGCAATCAGTACTGAATTTTAGCATCATATTATTATTAATAAAGAACTATAATACTGTATTTAATGGTACAATAAGATTGAGTTTTTAACGATAAATTTCACACAAGATGGCTTGTTATTTTTAATCTAATGTCTGCAATTTTGGTCGAAAAATGTTAACAGACACCTTCAGACCATTTCGGAAGTAAGTGTTAACACCTCTTTAATTTGCAGCATTTGTGTAGTTGTCACTATAATAACGTACGATTAAAAATATCAAATATTTAGTTCTGTATGTATTTATATCTGGTAAAATGAACTATGCAAACGACAGAATAAAATAAAATGCCGCAGTAACGAAATTATTATAGATGCAAAAATTTGACTTATTTTATAAATGTAAAAAGCATGTGTTAACAACAAAAATAGGGAAAGTAATGAAACAAAATTAATTACCACTTACACATTATAGTACTGATTAAAGCAAAAGTTACTATCCCTCGTTCACATTAAATACGTACCTTATTTTCAAATTCTTTGCTTGTGATAATGTGTTTTCCGTAAGCTAAAGATAATATTAATTTACAAGAAGAACACATCGTGACGTACATCGAAATGCATATAAATCGATTTGTAGAGTATATCAGAGGGCCTAAATTAACATCGCTACTTACAACATCTGTATAAAGAAAATCAACTGAAAATGTATAAGTATTATCTGTTTTGTAAAAATAAACTTATTATTCCATAGCTTACCGTTATGAATCTTCCACAGACCATTGTTTCTTTTGCTGTGAACTATAACGTTTTTAACGTCTATCGGACTTTTGTCATCTCGCCATTCCATTATTTGGTTTTCTTTATGATCACTGATCTGAGTAAATTTTAATATATTTTTCTGCTTAGACAAAACAAAATGTGACCACTTTTTGCTGGAAAGGTAAGTAGGGACTATGTTATGCTAAACATTAACCGTGTCAGTACAAAATATATAGAAAATTTGAAATGCGTACGTTTATGTATACTTTTGCCTCTTTGCAAGGTGCCATAGGCCACGTTCCATGTTCAGAGTTAATGTAGCCCTTTTCGCATTTTCGTATCGCACTGCCCGTTCCACTAAAAGCTTGCAGCATGAACCAATAGCAACGAGCTTTAGGTGGATCTTCACCATCGCAAAGAAATATGTGGGCCTCGTTTTCGATTCTGATGGAGAGAGGAACATTGAAACTCTCTTTTGGAACCACGTTTTTAATGAGTTCATATTTTAGTTTATAATAATTTGGTTCCACATATTCTGTTTTAATTACTTCCATTGCTGCATTTGGAAAAAATAAACACACGTTTTTTGTTGGAGTACGTTATTTTGGAATACCTTCCCATCTTTCGTCTAAAATTGGGTAATTAATTTCAGATTGCATCGAATGCCGCAGTTTCCAAGGATGCTTTGTGAAGTGATTTTTGGTCTTATAATCATCCGTTATGTTACAGTTCATTTCACCTGGTGGTTGTTCTGGTATATATGTTGTAACTAGGAAATAAAAAAGTGTTTAATATATGTCTTTTGAACAACAAGTATGAAGTGACCGATCTTAACAAATTCCATATAAAATTTTAATAACACATTTCTAATGTCGCATATTTTACTAGAAGTATCCCTTTGCACCCCCAAAATTAATATCTATTTATTTTGCGTTACCATAGTCAAATTTCTCTTGAATATCTTTTTGAATCCAACTCAGTGCGGAAGAACTGTTCGTGACACAAATATAGTTATCATTTCTGAATTGTTTCGCCAAAAAGTAACTGCTCTGACATATCGATAAATTCGTATAAAGCACCACAAAACCACACAAAATCACTCTAAAACAATGCAACCCTTTAACCGATTTTTTATTAAAATTCACAAGACCAACCTTTTCGCCGACATATTTGAACCCAGTAATCACATTCACGTTTGCTGTTTAGCACATCCTAAACGTATACATCAACACCACAATCCCGTTCATAAAATTGATACGAGCTTTCCCGGTTGACACATATCCTGGTAAACTAATGACAGCAATTATTCCCACAATGTCGTAATACCGTAAAGTGACTTACCGTCTTAAACAAAATTATAATAAAACCACCGCTTTAATCATCACGGAGCAATAAAAAAATAATTTCTCAGTTAATCAAAACGACAAAAAAACTAAAAAAATAGTTTTTGGAAAATTTGGTTGTTAATTGTTCTAGTTTTCCACATTCATTTGGGTTTGGAAAAGTGAAATTTTTCCTAACTAGACTGGAGAAAAACAAAACAATATCAAACACCAGTTCTCAAACTCCTTGTACGCATTTTTATATTTTTTCTTTGATTTCTTGGGCAATAGTGAATTGCATGCCAGTGTGGCTGACTCTTCAACATCAAAAGATACTGATGCAACATCATCTTCCAACATTTTTACCTCAAGAAACACCTGAAACACTTCAAACGTTGAAAAATTGCAAAATGTTGGGTTGTTTGTTTGTATTTTCCATGACAACAAATTTATTGCATTAAAAGGGACTTGATACTTTGTCATTCAATTAAATTTATAATGAAGAGTTTTTTTACCTAATTTTACAAAATCTTGTGTGCTTCGTCTCGATCAAAAATCTCATGTCAAGAATGTGTTCCTATCTTATTGCACAAATAGTTATTCCCCGTGAATATGTACTTATAATTTTAAATTGATGTTGTCACGGTTATTATTATTATCGTACGCATCGTGATAAAAAAGTAAGGAAGTTTTTGCAAGATTTGGGCTTGCCGCCGGTAGTTGTTGCAGATAGTGCAACCACATTTCATAAGAGGGAAAAAAATCGTTCCAAATGAAAAATTATAAACATTTATGTAATGATTTTTATTTTGATTGAGTATAAAATAATATAGATATGAACACACTTATAAATTATTTCATCTTACTTCATACAAACTAAATTCTTTCAGATAGTTGTGGGCTGCTTCTAGTAGAAACATGTAGTGCTCCTGCAACGATAAATATTTGAATCAGTTTTTTAGTTAAAGAAGTGAATACAATAACGCTATTAATCCATACATACCTTGTCCACAACAAAGTTCTCAGAGTGGCGCCGAAGCATCCTAACACTGCTACAAACATCGCATATGCCCTCATTTTTGATTTTCTGAATGATATACGTAGTTGCAATATATAGACCAGACGCAGTTACGTTTCCACTAAAACCAGAACAATTAAAACGCAAAACCCAAACCGCTTCCCTTTTACCAATCCGTAATAAGCACCAATTCTTCATTTTTAAAAATCTCGTTAGACTCGCTAACGAAATTTGTAAAATCCTCAGACTTTGGTAACGACATAATCGGCGCCAGCCAGTTCTTGAAAGAAATAACTTCCAGAGTTTGACTTGTCTGCAAAAACTTGACTTAATTTTGAAACTCGTTACCTTTCACACTTACGGTTGCAGTAGTGAGTTTCACAGTTATCCAATCGTAAGTTTCAAAGTTTTTCGTCAGTTGATGTTCCAATACGACGCCTGAGTTTATTTTCATCACGGGATAGTTTTTACTAGGCCACGAAAAAATGTTTTCGTTGAGGGTCACCAGCACTGTGACCCTTTCGTCTTGTACTAGATGCAAAAGGTCGCTCAACGGATTCGCTTTAGGTTCTTGCACCACTAGAAACTTTTTCGGGGCTTTAAAACCGTAAACTTTGACCACGTTGAATCGTTTCAAGCAAGAATCATCATCCCCAGAACTGCAAGGTACGAGCGGAATGTTGTCTGCACTTTCTGAAAGAAGTTGTTAAAATTTGAAATTGTGTTAGTGTTGACGTACTTGGAAAGATGGCTTGACTGTACATGTAGTGTTCGTCGTCATCCTCGTATTTTAATCGATCCAACCAGTCAGTATCCTGCAGATATTGAAGGTGCTTCTGGATTTCGGTCTTGTCGAAGAGCTCTTGTTTGGCAACGTCGAAGTCGTTGCAGTTTATGCCCGTGTCAACGTGGCGAAGACAATCCGCGATGACGGTATGCGCTGACACGTAGTGGTCGAAATCCACCATCATCTCCGGCGTGTAGTGTGTAAGGTTTTTGAGATTTGCCACGACATCGATTGCTCCGTCTTTCATGGCTGTTCTCAAAGATATGTCACAAAGCAGAACGAATCCGGCTCCTCTCATTCCTGAACTGTAAGCCAAAATTTTGTCAAAGGAACTTCGTTGGATTTAGAACAAACCTGCTGTGGACAAGAATCGGTGATTTGGAAGAATGCGGAATTTTTGTCACATTTTGGAAAAACTTGACGTAATTGAAGGAGGATAAGTAACACTTGTCGTCTGAGTCTATCAGGAAATGTAATTGGTCGATCTAAAACGTGACTCGTGAGGGAAAGTACTCTAATACTCTGAAGAGTAGTAACCTTTCGAGATTTGTTTCTAAGTTTAATCGTGAATTTTCTGTACTTGAATAGGTGGTGTTCTTCGGACGTAGTACATTGTACGGTGATGTCACCATAGAGGTTTTTATTTTGGGTGGGCCAGTAGGGTTTAACGCCAAGCTATGAATTAAATTGAGTGTGCTTGTGGTGTTGTTATTTAAAAAAACTCACTCTGTGGCTCGTGTGGATGTCTTCAAACAGTATAATGTGACTAATATTTTCATCCCATATAGTTTTCCAAAATTCGTCGTATTCGTCGGAAGTCGGTACTTTGGTCACAGCGTAAGTTTTTTGAATTTTAAGACCCTAGAAAACGTTGGGTAAGTTGGAGAAAACAGAACAAAAATTTATTACGCTAATATAATTCATGTTCACGTATTCGAGGTTCAGTGTATCTCGTACACATTCGTAGGTGGAACTGGTTGCCAGAATTGCCTGCAAAAAATTGTTTGGTGCAAAATTATAAAAAAATATCTAAATATACCTCGTGTTGGTGTTTTAGTTCTTCATTGTCTAGCGACGTTTTAGTATAACTTTGAAAATCTTTCCGTTCGATGATTTTTGAATAAGAGCTTAGATTGCCACTAGTCTAAAATTATTAACTGTAAGAAATGGTTGTTGGTTTCATACAACTTACATTACGACGGCTGCTACTTTTTCGTTTAATTTGTTTTGTGGTTTCTAAAGGAATGTCCATTGCATGACGATCTACTCTGTTTCCTGAGTAACAAAAAATAAATCTTTGATTGTTGAAAGTTTGTTTCATTTCTCTTACCTGATCTCTGATTTTCATATAAAGCTCCAGCATTTTTCTTTGTGTGCCATTTACTAAGAATAAATATTTTGTAAATATACAAATTACCGAAATCTAAATACTTACAAAGCAAAAAATAGCACAACCGGTATTAGTACCAATAACACACAGAACCAATAGAAGCTATAATTAGCAACGACTGGCTCCAACGGCACCATTAGTTTATACGAATAAATGGTCGCCCTACTTTCATTTTTGAAACAATTTTGCAAAATGATCGTAATATTGTAAGTAGTTCCTGTTTGCAGAGAAGAATTATCGTTGCCGATACAATTGGGATGCATCTGAGGGCTTCCGATATATATTTCAAAGGTTCCTGATATTTGTGAAACGTCACACTCGATAACGACTTTCATGTTTTTCAGATCATACTCTTGCAGACTTGGGTATATTTCGAGGTTACTTTGTTTGTCTGATTTTAGAACAAAGAGTCGGTAGGTGTCGGTAGATCCCCGCACTTTGTTCGGTAAAACCGAAATTTTAAATGAATCGTTTGAACTAACGAATTCGGGTTCTTCTAATTCTGATAACGTTGGTACGTCAGGTGGACTCGTTGTCGTTCCTTCTGTCGTAGGTTCCCCGAGTGTTGTTTGGTAAAATCGATATATTCTAGCTCTACTTTCATTTCTGAAAACGTTTAGCAAAACAATTGTAATGCTGTAATTAGTTTCTGGCTGCAGGGCAAAATTGTCCTGGTTAGTGCAACGTGGATTCTGCGGAAGGCTTCCAATATTTATTTCTAACTTTTCTGATATTTGCGAAACGTTGCACTCAACAACGACTTTCAAGTTTTTCAGGTCATACTCTTGTAGGTTTGGATATTGTTCGAGATTGGGTTGTTTGTCTGATTTTAGAACAAACAGTCGATAGATGTCGGTAAATCCTCGCACATTGTTTGGTAAAACCGAAATTTTAAATGAATCGTTTGAACTAACGAATTCGGGTTCTTTTGATTCTGATAAGGTTGGTACGTCAGGTGGACTTGTTGTCGTCCCTTTTGTCGTATCTCCGTATTCGCCGTTGAAGGCAAAGACAGCTACTTTGTAGGAAGTTGTTGGGGACAGTGCTGAACCGTTAACCTTATGTGAAAATATAAATTGGGTAAAAGTCGTATTCGATGGTGTAGTTGTACCTACCACGTGCTGGTATGTTAAATTGTATGTTTCTCTCGACACGTCTAACTTTTGCTCATCAATTATTGCGTCTCGACGTCCAGCCGAATTAAGAATTTGAATTCCAAAGTAAGATACGTCACCGTTTGTTTCATTTGGGTGCTTCCATTCTACTTGTAAGTGGTTTTGTGAGGTCCAGTTGAGCACTAAGTCGTACGGAGACTTAGATTTCTCTACGAAGTGACCATTAACTAAACATAATTTTGACAAAATGTTTATCTTACCAATTCTTACAAAGGTTTGTACTTCCTTCGATGGTCCATAACCGTCCGGATCTTCGTTTCTTGCATAAATCTGTAAATATTACAATAAAATATCGCGTAGAGATTTTGGTACGTAGTTGTTTCTTACTTTAAATGTAAGATATGCATCAACTGGCAAGTCGGATAATGTAGCACAATGAAGCTCAGACCACAGCGTGCACGGTGTAATTGGCATAACTGTTTCCTGGTTGATCTTTTTACGATAACTAGAGTAATTAATTGTGTAATCTTTTAAAATACCAGTAGGTGGATAGGGTGGTTTCCACCTCAGCGAAACAGACGATGCATTTTTCGTGTAAACAAGTAAATCGGTGACGACTCTCGGTACTGTTACAAATTAGTCGGTTTTATAACAGTGTATTATAAAATATTCAAGTTACCTGAAGTCATTGTTTTGAATTTTCTCTTTTCTGGTGCAGTGCAACTTTCGGTTTCGCGACAGAACTTAAGCTCTAGATCATATTCTGAGAAAGGTTCGAGTTGCATAACTCCTAGGATGACTTCATTCGGGAATATTTTTTGATCGGTTCTGGGCTCTCTATTTTTTCCTTGACACCATTCGCTGGTGCATGTAGTCTTCATTTCCACTATAAGTGGACCTCGAAAGTCCTCACATTTTATTTTAGACAGTACGATGTTTGCACTGACATGTGTAGTGTTTATGCCGACGACAGTGGGTGTCTCTTTTGGTTGAATCGTCTCAGAATTGGGTGTTATTGTTGATTGAGAAACAGGCGGCCCATTGAATTTTGTGTTAACCGCAAATACGGAAAAGTTGTATAATGAATAAGGAATCAGTTCGGTGATTGTTATGGAAGTGTCTGTTGTTTCTCGCCGAGATTTCGTCGGCGGCTCAATAGAAGGAAAATTACAACCCACATAAGATATATGCTGAAAATTTTCTTTTTGAACGACTTATCTGATTATTTATTAAACTATTTACTCGGTATTCTACAACGTAGCGTTTAAAAACACCATTGATAGACGATGGTTCGGTCCACTTTAGATCCGCAGTCGTAGCCGATGCAGCTGTAGCCGCAAAAGACGAAACCGAAGTGGGTACTAAAATTAATTTTTAAAGCTCTACCACTGAAAATAATCACATAACAAACTAATACGATTTCATTACCTCCTTCGTCGGTTGTAAATTTTTTTTCAAGTGTTTTTTGTATGCCACAAACTTTGACCGTGTAACTTTTGTATGGCTCCAAATTAGTAAAAAAAGTACCGCTGCTGTTTGAAAAACCAGTACCTTGTTCAAACAACCTTATGGTGTACGATTTACAAGTAACTGCATTGCCCTTACGAATAAATTAATTGTTTTAACTCGGTAACTATTCCCACAAACCAGAAATACTTACCGGCGTTAAATATATTCTTGCAGTGCTGTTAGATGCCTCAATATTAATATCGCCCTCGGAAATGTCTGCAAAATTGTTTGCATAATGCGCAAAACTGCGGTTATAACAAAAGTACTTACCTTTACACCTTGTTGTAAAGTTACTAGTTTTTAAATGATTACCTGTTTGCCAATTTCCACTTGTTATGATAACACTTCGAACAAGATACTGCGTTTCTGATTCCAAGTTAGTAATTTTAAATGTTTGTGGCTTGTTGAATTGGGGATAGTGAACATTCATGTGTCTCCAGTTAGTATCCGAAGCTTGGGCAGTCTAAAAATTTGATCTTTCAGATGAATGTTTTAAAAAATAAAAATACAACTTTGTATTGGATTATGTAATGTTGTGGTGTCACATAAGGTCCATAAGATTCAAGATCGAAGTTTGAAACTCTTACGGTAGCTTCTGTATACGATATTTCAATTATTTCTGGAGGCCTCGCAAATATTGTTGCTGGCGCTGTATTGTATCGAGAGAGAAAAATGGTTATTTATTTTTGTTGTTACGTATGGCATTTTAACGTACGTATATCACATTTTGGACCAGAATAGCTCTCTTCACAATGTGATGAAGGACATTTTCCGTGAACATGGTCACAGGAGTAGCCCACTCTATAAGAGTAATAGCATTTTCCGCACTGTTTTTGACATCCATGGCCGTAAGTCTTGTCACCACATTCTTAAATGATTAAATGATATTTATCTTGAGAAAATAGTATTATAGTAATAATTAGGTACCGTAATAACAATATTGGCCATAGTATCCAGCAGAGCAGACACACTTTTGCCCTTTGCAAATTGCAATATCTTTACATTCGTTAAAGATCCAGTTACATGGTACACAGAAATCTCCAATCGCATCTTCTGGACAGTTACTCTTTACATTTACTTGAGGATATCGTTCAAGGTAAGCGATTTGTTCAGATTCAGATATCAATTGACACGCTGCCTCTTCCGTTAAAACCATAACTCGAACTTCTAAAAATCGATTAATTATAATTTTTATGTTTCTCGTTGTTTGAATTTTACCTTTTTTTTTGGCATAATCTGACTTTGTCGATCGCCCAGAAAGGTTTTGGGTCTGAACTATTAGTACTTACTAACAATTTCATTCCGTTTGAAGAGTAGGCGTTTTCAGTCGTAAATTTAATTTGGTTCCAACCTGCATGCTAAATGTTTTTGTGAGCAATCAGTTCTGCATTTTAGCATCATATTATTAATAAAGAGATATAATACTGTATTTTTTAAGTCGATATTTTAACGATAAATTTCATACAAGTTAACTAAACTTGTTATTTCTAATATCTGCACTTTGGTCGAAAAATGTTAACAGGAAATTTCGCACCACTTCGGAAGTAAAAGTGTTAACATCTTTTTAATTTGTAGGAGTTGTATAATTGTCACTATAATAATGTACGATTAAAAATATCAAATAATTAGTTTTGTAAGTATTTATATCTGATAAAATGAACTATGCAAACGACAGAATAAAATAAAGTACCGCAGTAATGAAATTAAAGATGTGAAAAATTTGACTTATTTTATTTATGTAAAAAGCATGTCTTTACAACAAAAACAGGGAAAGCAATGAAACAAAATTAAATACCACTTACACATTACAGTCTGATTACATGAGAAGTTACTACCCCTCGTTCACATTAAATACGTACCTTAATTTCAAATTCTTCGCTTGTGATAATGCGTTTTCCAGAAACTAAAGATAATATTAATTTACAAGAAGCACACATCGTAACGTACATCGAAATGCATACAAATCCATTTGTACCATATATCAGAGGGCCTAAATTAACATCGCTACTTACAACATCTGTATAAAGAAAATCAACTAAAAATGTATAAGTATTAGTTTGTATTGTAAAAATAAACTTATTATTCCTTAGCTTACCGTTATGAATTTTCCACAGACCATTGTTTGTTTTGCTGTGAACTATGACGTTTTTAACATCTATCGGATTTTCGTCATCTCGCCATTCCATTATTTGGTTTTCTTTATGATCGCTAATCTGACTAATAAATCTTAATAGATTTTTTCGTTTCGACAAAACAAAATGTGACCACTTTTTGCTGGAAAGGTAAGTAGGGACAATGGTATGCTAAATATTAACCGTGTTAGTGTAAAATAAAAAGAAAATTTGAAATGCGTACGTTTATGTATACTTTTGCTTCATTGCAAGGCGCCTTAGGCCACATTCCATGTTTAGGATTAATGTAGTCCACTTCACATTTTCGTATCGCACTGCCCGCTCCAGTAAAAGCTTGCAGCATGAACCAATAACAACGAGCTTTCGGTGGATCTTCACCATCGCAAAGAAATATGTGACCTTCTTTTTCCATTCTCATGGAAAGAGGAATGTAGAAGCTGTCTTTCAGAACCACGTTTGTAACGAGTTGGTATTTTAGTTTATAATGATTTGGTTCGACGTATTCCGTTTTAATTACTTCCATTGCTGCATTGGGAAAAAATTAAACACATGTTTTTGTTGGAGTACGTTATTTTGGAATACCTTCCCATCTTTCATCTAAAATTGGGTAATTAATTTCAGACTGCATCGAATGTCGCAGTTCCCAAGGGTGTTTTGTGAAATAATTTTTGGTCTTATAATCATCCGTTATATCACAGTTCATTTCACCTGGTGATTGTTCTGGTATGTATCTTGTAACTAGGATAGAAAAAAAGTGTTTAAAATATGTATTTTGAAGAACAAGTATAAAGTGACTGATATTTAACAAATCCCAAAATCAATTTTAATAACATATTTTTAATGTCGTATATTTTACTTTTTTGCTAGAAGTATCCCCTTGCACCCCCAAAATGAATGTCTGTTTGTTTTGCGTTACCATAGTCAAATTTCTCCTGAATATCTTCTTGAATCCAACTTAATGCGGAAGAACTGTTCGTCACACAAATATAGTTATCGTTTTCGTATTGTTTCGCCAAAAAGTAACTGCTCTGACATATCGATAAAGTCATATAAAACACCACTAGCCCACAAAAAATCACTTTAAAATAGCACAACATTTTTATGATTTTCAAATTACAATTTACAATCGACTCAAACTTTTCCTCATCACAGTTAAACTTTACGATCACTTTTCACGTCTATTGTTGAACAAATACTGAACATACAATTGATGCTACTATCCCAAACGAGCTTTTGCGGTTCTGAGGAACTGACGACAGCAGTTGTTATTCAAACACAACCAAATAATGTATAATAATGTTGTAAATTAAAATACTTACCCACTTCGTGTATTAATTTTTCTGTAGATACGACAACAAAAAACTTGACATTTTAATATGCATTTTACAATAATCGCGTATATAAATAAAATATTGTCGAAAATACCGTAATGTAGTTAACAGCTTCACAGCATCCAATGGAAATGAAATTTGTAAATAGTAATAATGATAACATATATTTATCCATACAACTACTTCTATTTCGGAGAAATTTTCGGAATAATTATCGAGAAATTAAAAATCGGCTTTATTCTTTAGCATCCGGCTGAACTTATTTAGGAAATGTGTTAATGTATTTATTGTACTGTAGAGTTTTCCGGTAAATACAAGGAACTTCCTCTAGATTTTAGCATTATCTGTGTTTACTTTTATTTTCGTGGGTTTCCTTTTGGCACAGATAAATGAACGATTATTTAAACACGTACTTTTCAGCTAAACTGAAAAAATTGGTCGAAAGTTGTGTCGACAGAACTTCCCTCGCTCCTGAAGTGCAATGAAGCATATGCAGCATTTTCGAGTTGAGCTTTTTCTTTAGGCAATTTTGTGTTGACGTCGTCAACATTTTTGCACCGACACATATATCAACTTGGATTGAGGCAGTGTAATACTAAAAATAACAGTGTTGTATTCCCAAAATTTTCCGGGAAAACGGACTCCTCCTATTTTGGACATTTTAGACAGGGTTTATTTGGCAAAATTTTAAGCTGACGTTAACAATTTTTGCGTGAATTTATTTTATTGATTTAATCAGGAACTACAAAACCGGATGCTTTGAAATCTTGGAGATGTTTTAGAGTTATCATAAGCATGGTAAATTTTTATCAAAATGTTATGCTCATCCCCTCTAAAAAATGGATGACGCCCAATTTTGCTGAATCTGTTCATCAACTTCAAAAAATTGATTACGTTATCTCAAAATTTTCTCCCATAAATTCTTTTGTAGTTTATCCATGTGAATTACAACGCGTTCATATTTTTCCATGTAATAAACAAAACTAAAGTATGGTTCATTAAAGAATGTGTCTTCCGAAAACTTTACAACAATATCGTGTACTACATTAATTGCTTATCGGTGGAGTGACCCTCGTCATCGCGCCCAGACATGAACAATTCGTCCAAATATATAAAGAAACGTGTGTTACATCACTGAATGTTGAAGAAAAATATGGTCTAGGGTTACTTAGTTATATATAAAATTTAGGGCTGCTAAAGCGCTAGTCTTGGTTTTCGGAAAGTTGGGAATATGAACAAGAATTGTCACTGAAAAATTGTTTGTTATTATGGATTGTGTCACGACTGACTATTCTTAGATTATAGAAAAACGCAGTATTTATAGGATTTTTGTATTATTTAATATTTTTAGAGTATCATAGAATTATATTTTTTTGACATATATAATTATAATGTTGTTATTTTATCTCACTTCATATAAACTAAACTCCTTCAGATAGTTGTGGGCTGCTTCTAGCAGAAACATGTATTGACTCTGCAACCAAAAAAAATAATTAAATTTCAACTTTTGTCTAGTTTTCAAAAAAATTAATTTAATTATTCTATTAAAGTGTACGTACATTGTCAACAACAAAGTTCTCAGAGTGGCGCCGAAGGATTCTAACATACTGATCATTCATTTGTCTCCAATTAGCATCCGAAGGTTCGGCTGTCTAAAAAGTTTAGTCCTTCAGATAAATGCTGCTAAAAATAAAATTACAACTTTGTATTGGATTGTGTAAAGTTGTGGTGTCACGTGAGGTCCATAATTTTCAACTTCAAAATTTGAAACTTCGACAGTGGCTTCTGTGTACGAGATTTCAATTATTTCGGGAGGCTTCGCGAATATTGCTGGTGGTGCTGTTATGTTGAGAGAGAAAAAGGGTTATTTATATTTATTGCTGTGCATTGCATTTTAACATACGTATATCACATTTTGGACCAGAATAGCTCTCTTCACAATGTGATGAAGGACATTTTCCGTTAACATGGTCACAGGAATAGCCCACTCTATAAGAGTAATAGCATTTTCCGCACTGTTTTTGACATCCATGCCCGTAAGTCTTGTCACCACATTCTTAAATGATTAAATTATATTAATATTCAGAAAATATTATTATAATAATTATTACTGTAATAACATTTTTCGCCGTGATAGCCAGCAGAACAGACGCACTTGTGCCCTTTGCAAACTGTAATTTGTTTACATTCGTCAAAGATCCAGCTACACGGCATACAAAAATCTCCAATCGCGTCTTCCGGACAGTTGCTGTTAAGATTAGCTTCTGACTCATTTTTAAAATTAACAATTTGTTCAGAGTCAGATATCAATTGACACGGTACCTTTTCTGCTAAATCCAAAAATCTAAATTCTAAAAGTCAGTTAATTAATATTACACATATTTCTGCACGTTTGGTTTTTACCTTTTTTTCGACATAATCTGACTTTGTCGATCGCCCAGTAAGGTTTTGGATGTGAACTTTTGGTAGTTACTAATAATTTCATTCCGTGTGGAGAATAGGCATTCTCAGTCATAAATTTAATTTGGTTCCAACCTGCACGCTAAATTTTTTGTAGGCATTACTTCTGCATTTTAACATCATGTTGTAAGGATCCAATTCGAATTTTTAAATTTCAAACGAATTCCGCGCGCACAAGAAACAGTTGGTGAGAAGAAGAAAAGAAGGTTGGCAACCAACCCCAAAAAAACAGACATGCGCAAATGTTAGGGTGTTTTTGTCTCGTGTAAGATCACCCACTTCGCTTTGACCGCTTGGAACAAACGGTCGACTTCTTTTCGAGCGCTTCGAGCAACAGGTTGTATTTTTAATTGTGAATTATTCTGTGCCTTTTGCTGTTGTGTTTTGTTTTTCCAGTGTTGATCTGTCCCATTGGAAAACCTAGCAGCCCGTTGAGCCATTGGGTGTTCCTGATTTCTCATCGTTCTTACGACGAGGTTTTTGTGTTCCTGTTGGCGGTAAGCCGTGTCGAAATCTTCGCATCTTTGGAGAGGTATGTTTTGAACACCTGTTTGGCGGCGAATTTCAAGTCCCGACGATACTTCTGACCTCGTGACGTAGCGACGCGTGCGCTTGTTTTTCCACTAATCTCGTTTTTTTATCTTTCATTTAAAATCCATCGCAGTAGGGCTTTACAGGAAGTGATTTCTAGTTCGGGCCATGCTTTATTTAGCTATATTTGTGAAATCTGTATTTTGGATGGCGGCAAACGAATTGTTATTTTCACCGTTCTTTGTTCAGGCAGCGGCCATTTTGAAGCGTCCATTTGTTTCCTTTAATCGAGCACATGTTTTAACTGAATCTATTGAACAAATTAACAAACATTGTGGGTCATGGGGGGGACGTGCCTTCTATTCCTTTTATTTAGCCCATCGTTTATACAACGCCACAGGATTCATCGTATTTTTGCATCGCATATTTTCGACGCCTATTATTTGGAATGACGAATTCGTCCAACGCCATTTTGCAACTGCAGATTGTCTGCCATGTTTGTTTATGTGTTTTGTTTGGGGAAATGTATGTGTAATAATGGCCCACAATGCAGCTAAATAATTTCACGTTTGAATTTTAAACAATAACTTGACTGGACACGAATTAATATTAATCACATGTAAATCTGTTAACTTTACAATCTTTCACCTCATGCAATTTGTCTTTATCTCACATTTTAACCTCAGTAATTTTCCTTGTTGTATAATTTGAATTGAACGTAAATTTCCACGCTCTGCAGTTTTGACCTAACATGATATTTTATTTGCACAAGCTTATTTCACACCAGATCTTTGTTTTATAAATCTTTGCTAAGTTTTGATCATGTAAATATTTTGTTGATGAATATTTCTATCATGTAAATTATCTGATGTCCAAATTTAATCTCAATTAAGAATCATTTGTTGTTGAATTTTCGTAAGAGTGTGTGGCGAATTTAAATGTTGTGTATTGCTCTTTGTTGAAACTTTAACGCTTGTTCGGTTGTCATTTAATGTTAGAGTCATAGAGTTTGAACATTTAAATGAAATTGAAGGTAAATAACACATAACTCGTAGTGTACGTGGGGCGCGCGACTTCTTCTCAAACTGACGGGATTAATCGCGTCACCTGCACAAGTCCGCGGGTGTTGTATAGCTTCAGGGGGCGGTCGCGGGTTTTTAACGCTGCCGGTTTCGTGATAGCCGGGACCCCACTACGGATCTGCGATCGTAACCGCCTCGTTTCGCAGGGCACGTTCGTAATGGAGATGTGCGTGTGAGCAGGCTTTGGTGTAGATAGAATCACCGTCGTGGGAGAGAACAGTGACGATCAGGAGTCCCAACCTCTACTTGCGCTACAACGCCCCCTCTGGGTATTTTGCTGTGCTCATAAATGAAATTGATATATTTTGTTCTATGTTTTGTTCGATCGCCACACTCTCATAATGATTCGGGTTCTGCCATCCAATTTACATATGTGTAGGGTTTTGTGTTTGTTCGGTTTTCATATGTGTATGTCTGTCAATTCGCGAGTGTTTTTCTTCCACATATCTTAGGGTGTTTGACATGTAATATGTCGGTGAATAAAACCCCAGGGGGTTTTGGGGAATGAAGACCGATGACACCTTGGCCCTGCGGACTCGCCAGAAGGGCAAATCGAGCGTCTGTCGTTCTTCGTTTCTTTTTCCTCCTTAGGAAGGCTCCTAATTTTGTCTATTATTTCTTGCGCTCTCGACAGTGTATGCACTTGTATGAAAGAACTTCTTCCCGCCATTTTTCAAAAACAAAAAAAAAAAAACACACAACGTAGGTTCTCATTTGTTAGACGATCACAGCCAAGGCCAAACTTTGAATTTTTGAATTTTTCGCGGGCCTTTCAAACTGTTTCAAGGTCAAATTTTAAGGCGGGAAGTTTGGGTTATCACAATGTTAATAATAAACAGCTATAAAACTGCGACAACACTGAGTTTACAAATCGACATTTTAACGATAAAATTTATATGTACAAGTTGCTGATTTCTGCAGTTTTGGTCAAAATTTATAAATTTTGTAAACTTGACGTGAAACTTCGTCCTACTTTAGAATAAAAGTGTCATATATTTATATATGATACCTTATATATACTAATGTGAAATACAGATACATTTATACTACTAACATGGCCCCTTGAGAACACAGCTACTTTTTAAGGAAAACACCCCGATTTTTAAGGGTTAACAGAAAAGCAGAAAAATCGTGAAAAGACTCCCGTTTTTTAAGGTACTTTTTAAAATTAACATTTTTTTAAATGGCCCCCTCAGAACACAACACATTTTTAATGATTTCAGCCTGGTTTTCAAGATAACTTTTAAAAAGTTAAAATTATTAAAGAATTTGCCCGGTTTTTCGAAGTCACCCTTGTTTAAAAAGTCAAAATTCGGACAAACTCCTCATGAGCGAAGCGAATTTCCCTTTCAAAAACACTCAAAATTAGATTTTACCTTGTTTTCAAGTATATTTTAAAATTAATATTTTTCAGACTTTCCCTTGTTTTTAAAAAAGTTAAAAGTTGAAGGTACCTATTTTTTATTCAACAAATTTTTTTTTGAAATCTAATATTTATTTATTACGACAACGTTGATCTTCCTGAATCTGGAGTTCCATTATTGCTATAAATGAATGAACAAAACATAAGATTATAGCTATGTATATGTACTTTCTCACCTGTGCCCTAAGAAGGCAACAAGGGCAGTAATAAACGCCTCTTGTTGGATTGGCTCTCTGAATACTAACTGTATGTCTGCTTGCCGTCGCAGAAATAGGGTGACTTCCATCGGTTCTGTGTCATCAAATGCTTCAATATCTCTGTCGTCAACAAACGAAAAACCTTCGTCGTTGGAATTACGAAAAAAAATTGCACTTGGTTCTACTGTCACCGTGACATTTTCTAGTTGAGGTGACTCTCCTTTCTGATATTTTACGATGAAACTGGCCATTTTTGTTTTCATTAACCTTATTTTGCGTCGTTCACGGGCAAACTGGCGAAAATTGCTTATCGTGTTTTTCATATTCATTTTATCTAAAATAAAAACTACCTCTTTACTGGTTTTTATAATTATTTTATGATACGTACCTACTAATAATAACCTATTCTCTTCTCTCAAACAGTAAACGTCAAAAAGACCATGCGACAAGACTACAACCGCGCGCAGTTGTATGTATAAATAGTTGCATACGTTGCATACCGTAAAATCAAATCGAGCAGGTTTTATGTTGATTAATAACATTCCTATTAAATCGGTTTGTTTTTAAAAAAGTACAATAATATGCCATTTCTTTATCGAAGAGAACAAAAACAACAATTTTAAACAAATTTTAAAAATTTATGCACATGTTCTTTCTCTTCTTCTGGAGAGAGCTTTGTGATTAAAATAACAGCAATTTTTCGCAATAATTCAACTTCTTCATCTATATATAACCGAAGTATTTTTAATCATGTTTTTCAATAAGAGAGACATTAAGTTGCATCACTCTGTATTCTACTTTAATTTCTTTTTTGTCTAATTAATATCCAAACGGTATTGTATCAAAATTTTCCAGAATAACTCTCGTGTCATAAACAAAACCAAATTCTTTTGTTTCTATTTTATTTAAAAGTTCTTTAGTTTTAGTATCTCTGGTAATTCGATTATATTGTGTACTGATTTTACTGTCTTTGTGTTCTAAAATATTATTCATGCTATCGGACTTAATCTTTTCGAACGTTTCATAGTTTAATGTAAATCCTTTAATTCTGCAAACAACTTTACCTATATTAGGCTTATAACAATAACTTTTTGGACCTGTTGATACCCAGTCAACAATCCATACGTCCTTACCTAATTCATCGGTCCAATCTCCCAATAAACATCCTGTTTTAACAGTGTTTTTGCCATTATCTATGTATACAATGCTATCTGTATCATAATATACTACACTTTCTCCTAATATGTCCAACATTTCGTACAATCTTAGTCTAGCATTTGCAGTTGTAAAAGCAGCTATGAATATATTGGTATTGAAATAATTTTCTACATAGCAACCTTTATACTTGTAATCAATTTGTAACATATTTTCGTTTAATTCATTGATATGTATATTATCAAGTCTGTCGTCTAATAAAATCTCATAAAATCTCTTAATATCTGTAACATACTCTGTAGCGCCCATATTTTGTCTTTGACCAAATTTACCCCATAAGGAATTTAAACAGATTTTTGCAACAGCTCTCTTTCCAGGATTATTTTCTATTTTACCCAATTCAATACCTAGATTTTCTTTTACGGCTTTTCTATATTCTTCTTCTGATTCAAAATCATTTCTCCATTCACTTGTCTCTAACTTTATTTTCATAAATGCTTTTACATATCCTTTAAACAAACAACTCGATTTTTGTTCAAAATGCCAAACTTCATCAATAGTCATTATTTTGTATCCTTTTTCAATTGCTTTCTTTACTTCGTTTGTACACCAGGTTCCTCTGATAATTCTTTGAGATTCCGTATGAGTACATTTATCTTTTTGATTATTTAATTTTGCACACGACTGTCATAATGGAAATGTTAGTTTTTCATCGCCAGATTTATTTTTATTTTTAACAGGTAAAACAGCGTAATACAAACCTCTTGGTGGTAAAATTGCACATTTTATTAAACCATACCATTTTGAATTATATGTAGGAGGTTTGAATATTTTAGTAGGATGTCCAACTGGATAATCATCATAACATTGTACTGTTGGATATAAACTACAAATATCTATATATTTCATTTTCTTTCCATTAACTTTTAGTTTTGTAGCATTAGTTCTTCCTCCGAAGAACGCATTTCTAGGATTAAGTTCTTCAATTTCTTTATATTTGCTTTTAATTTGTTTCATTTCTTCTTTATATTCTTTAGATTGAATCCAATTGCATTCCCACATTTCTATTAAATTATAGCCAGCTTTTTTTATTTGCTCGCTTCTTTCTATTGTTTGTTCATAAAGATCTTCCATAGTTGTTTTATTCTTATTATTAATAAAATTTGAACTATAACATTTTGTACAACCATGCCAAAAACAACCGTGATATTGATAGACTGTATTAGATTTTTCATCAAAGCCATCAACTTTTGATCCACATATTCTCACTTCACCATCGTTTAATGCATGTTTTATATTTGGATTATGAAAACTATTCAACCAAGAAATTGATTGTTGAGAATATTGATCTTTTTTTAGATTATCAACAACTGCAATTGTATCTTCCTTAATATATTTTGATCTATATATAGCCATACAAACACCAGCAATTGTAATGTATCTAAAAGGATCTATGTTAGCTATTTCTAGAAATTGTTTTCTTAATTCAAGACATCCTCTTCTTAATATATCCACATCAGAATTACAATAATCATAAAGTTCATTTTTAAAATCAAATAAATAATTTTCTTTTCTTTTTTGTTTATGCCATTCTAAAAACTCTTCCCTATCTTTTATTTTCATAGAATTAACCCCATAGTATTTTGTATTTGGTATTTTTCCAATATAGTTCTGATTTTCTGTTGTATTGAAAAAATGTGGAAAATAACCTTTTTTAAGTTCGTTTAGACCGAATGTTTTAGGGAAGTTTTTTAAAGGTCCTTGAACAAAATTACTACTATCAATAATTCTCAAATTAATTGATTTTATTTCCATTAACATTATTTTAGATCCATTATATATGCAGAAAGGTTTAATACCGTTTTCAACGCAATATTTTAGAATAAAGTAAGAATCATAACCTTTGCCATAATGTGCAATAGCTGTGTATCCTTTATGATCTCTAGAAACTAACCATTTACAGAAATCTTTGTTAGTCTTAAAAGAATCAACATTACCGTAAAAATCGTGAGCTATAATTAAATTAGGTACGTGTTTGCCCGTTTCTTGCATCGCCTCATAATCAAAGAATAAATATTTTTGTGTGTAAGAGCATTTAGTTGTCTTAAATGAACATCCGCAATTAAGACATTGATAACCGTTTTCGTTCTTTGTCTTCGACTCCGGGATCTTTAAATCCCCTCGTGAACCTTTGGTGAACTCTGGGCTGGCCCTGCCAGTCTTTCTTGGTATTTTAACACAATTTTTACATTCTTTACATTGATAAATGTGATATTTTACTCTTTTGTTCGTTTTATCAGGAAAAGTTACTGAACAACCTTTTCTATCACAATTTTTACAACCTTTTACTTTGTATTCTTTACTACCGTCTTTTATTTTAGTTTGACAGATTCCACCTTTTTGCCGCTTCCATTGCATATAACATTTTTATTTAAAGATTATTTATATTTTTTGCCAGATGATTTTAAAGAAATTTCACATATTTATCAAAGACCTTCAGGTGATGTTTTAATAGTTGTTGAAAATTTATATTATTTAATTGATTTTCCAAGTTTTAATGTTAAAAGTGGATATAATGCTCGATCTATTGAAAATTTAGGAATACCAAAAAAATTATCCATCTTTCGTCTAAAATTGGGTAATTAATTTCAGATTGCATCGAATGCCGTAGTTCCCAAGGGTGCTTTTGGAAGTCGTTTTTGGTCTTATAATCATTCGTTACGTCACAATTCATTTCACCTGATGGTTGTTCTGGTATAAATGTTGTAACTAGGACATAAGAAGTTGTTTAATATATGTGTTTTGAACAACAAGTATGAAGTGGCCGATCTTAAAAAATTCCAAAATCAATTTTAATAAAATAATAATAACACATTTTCAATGTCGCATATTTTACTAGAAGTATCCCCTTGCACCTCTAAAATTAATATCTACTTGTTTCGCGTTACCATAGTCAAATTTTTCCTGAATATCTTCTTGAATCCAACTTAATGCGGAAGAACTGTTCGTCACACAAATATAGTTATCGTTTCCGTATTGTTTCGCCAAAAAGTAACCGCTCTGACATATCGATAAAGTCATATAAAACACCACTAGCCCACAAAAAATCACTTTAAAATAGCACACCATTTTTATGATTTTCAAATTACAATTTACAATTGACTTAAACTTTCCCTCATCACAGTTAAACTACTGTCTACTCTTGGACATATCCTGAACATACAGTTGGTGCTACCATCCTACACGAGCTTTCGCGATTCTGAGGAACTGACGACAGTAGTTGTTATTCAAACACAATTAAATAGTGTATAAAAATGTTATAAATTCAAATAATTTCTCAACTTCGTGTATTAATCTTTCTGTAGATACAGCAAAAAAAACTTGACATTTTAATATAAATTTACAGTAATCGCCTATATAAATAAATAAAATATTGCCGAAAATATTGTAATGTAGATAACATCGTGTGTCAATATTGGTTATTTGTAAATTTGTAGTAGGTATTTCATGGAAATTAAATTTGTCATAATAAAAATAACAGATATTTATTCAAACAAAAACTGCTTCTATCTTGGAGAAATTTTCTGAATAGTCAGTTATCATTATCAAGAAATTAAAAGTCTATTTTATTCTTTAGCATCCGGTTGATCTTATCTAGGAAACGTCCGTGTTATAGTAATTATTCTAACTGTAGAGTTTTGGAAAATAATGAACTTCCTCTAGATTTTAGCATTATTATTAATAATATTATTATTACTACGCCTCTTAATAGGCTGGGGGTCCATTTACAAAAAGGAAAAAACAGCTAGAAAAATTTGGATTAAAATGAACTGAAAGAGAAGCAAGATCATTGACAAAAAAAGGTGAATTTGTATATTATTATATATAGATATATCAAAATTGACACTGAAACATAGTTCAATGTTTTATTATTAATTTTGACTTGAGAATAGTTTCAAGAAGTCCAGTTGTTTTTCAATTTTTTAAGATCTGATGGAGTGCAATTAAAGATGTCGACCTTGTATTCAATATGTCTGTAACTTTCCAGCATCTGATACAAAGAGGAGGCTTTCATGGCTTTGGATCTTGGAAACCTTTGTTCAAATATTAAATAAATTCTTAGTTACTTTTTAGGCGTTCTCAGTCTTATCATCTCAAGCAAACCTTCACATTATCTGTGTTTACATTTATTTTCAAGAGTTTCATTTTGGCACGTTAAGTGAACAAATATTTAACCATATACTTTTAATCTAAATGAAAAAAAAACTCACAATACATTATTAAATAATTCACTATTATGTGTAGAAAAGACAGACACAAATTACACTTTTTATATAATATATTTTATTGTACAATTTTTACAGTATTCAACGTACAACGTACAAACATCAATCAAAAATTCTCATACTCAGTATCCACCACCGCTTCATAATCACCATTACATATTATTTCCAAAATTATCAAGTGCGCCAATTTATACATTTCCACATTACAAACCAAATCCGACTTATGATCCGCCAGCAACTTCAAATTTTTCCAAACGTCGACCCTGTTTTCTCGATCCGCCATCCTCAGCGACATATCACACAGAAGTACAAACCCAACCTTCTCAGTGTCGCCACTAAAAACACAAACGTTCATCCCAAAAACCCTCGTCCCACCATACCTACTTGCTGTGCACAAAAATCGGCGAACCCGACAATAAAGGAAAAGTGAGCAGTTTTTTGAAAAGAGGCACAAACTGAAGCGGATTTAGTCCTTGATAAGAAAACGAGATTTGGTTCACCTACAAAAAACAAAAAAATAAAAACTGTATAAAGCGACAACATTTTCTCACGTGTCGGATTTCGTCGTTTTTAATCAGAATGAAGGTTTTGTGTTCGTAGTTGGACACCACTTTGCTGAAAGCTAGTTGGATGGAAATGCTGTGGTACTCCATTTTTTCGTCTTTGTCTGGGTAGTACTTTTCGATGGGGGGATTGCTGGGGGAGGTGAGCAGAATCACGTGTCGCGCGTTTTCGTCCCAGATGTTTTTCCAAAAAGTGGCAACGAAATCGAGTTTCGGACATTCGGCTGTGATGTACGCTTTGGATACGGTGTCCTATAACGCACAAAATATATATGTTTTCCACGACAGTACCACTTATTTACGTTGGAAAATTCCATGTCTACGTAGTCGAAATATTCGTTGTCTCGGATCTCCACATAAGTTACGCTGTTTCGGATGTTCAGAATCATCTACAAAATCAAGTTTTTGACTAAGAATTACATTTTGTAGTACCGACATCGTGCTGAATGGCAAGTTCCTTGGTACTATCGGTACGTTCGACGTATTCTCTGAAGTCACCCACGTCTATCGCTTTGGAGTAGACAGTGTTGTCAAGAACGCAGGCATTTTCATACGTTTTGTCATGCTAGAAGCTAAACGTGAGAAAACTTTCTTAGAAGAAAAAGGGAGTACCTCGAGTTTGTGGTCCTTTTGCTTTGTTACAACGTTGTCCATGGAGTAGACACCTTCTGTGGGGGTTTTCTCTACAACAAAGCTAATTTAATTGATCTTTAAACGAAAGCATCTTCTTACTCTTGAAGTAACTCTTCACTTTTTGCCTTTTCCTAAAACCACTTGCATGTTCACAAGTTCTAACAATACGAGACACTTACAAGAAGATGATGACTACTGGTATTATTAGCAGCAGAAGAAGCAATGCTAGTAGAGCAAAATTGGGGGTCGATGTGGAACCACTCAGACAGTAGATCTTGTAGCTGCTTTTGGACAACGCGCTATTTTTGACAATCACTAGAACCTCGTACTTTCCAGTAGTACTAGAAGCACTTGCCTTGTCAACTCTTACAGAGACTTTTTTGGTGAAATCGCGTGAAGTGTAGATGGGTCTGGACTGATCTACAAGTTCCTCGAGTTGTTGGATTTTCCACTCTTTTGTGCTACAATCTGAAACAAGCAAAACTAGTCCGTAGGTATTTTCTTCCATTCTGTTGTAGATTTCTGGCGAAATGTCAACTGAAATGGTGTCACTAGAAATGGTAACTTTTGGGTCTACTACAAGATGGGGGACGGTAGGTGGACTGGTATCCGCAATTGATGCCGTTTCGCCTTCGAAACCATTATTAGCTGACACTAGAATACTGTAGAACGTAGAAGGTACAAGTTCGGTACTCTTCACCTAACCAAAACACAACTAAGTTATTCATGGTTTTTCTGCTAGAATTTCGTACTTTATAAAAGTAGGTTAAAGCTTCTTCTGTGACCGGTCTTCGTACCACGATTTGCTCCTTCTGAGCAGCAGTGGTGGCAACCGTGAAAAATTTGATCTCGCCGTTGGTTTGATTTGGGTGCTTCCACTCGAGTTCCAAGTCGTTGTTGAGCGACCACGTAATACGCAGATCATAAGGAGCCTTCGACTTTTCTGAAACATCTTCAAAGTTACGGAACAACATTACTAAATTTTTACCTGTTTGTGTAACCGCCTCTACAACTTTAGACGCCCCAAATCCATCCGGGTTCTTGTTTCTGGCAGACACCTAAAGAAAAAAAAACAAATTTTGCTTGGGATAGTAGAAGCTACTTACAGCCACCGAGTACCGTTTGCTTTTTTCCAGCTTCGACAAAGTCACACAGTGAAATTCGGGCCACAATTGACACGGAGTTTTGGCTAGAATTAGTCTAAATTCACCATACTGGATTTTATAAGCTTCCAAGATTCCGTTGGGTGGGTATGGGGGTTTCCATCGCAGCGAAATGGAACTCTCGTTTTTGGAATAAACCAAAAGATCGGTGACACTGCTGGGGACTGAAATTTCTATGTTTATTTTGAATGGAAAAAAAATCGTGTACCTGAAGGCTCCGTTGTGAAATTTCGTTTTTGAAGCGAAGTACCGCAATGAGTACTGTTCCGACAAAATTTGAAATCGGCTTGGTAATTCGTGTATGGAATCGCCTGTGTGAAGCTAATTTTAGAAAAGGGCCACTGCTGCTGAAATTGTGCTGTGTCTGAGGGTTTGCACCACTGGCTAGTACAGTTGATGGTCAGTTTAAGGAATAAAGGACCACGGAGTCGTGCACAGGTAATGGTACTCGTTGAAAATGTGACAACGTTAGCTTCACTAGTAAACTTAACGGATGGTACTTCTTCGGTTTTTATGTCATGAAGTGAAGAAGTCGTTACTATTGTTTGGCGAAAGGGTCCAGTGTATTTTGTGTTTGCGGTGGCTACAGAAACTGAGTACTGTGAAAATGGAATCAAGTTGGACAAAATCACGACATTTTCTTTGACGTTTCTTCTGTTTCTTGTCGACGTTGTCAATGTAGAATTGCAAGCGGCGTATGAAACATGCTAATTTTTTTTGTTTTTGATTGGATTATTTATTTTAAACTCACTTGGTACTCTACAATGTAGTACTTGAACTGTCCGTGAATGAGGGATTGTTGTTTCCACTGCAGTGTCACGCTGGACGACGATACGTTTATTGCCCGAACTTCCTCAATTTGTGTTGGTACTACAAAAAAAAATCAGTTTGTTTTTAAATAGTACGGTGCTAGTACCTGATTCGCTCGTCTGGAAGCTTTTTTCTAACAGTGTCGACTTTCGTTCCAGGAAAATCGTGTAGTTGGTAAAAGGAGTGAGATTATTAAAATCCACAACCCTTTTGTTATCACGTACAGACATCTTGTAACTCTTGAGGGCGCAGTTGGCTTTCGTTGTCTTAAAAAAATGAGTCAGAACGTACCAGCACCCCACCAAAGTACTTACGTTTGCTAAAAAAACCTCCACGCTTGTGTTTGACACTTTCAAGTCAACGTTCTTCTCAGTGATATCTGCAAAATCTGGTTAGAAATCAGTTTGGTTGATTTAAGGTCTAACCTTCACAGTTTGTGGAAAAATTGGAGGTCTTGACATGAGGACCGTCGTATGGTTTGTTATTTTCGGCTATTATTACACTTCTTACAGAGTACAGGGTGTCGGGTTCTAAGTTGTCGATGGTGATGGTTGCGTTTTCGTTAAACTGGAAGTTGGTAGGGACGGCTTTCCACGGATCTTCACGTTCTGCTTTCTAAAGAAGACTGTAAATATTGGGTGTGGGGTTTTGGGGAATTTGTACCTTGTATTGAATGGTGTAGGTTTCGGGACGGTTGTTTCTAAAGTAGTTTTCGAGTTTGAAGTTGGTGACGGTGACGGTGGCAGCTGTATTGGTAACACTGAGAATTTTTGGAGGCTCGCTAAAGCTTATAGTAGGTGCTACAAAAGGTGTTGTTTAGAGACCATTATTGTTATTAATATGTTGTAAAACGTACGTATATCACATTTTGGCCCACTATAGTTCTCGATACATTGTCGAACATGGCAGGTGCCGTCCACGTGGTCGCACGGATTAAGCCAGCCCGAGCATTTTCCACACGGTTTGAGACACCCATGACCATAGAATCTCCCAGTGCAAGCTAAAATTTTCATTCTCGAAAAATCAACATCACACTATGTATACCTTACGATAGAAGCAGTTATGTTTCGGGTCAAAACCTGGCGAACAGACACACTGGCTTCCAGTACAAATTTTTACTGTCTTACAACGCCCATCGAAGATCCATTGACACGGCACACAAAACGGACCAAATGCGTCTTCTGGACACGTGCTTCCTAAGCAGAAACGAATTCCAGAACCATCAAATTTGTATTTCGTGCATACTTACCCAAAGCTACGGTTGTATTATTTGTTGTAATAGTAGCGTCATTTTCCATTAGTTGGCAGTTTCCTTTTCCTTTAAGCCTGATAATGCGAAATTCTAAAACACCGCTGTTAGGACGTTTAGAACGACTTTGGCAGAATTACCGTTTTCGTTGCACACTCTAACGCTGTCGATTTTCCAGAACCGATTAGGGTCTTTACTTATTGTGGTCACTAGAAGTTGGATCTCACTAAATTGGGGGACGTTTTTTGCCACCAGTCTCACTTGAGTCCACCCTCTTTTCTAAAACAAGTATCACAACATGTGGAAATCCAATTTTTAGCTCACCTCATAGTCGTAAATTTTCTCGACGATCGTTTCGTCGTAAGTCGTCAAAGCCAGCTTTATTTTACAAAATCGACACATGGAAATCAACATAGAAACGCACAAGGAATCCGTTTCTGCGTCTAAAGCTGGACCCAACTCGATCTCGTCTGTTTCTTCGACAGTGTGAATAAAATTCACTAAAAACTGGGTTGTCATTTTTGCCACACAAATTCTAATTGTTACGTTTATGGATTTTCCACCACGCTGCGACTTGCTTGCTGTGGACGATCATATTTGTCACTCTGATGGGGTCGCCATCCTGCCACCCGAAAATTTTTTCTTGTAGATTTTGGCCAACTCGGTAGCACTCCAGCGTTTTTCCTTTTTTCCTGACTTCCAAGTGTGTCCACTTCTGGTCAGACAAGTATGTGGGGTAAGCTGGGTGCTAAAAACCACTTTGGTGCAAATTAGAGGAAACTAGAGCGAAACCACGTACTTCCACTTCGATTCGGAGCCTTCGGCAAGACTCATCGCTTGGGTAGTTTTGTCCCAAACGAGGTATACTATTCGATCTACATTTCCTCAGTGCCGATTTTTTTCCAGAAAAAGCCTGCAACATCAACCAGTAGCAGTTAGCTTCGGGGGGAAATTCGCCATCGCAGAGGAAAACGTGCGCTTCGTTTTGGGTTCGAAGTGAAAGGAAGATGTCAAAATCGGCGCCAGATATAGAGACGAGTGGTAAATAGTCTAAATCCCCGTAGTAATTGTAGGTGGTCGTTTTGGTATCGAATTCTGAAACGTAGGGGTTGTTATTGGCCACTATTCGTAAGAACTCACCTTCCCATCGCCGGTCCAGCACCAGCTCTAGTGAATTTTCGAGTTTCCATGGAGTTTGGACGAAATACGTGTCAGTTTGAAGGTCGTTTTGAATATCGCAGTCGAACGAATTCGGTTCGGTGAGCGGGATAAAAGTGGAAACTGGATTTATGTTAAGACCGATTTTAGGTTTGACGTCGAAGTTCGTCCAGCTCAAGGCAAAAGAACTGTTTGTCACACAAACACTCTCTCCACCTCGTTCAGCGATAAAAAAATCATTTTCACCACAATGCGCTCCGGCGCAACACAAAAGAAGCAAAATTGATCTAGAACACCGAAATCACCTACACAAAATTCGTAAAAGAGAACTCACCTTCTTAACATTTCCAGTGTGTGTGGTGTGACAACAAAGATATTCGTCACGATTATACCAAAAGACGATAACGCATGAGGTTTTCCGCTGACGTAATTTGCGTGGAATGAGTTCCTCCGACTCGAGCTTTTGCAATGAGGAAAATAAAAACACTGTTTGTGTGTAATTTTTTATTTCTTTAGCATTGGCGGAAACAAAAATATAAAAGCGCTTTCAAAAACTAGCTAAAATTGGCGTAATCCTGGAACCCTTCGACGTAAGCCACCGCCGCTTTGTACAAAAACTCGAACTGTTCTTCGTTCCGAACAAACTGGCTTCTGTTGTGGCGAACCGTCCTCACGGCTTGACAAACGTCGCAAACTTGCTCCAGGTTAATTTTTTCGATGACGAAAGTCAGAGCTACGTAGAGACCGCAGGCAAGAGCTCCATCACTGTAACAAAAATGTAAATTTGTGCGACTGAATCGTGGAAAATCGCTTACAAGCACGTAACCACGACGGGTTTTGACTGTCTTGACTCAACGTTGACACTTTCGTAGAACGAAAGAAAATTTTTGATGTTTTTCGGACAGTTGGTTCTGGCGGGCCACGTCTTCAGAGCCATAATTTCGACAAGTTTGTACTCCTAAAATAATGGGTTACTTGTTAGATACGATACCGGTTAAACTTACGTTGTTGTCGTTGACGTGCATGTGAACAGAAATCAAATCGTGAAATTCTGAAGACGAAATATTTGCGAGTTTGAGGGTGATGTAGTCTACGGGTTTGAATGCTTGTTCTGTGGAAGGCCAGAAATGGCAGCTGCTTTTGTTCTTGAGATTGATTTCGTTTAGCGATATTATCAGTGATGTCTCTTGTTCGTGGATGAGTCTCCAGAAATCACCCAGAGTGTTCTGCATGGGTTGCTGGGTCACTATGAACCGACCAGGGCACTGGAACCCGTCCACTCGGACCGCGTTAATGTAAGTGGAAGCTTCGTCGTCAACGGGATAACGGGAAAGGAAGATGCAACCTTGACACTCTAGAAAAACAATCATGACTACTAAACTTGACAAATTGGCACACCCACCTGGAACTATAGTTTGTTCGCGATTCTTCTCCTTCACTATGACAAACTTGTCGCTTTTATTCGCCACTGACTTCATAGTCTGGTCTTGCCAGGCCGTTTCGTCTAAGTAACTCATCTGTTTTTTAATCCCTCCACCTTTGATCAGTTTCTTCACTTCTGCGTTTAAAGCCTGGCACGACAAACCCGAATACATTCCGAAGAAGTACTCCACAATCACCAGGTGTGCTAGCTTGTACTGCTGGATGTTGTCGACCATGTTGGGTCTTTGGTCTCGCAGCTGCTGCAGCGTTTTCAAAACATCGACACAGTTTTCCTCAGCTGCCATTCTTAAACAAGTATCGCATAAGATTATAGTACCAGTTCTACCCACACCTGCGCTGCAGTGAACCACGACCGGCGACTTAGAGTCCAACTGGATGCTCTGGAGGGTCATCAGAAACGGTATCAGACTCTGGGAGTAAAGCGGTACTCCGTGGTCCGGCCACGACAAAAAGTGGTACTGCTGCACTTCTCTGGTCTCATCTTTGCAGACGACTCGGAACCTGCGGTGCTCGTAGTCGGCGAACATTTCGCTCGAAATGTAGTAAACCGTGATGTCTTGAAAAGGCAAAGTTTCGTGCTTGTCGGGCCAGTACTTTTCGACTTTTTTCTAGTTGGGTCACACCAATAAAATGGTAACGCACGTAGGGATTTTTACTCACCTTGCCACCTTCTTGGATATTTGCTAGCATGGCTATGTGTTGGACGCCTTCTTGCCAGATCATCCTCCAAAAATCGTTAACGGTGGAAAGTTTGGGTCCCTGAGTTGCGATGAAAGCGTTTTTGACTTTGTAGCCCTAAAATGTAAAGTTTGGTCGGGGTGAAGTGCGAGTTGTAGACTTACGTCGATGTAGTTTGCGTTAATGTAGTCGGAGTGGGGTTTGCCGCTGATTTTTTTAAGAATGACTCTGGTGTGGTCATCTGGTGAACAAAGATAAGTGAGAGTGTTGGCAAAAAGTGGTCGACTTACAGGCAATGAGGTTGTTGTAGCGGTTTTTCGATTTGTTTTCTTTGATGGCTCCGTAGTCCCACGGTTTGGTTTGACCACGAGGAAATAGCTAGAAAGTACGATTTTAATGTCGATTTTTGAGTGTGGTTGTTAGTTGACTATTACTTCGTGCTGACGTTTCAATTCGTTGTTGTTTAGAGATTCTTTCACGTAATCGACAAAACTAGAGAGCGGGATTTTTTTCGAGTACACTTTAGTGTTTTCGGCGGGTTTTAGTACAGTTGCTAGGGGGGTGTCTTCACCTCCGGTTTCTTCGAGAACTAAAATTGTCATAAATTAGAATGAATGGTTTTAAAGATGTGGGGTCGTTTACGTGGATCGTTTCCAAACATGTTTGTTTTGAAACTGGTGAATTTTTCGGTGATGGGGCGTCTTTTGCTGCAGATCAATTAAGGGTGGTTACAGGTGGTGTGTAGGTGTGTATGTTTGGTTTACTTACATGTAGATAAAAATGACGATTGGAATTATCAGCAGCAGCAATAATAAAGCCAGGAGGGTTAAATCTCTGGGGGTGTTTGGTGATTCACCGGAAGTGAGTGCGCTTTTAGAGTATAATTTGTAACTACTTTTATCTCGATAGGTGCTAACTAGCATCACCGTTACGTTGTAAGGGGTTCCAGTCGTTAGAGGAATATTTGAACCTTGTTTGCAGTTTGTAACGTTGCCGCTTTGTCCTATTACAAACTGTTTTGTGGTTGAAAGACTGTTGCACTCGTAAATCACTCTAACCGGTGAAAGACTTATGCCGAAATTGTTTTCGAAATTTTGTAGCTCTGGTGGATAAGAATCGGATTGTAGGTTGGCGTTTGACACTAACAAAAATAGCTTGTAAGTGTTGTTGTTGTTTATGTTTTTATTTTTCTCGACTTGAAGTGTGATTGTAATATTTGAAACGTTGACGATTTTTGGTTCTCTTTCAAGCACGGGAATTTCAGGAGGACTCAGGTCTGTGACGTACCCTTCTTTTCCCTCCATACCGTTGAAAGCTTCAACCACGATTTTATAATTTGTTGAGGTTCGTATATCTTGCGATTTTACCTGTAAGCAAAGTAGGAAGTGCGTTTTAAATTATTTATGTTACTTACAATCTTTTGATACGTAGGTTTATATTGATCTTTTGTAATGTTTAAAGATGTATCAATTCTTTTGTTTTTGGATGAAAGTTGAAGTATCCTTATCTTGAAACTTTGTATCTCGCCATTCGCTACAACTGGATGTTTCCATCTTATGTCAAGATAATTTTCTAAAGTCCACTTGACCATAACGTCAGGAGGTTTCTCTGAAGGTTCTGAAATGTGCATAAGGCAATGTCAGTATTGTGAAGTTACAAAATTTATTTTCACAGTCTGACAATAAAAAATTGTTGCTTTAATTGTTTGATGAATAGTTACCAATTTTCGTTATCGCCTTAACAAGTGAAGTTTGTCCGAAATTGTCCGGTTCCTCGTTTTTCGCACTCAACTACAACAATATAAGTAAAGTGAAAAAAAATCAACGATGACTTACTTGAACAGAATAATTCATATTTTCTGACAAATTTTTCAAAGTGTAGCACTGGTACTCGGGCCACAAAAAACAAGGCACGTTGGTTACACTAATATTTTCGGCCTTTTCAAGCAATTTTATTAGATACAATTTTAAAATTCCAGTCGGAGGACTCGGTGGCCGCCATCGAACAGAAATCGAGTGTGTATTTTTGGAATAAACCGACAAATTATTTACAGCATAAGGAGATTCAGTTTTTGTTTCAAAGCTACCAAATGTAATAATTTTGCTGAAATTGTTTCTGTGAAATCCAAATGTTAGCTGATAATTTGTGAACGGGGCAAGACTATTTAATGTGAGTGTTTTATGTTGAGGATATGTGAAAGAATTCGATACATTTTGGTCTTTACACCAGACCGTTAAGCATACTGCATTTGTTACAACTTCTATTGGGCCTCCAAGGTTGCTACAGGGTACGCTCGAAAATTCGAATTCCACCGAGCGACTATTCGTTTTTTTTAAAGACGCTTTTGGTATTTCTTGATCGCGGATTGTGTCTGAAATTCTATCGTAACTATAAATTCAAACGAATCTTTATTAAATTTGTAACCTGACTGCGGGGTATTTTGTTCTACCTTTTCTTCTAGTCCCGATAATTTTGTATTTCTGGCTTTAACAGAAATGGAATATAGTGTGTACGGTTTTAAGTTAGATAAAGTTATGGAGGTATCTGTCGAAATTTCTGTAAGTTCTTCAAAGTGAGTTGGAGCGGCATCACAAGTAAGATATCTAATTATCTGCAAAAATGTGTTTTAAAAAGTCAAAGTCGGACAGATATTTACTTTATATGAGACAACAAAATCTTGAAAGTTTCCATGTAGTTTAGGTGGAGCTTTCCACTTTACATCAATTTTGGAATCTGATGTGGCTCTTGCAACTACATTTGTTACATTGCCTGGCACTGATTTATGAAAAGAATGAGTAATGTTTTTGATTAAAAAATATTAGACAATACCTCCTTCTGTTGTACTAAATGGTATTTTCACAATTGTGTTGTTGTTTTTTATTGTCAAAGTAAAGTTCTCAAAAGGGTATAAACCATTGATATTTAAAGTCATGTCCTCCAAATGATAAGAAAATTTAGGTACATTAGGCTGGATTTCGATACTTGTTTCAGAATTTTTCAATTTGCAAATTTTAAATTTCGACTGAAATTAAAATTATTTTTTCTTTATTTAATTTGAATATATAACTTACGTCCAGTTTCACGGTTATATAAGCTGTGGTATTGGTTGGTTCTACTTGAAAATCTTCGCTCTTTAAAGCTACAACAGCATTTAAAAATGTATATGTTAAATTTATTTAATTTGTGATAAGTATACCGTCACACTTTGTAATAAAATCATTTCTAGGAATGCTGTCGCTGAAATTTCCTGCATATTTTTTTATAGTGGATCTAACGAAATACTTTACGCCAGGTTTTAAATTTTTTATTTTAAATGTATGTGACATCCCTACGTCAGCGCTATCGCTATGAAGAGTCCATTCTGTAGAGTTTGTTTCCTAAAATAGACTTATGTGTAATAAATAATTTATCTATTTTAGTTAAAACCTTGTATTGGACAGTGTACTCGTACCGAGAACTATCAGTGACTGAAGAACGCTCCAATTCAAAGTTATCTACAAGAATTTCGGCGTCCGTGTATCCAATTTTTTTTATTTTGGGAGGATTTTTAAAAAATGGTGTTGGTGCTGTTAAAAGCGTGGAAATATTTAACACATTTTCTAGAAAACTATCAAATGCCTTACCCATCTCACACTTAGGACCCATATAATCATTATAGCAAGATGTACACGTTCCATCAGTAAAGTTACAATAACCCATACAATGCGTATTGCACGTCTTGCTGCAATGATGTCCGTAAGTTCCAAAATCACACCCTGAAAGTAAATTAAGCAATTTAAAATATCTGATAAGATCTTATTTTTACTGGTTTGGCAGTTTATCTTCTTCTTGCCGGTTTTATATCCAGCTGAGCATGAACAGAGCAACCCGTTTTGATTGTATTCGCATACTTTTAGCTGTCCACAAGTTTCATTCAGGAATAAGTTACACGGTACACAGTGTATACTAATAGTATTTTCGGCACACTTGGTGTACTTGTCTGCATAAGCTAAAAGGTATCTTTCATAATGGAAACCTAATGATTGTTAACGTACATGGTGTCACGGCGTTATCCAAAGAAATGACTTTATTATCGGAATTTAAAAGTTGACAATTTGGCATCATATCCAACTGAATCATTCTTAGACCTGAAATTGTGGTTCTCAGAGTAGTGTTTTGGCTAAAAACATCGTTACCATTTTCTCCACATTGTTGTATTTCTTGTATATCCCAGTAAGAATGTGAAGTAATTTCGGGCGTAGTAATAATTGCAAATTTAACGTTCTTGGCTTCAGTTGTTCGTTTAACAAACGTAATTTCGGTCCATTTGGGCATCTTAAAAATTTTTATTAATTAAAACAAAAATAGCTTTGTAAGGTTAACCTCTTCGTAAATTTGTTGTCCCAAAACTTGTTTATCATTGTTTCCACTTGTAATCACAAATTTTATTTTGCAGTTTTTGCACATTCTCAAGAATGTAGTAATACAAATTTTGCCGTTTACTGGGAACAAGGTTCGTTCAAAATCTGTTCTTTTTGTTTGGTTAATTGTAAAGTATTTATCTAAAACGTTAACTATGATTAGAGAATTTTACCAAAATGAGAATATAGTTATAACCTTTATGAATCTTCCAAAGACCTACATTTCTTTTACTGTGTATTAAAATATTCCTTATCTTGTACGTCTCTTCGTTGTCGGTATATGATATTATTTCCTGACCGTCTTGTTTGCTGAGACTAATTTTGTTATTATTTTTTGTCAACATAAAGTGTTGCCATGTGGTATTTGTTAGAAATTTAGAAGACTCTGATCCGTGCTAAAATATTTTAGAATAATCATTCACTGTAATAGGAGTTCCTTAATGCATACTTCTTTTGAAACCTTATTGGTATCGCAGGGACTCCCCACCGCAACATTATTTTTTGTAGGTATTGTCTTAACAGGACATTTTCTAAATACAGATTTTGTTCCATTAAATCCTTGTAATATAAACCAATAACAGTTTGATGTTACGGTGTCGTTTTCACACAAAAATATATGAGCTTCCTTACTCGTGCGGATGGATAGCGGCACGCTAAAATTTGCACTTTCTATCTCCAGGATCTTTGAAAATTGTAATTCCTTTTTAAAGAAATCTACATAGTCTGTTTTGCTAATTTGTATGTCTAGGTATTAAAACAACATAAATTTTGAAATAAGTTTTACGCTTTTAAAATTATACTTTCCCAACGCCGATCGGTAATAATTTCATCCGCAACTGACTGACGACACTGCAAGCCATACTTTCGGATTTCATTGCAGTCCACTTTCCAGAGTGTTTTTGCGATTGGAAGAAATCTTGATCCTACAAAAAGACAAACATTTTCACAATAATCAAAACCAACTAAAACTGCAAACAGAGCAATTTACAATGGCGAGTGTTTTCAAGCGCACATAAACACCTTTTCGAACGTGTCTTTCTTAATGAGTGTTGCCTTTTGTGGTTGAAAAAGCTGAGAATCACTTTTTATAATTTTCGGCTCGAAAATTCAAACAAGCAACAACCAAGGCTCAGCGGACTTCGCTCGAAATGTAATTATCATCTTTGAAACAAATCCAGGAAGCAACCGGATGTTGGAAATTTTTCGGACAATTAGACCGTTAGCAGAATATTTTTAAATATAAAGCTTCATTACACGATTAAATATACGAACCTTGCTGTAAATCTTTGCTGGATGAGGTGTCTTCGATTATCCAACTTAAAGCACGCGAGCTGTTTGTTATACAATAAAACTGAGACCCCAGGTACTTGTTCACGACAAAAAAAACATCCTCACTAAAAGAATAGTTAAAAGAGACGACAACAAGGAGACTAATTAATTTGATAAAATTTAACTTCCTTAACATTTTAGCGAATACGAATTCGCTTATTCAGCTGCAACAAATTTCAGAGACTAATAAAAAGTTTGTTTAAAACGTAGATTACTTATCATGACGATATGAAGCTACAAGAAGGTGTGTGGCGGAAAATTGTCGGTTTACTCAAGTCGGAAATTCCTTTTATCTCCTATATCAACATGATTCCTTGGAAGTAATATACATACCGCAAAGACATTTCGGGTTTTGATCGCAATTCGGTTACGTTGTTATCTTGTTGGTTATCAGCTTATCTATCAATGTCAATGTGTGAATGTCACCGGATTGATTTATTTCAATTTATATTTTAATACTTATATATAGTTCTTCAAAAATGTACCTATATTTTTTGTATATACATATTATGTGGTGTCAGTTCGTAACAAACCACAATTACTCTTTGTGACGGTTTTTCCTGTGTAAGCAGTTTATCTTGTGTTTATTTAATGTTTGTACTTGCGCAATAAAACTGTCTTTATTGACAAACACGGAATTATAGTTTACACTTAACGGAATGTTTTTCAAATTTTCAAATTTTTATTTCGAGATTTTCGTCATGCTAACATCACAGTTCGCTGTTAGTGTTTGACAGCGTTGATTAGATTAGGTAGCACCAAGCAGACTGCATCCGAGTAGTGAGCCTGTTTTATTCCATTACGGTTCTGTTTCAGTTTCATTTTATTGGTGTTGCTTATCCGTCAATGTCAACAAGTGAAAATACACGAATTTATTTGTGGTATCAAACTATCCCAAAAATTGAATCAACTTTACTGTACTGTAAAACAAACAATTTTTGTCACTGTGATTATTTACATTTTGTAATATGGGGTTTACCAATAAACGGTTTTTCCTTTTTTATCTACTGAAGAGCTGTACGTATGTGAATTACCTTGTTTACATATTAATACACTGATTATATTTATTTTATAACGATTTTCCTGGTACAGTGTTAAAAATACTTTATTGGGTCGGTACCAGTTTTGACGAATAGTAAAAATGAAAAAAGAGAAAAAGAAATGAGCTTTAATAATCGGAAACAAAAGAGGACAAACGCAGAAGGAAAAATGTTAGAAATAACAAAAACTGTGATTAGTTTAAAAATTCTATTCAACATTGTAAAAAGCTGTCATGTAGTAAGATGAGAAAAAAACTGTTAATAAAAAAAGTAAAATATTTCTGGCCAATTAACATATTTCGTACAAGTTATGTTGCTGCATGTAAAATTCGGTCGCCTCCCAGAGGAATTTTAGCTGCTCCTAAAACACACGCGAGAAGAAAATTAAAACTGTTTCTGCAGCATTTTGCCAATACAAACTTCTTTTGTTGCAAATTGGTGACGATATCGTCTTACAAGTCTTGCGGAAGTACAAATGACGGATTTTTTCTCTTTTTTAATGTTGTCTATGTTGTAAGACATTGCCACATACAGCCCTGATGCTGTAGCTCCGTCACTGTGTGTCAACATAATAATATTGAGTTTAAAAAAAAAATAGTTAAAACCACTTACCAGCATGTAATTAGTATAGAATTACAAGCAGCCGTTACGCTGGTACTCTCGATACAAAACTCTACGAAATCTTGTACAGACGGTGGACAAACTTCTTCACCGGACCAATTCTTCATCCAAAAGATTCTTAGGTCTTTGCTGTGCTAAAACAGGGTTTGCCGTAACTTAAAATTTCATTGGTTTTTTACCTTTTGTCCATCGATAAGTATTCGTACAGTTATCCAATCGTAACACTTGAAATGAGTAACATTTACGAGTTTTAGAATCAAGGTTTTACTAACTTGTAAGCCGTCTTGGTTCAGCAGCAGATTCTAGAAATGAATTAAATTTACTTATGACTAGGTAAAGTTTAGATTCTTACGGCGCCAAAAAAGTCGTTTTCGTTCAGATTAATAATTACAGAAACATCCACTTTCGACACCATTGTCCAAAATTGCTCTAGATTGTCTTGTTGAGGGTGCTTAAGTAGTATATACTTCTTCGGACACGAACAATCATCAATTATAACTCCATCGAGGGAAGATAAAAAAGAGTCGATTTCTTCATCGGGACAATAAGGCCTTAACAGGACTTCACCTTCGTATCCTTCAATTAAAAGATTTGAATAACCAAAGAGAAGTGTGAAAAATAATGTGTTTTACTTGGAGCGTCAACACGAAAGTATATGTTGCTGTCTCGATTTTTGTCGGGACTTAATAGATCTATCCAAGCTGTGTCTTTCATGTACGTTAAATATTTTTTAAGTTCTTTCTCATAGAGTACTGAACGCTCGGATTTATCATCGAGTAAGTCCACTTCCACGTCCAATTCGGAAGAAAGTAGACACTCTAAAATCACTAAATGAGCCAGTTGATAGCAGTTATAACTATCTATCAAGTTAAAGTTGGAATCCTTCAGGATTTGACTGTTCTTGAATACATCCACAACGTTGTCTTTTTTAGAAATTCTTAAGCACATGTCACATAACAATGCAAAACCGGTTCCTGCACGTGTAGTACTATAAATTATTTTTGATGAAATAGTGTGTCTAGTTATTTTGTAACGTACCTGCAGTGGATAAGAATAGGTGATTTTCTGTTTAACGACATTACAGACATTTTTTTGAAAAAATTGACGAACGTCAACGAGTGAGGTAAATCAAAATCGGTCCATGCGGTAAAACGAAGTTGGTTGATCTTCCAAAATGAATAATTACGAACACAATACGTTTTTATAAAAGTTACTTACTAGGCGTATTTCATCTTGGTACGTCAGTTTAAAGGTTCGGTATTCGTGGTCTGTAAAAATCTCTTCGTGAATACAATGCACTAACATGTGTTTGATGTCTAAGCTTAAACCGAATTTGGGCCAGTAATTTTTTCTAATCTAAAAAGAAGTTTTTAGTAGTTAGTAGAAGTGTAATTATTTATACTTGAGACAAACTTGGTGCCAGTGAATACTATCTAACAAAACTATGTGTTCAATGTTTTCGTTCCAGACCAACTTCCAAAAGCTATCAAAATCCTTGGGTACATCACAAATCGCATAAACTTCGGGAATGCGATGTCCCTAAAATAGTAGCGAAAATTTATTGTTGGAATTGTTTTGTGGTAGTCTTGGGCTTACGGTAGTGAAGTGTAAGTCAATGCGCTCTAAATACGTTTTTTCACCAATTTCTTCATATTCTGCTGCGGTATTTTCTAAGATGGCCTGAAACGAAGTAGCTTGTTGTTAGAATTTTATTTTATGCTAATTTGGCAATACTAACGTTATGTTGCGCTGCCAGTTTTTTATTTTCTAAGTTGGTCTTAACGTAATTGTTAAATTTTCTTTTTGGAATTGGTTTAGATTGCAAATTATTTAAACCACCAACATCTAAACGACTTTCCTAAAAAAGGGTCATGTAATCGTTTTTGTACTCACTAAATTTTCCTTACCAGTGAGGATGTTAATTTACGGTTGCCGACATCTGATTAAAAAATAAAAAAATAAAAAAAAAATATGAATCTAGTTTTTGATTTGTCACTTACCTTGCCCTGAAGTCGCAAGTATATTCTTCTTGTAAAGACGATATCTGAAACGAGTTGCCTTCAAAATATAAGTTATTTTTGATAAAAACTATTGCAGATGAGATAATTTTCTTTAAATTTGGTATACAAATATATGCATTTGTTTTACTTACGTATAGATAACGGGGATTAATGCAATCAGTAGCAGCAGCAACAAAACTAGAAACCTTAAATCCCAAGAGGTGTTTGGAGATTCACCGGAAGTGAATGCGCTTTTGGAGTATAATTTGTAACTTCTTTTATCTCGATAGGTGCTAACAAGCATCACCGTTACGTTGTAAGAAGTTCCAGGCGTTAGAGGAATATTTGAATCTTGTTTGCAGTTTGTAACGTTGCCGCTTTGTCCTATTACAAACTGCTTTGTGGTTGAAAGACTGTCGCACTCGTAAATCACTCTAAACGGTGAAAGACTTATGTTGAAATTGTTTTCAAAATTTTGTAGCTCCGGTGGATAAGAATCGGATTGTAGTTTGGCGTTTGACACTAACAAAAATAGCTTGTAAGTGTTCGCGGTGTTCATATTTTTATTTTTCTCAACTTGAAGTGTGATTTTATTGTTTGAAATGCCAATGATTTTTGGATCTGTTACAAGCACGGGAATTTCAGGAGGACTCACGTCTATGACGAAACCTGTTTTTCCCTCCTTACCATTGAAAGCTTTAACCATGATTTTATAATTTGTTGAGTTTCGTATATTTTGCAATTTTACCTGTAAGCAAAGTAGGAAGTGCGTCTTAAATTATTTACTATAACTTACAATCTTTTGATACGTAGGTTTATATTGATCTTTTGTAATGTCCAAAGATGTATCAATTCCTTTCTGGTTGGATGAAGAGTGAGGAACTACACTTATCTTGAAACTTTGTATGTCGCCATTCGCTACAACTGGATGTTTCCATCTTATGTCAAGATCATTTTCTAAAGTCCACTTGACCATAACGTCAGGAGGTTCCTCTGAGGATTCTGAAATGTGGATCAGGCAATGTCAGTATTGTGGAGTTAAAATGTATTTAAATTTTGCCATAGTAAGGCATCCTTTACAGTCTGACAATCAGTTAAAATTGTTGCTTTAATTCTTTGATGAATATTTACCAATTGTCGTCATCGCGTTATTAATTACTGCAGTTTGTCCAAACTTGTCCGGTTCCTCGTTTTTCGCACTCAACTACAACAATATAAGTAAAGTGAAGAAAAACAAAAAATGAACGATGACTTACTTGAACAGAATAAGTAATATTTTCTAACAAATTTTCCAAAGTGTAACACTGGTACTCGGGCCACAAAAAACAAGGCGAGTTGGTGACATTAATATTTTCGACGTGCCCAAGCAATTTTATTTGATACAATTTTATAATTCCAGTCGGAGGACTCGGTGGCCGCCAACGAACAGAAATCGAGTGTGTATTTTTTGAATAAACTGACATATTATTAACAGCATAAGGAGCTTCAGTTTTAGTTTCAAAGTTACCATATGTACTAAATTTAATGGAAGCTTTTCTGTGAAATTCAAGTTTTAGCTGATAATTTGTGAACGGCGCAAGACTATTAAATGTGAACGTTTTATGTAGGGGATATGTGAAGGAATTCGTTACATTGTTGTCTTTACACCAGTCCGTTAAACATATTGCAGTTGTTACAACTTGTAGGGGGCCCCCTACGTTGCTACAGGGTACGCTCGAAAATTCGAATTCCACCGAGCGACTATTCGTTTTTTTTAAAGACGCTTTTGGTATTTCTTGATCACGGATTGTGTCTGAAATTCTATCGTAAGTACAAGTTCAAACGAATCTTTGTTTGGGTACCTGACTGCGGAGTATTTTGTTCTACCTTTTCTTCTAGTCCAGATAATTTTGTATTTCTGGCTTTAACAGAAATGGAATATAGTGTGTACGGATTTAAGTTAGATAAAGTTATGGATAGATCTGTCGAAATTTCTGTAAGTTCTTCGGGGTGAGTTGGAGCGGCATCACAAGTAAGATACTTAATTATCTGTAAGAATGTGTTTTAAAAAGTCAATGTAGGACAGATTTTTACCTTATATGAGACAACAAAATCTTGAAAGTTTCCATTTAGTTTAGATGGAGCGTTCCACTTTACATTAATTTTGGAATCTGATGTGGCTCTTGTAATCACATTCGTTACTTTGTCTGGTACTAATTTATGAAAAGAATGAGTAGTGTTGTTGATTAAAAAATATTACACATTACCTCCTCCTGTTGTGCGAAATGGTATTTTCACAACTGTGTTTTTGTTTTGTATTGTCAAAGTAAAGTTCTCAAGAGGCCTTAAACCATTGATATTTAAAGTCGTGCCATCCAAATGACAAGAAAAGTACGGTGTATTAGGCTGTATTCCGATATTTGTTTCATAACTTTTCAATTTGCAAATTTTAAATGTCTTCTGAAGGTAAAATGGTTTTTTTCCTTATTTAATTTGAGAATATCTGTAACTTACGTCCCTTTTCACAGTCAAAGAAGCTGTGGTACTGGTAGCATCTACTTCAAGATCTTCGCTCTTCATCACTACAACAGCATTTGAAAATATATTTAGTTGATTTAATATGATAATATCTAATAAATATACCGTCACACTTTGTAACAAACTCAGTTTTAGGAATGCTGTCGCTATAATTTGCTACATATTTTTGTATAATGGATCTAACGTAATGCTTTACGCCAGGTATTAAATATTCGATTTTAAATGTGTGTGGCATCCCTGCGCTAACGCTGTCAGTATGAAGAGTCCATTTTCTAGAATTTGCTTCCTAAAATAAGTACACTTTTATACTTATAACAAATATTTTATCTATTTTATTTAAAACCTTGTATTGGATAGTGTATTCGTAATGAGAACCGGCATTGTCTGAAGTACCCTCTAACTCAAAATTATCTACGTGTATTTCGGTTTCTGTGTATCCCAATGTTTTTATTTTGGGAGGATTTTTAAAAAGTGGCGTTGGTGCTGTTACAAGCGGGAAACATTTAACACACTTTCTTGAAAATTATTAAATACCTTACCCATCGTACACTTTGGACCCTTGTAATTATTAGTGCAAAATCTACACGTTCCATCAACAGGGTCACAACGCACACAATGCGTACTGCATGTTTTGCTGCAATGATGTCCGTAACTTCCATCATCACAGCCTGAAAGTAAATTAAGCAATTTTAAGATATGTGATAAGATATCATTTTTACTAGTTTGGCAGTTAATATTCCCATGGTCTGTTTTATATCCAGCTGAGCATGAACAAAGCAATCCGTTTTGGTTGAATTCACATACTTTTATCTGTCCACAATCTTCATTGAGAAATAAGTTACAAGGTACACAGTGTGTACTAATAGTATTTTCGGCACACTTGGTGTACTTGGCTGCATAAGCTAAAAAGAATCTTTCATAATGGAAACCTAATGGTTGTTAACGTACATGGTGTCACAGCGGTATCCAAAGAAATGACTTTATTATCGGAACTTAAAAGTTGACAATTTGCCATCATATCCACCTGAATCATTCTTAGACCTGAAATTGTGGTTCTCAGAGTAGTGTTTTGGCTAAAAACATCGTTACCATTTTCTCCACATTGTTGTATTTCTTGTATATCCCAGTAAGAATGTGAAATAATTTCGCCCGTAGTGATAATTGCAAATTTAACGCTCTTGGCTTCAGTTACTCGTTTAACAAACGTAATTTCGGTCCATTTGGGCATCTTAAAATTTTTTATTAATTAAAACAAAAATAGCTTTGTAAGGTTAACCTTTTCGTAAATTTGTTGCCCCAAAACTTGTTTATCATTGTCTCCATTTGTAATCACAAATTTTATTTTGCAGGTTTTGCACATTCTCACGAAAGTAGTAATACAAATTTTGCCGTTTACTGGGTACAAGGTTCGTTCAAAATCTGTTCTTTTTGTTTGGTCAATTGTAAAGTATTTATCTAAAACGTTAACTATGATTAGAGAATTTTACCAAAATGCGAATATAGTTGTAACCTTTATGAATCTTCCAAAGACCTACAGTTCTTTTACTGTGTATTAAAATATTCCTTATCTTGTATGTCTCTTCGTTGTCGGTGTATGATATTATTTCCTGACCGTCTTGTTTGATGAGACTAATTTTATTATTATTTTTTGTCAACATAAAGTGTTGCCATGTGGTATTTGTTAGAAATTTAGAAGACTCTGATTCGTGCTAAAATATTTTAGAATAATCATTCACTGTAGTAAAAGTTCCTCAATGCATACTTCTTTTGAAACCTTATTGGTATCGCAGGGACTCCCCACCGCAACATTATTTTTTGTAGGTATTGTATTAACAGGACATTTTCTCAGTACAGATTTTGTTCCCCCAAATGCTTGTAATATAAGCCAGTAACAGTTTGATGTTACGGTTTCGCCACCACACAAAAATATATGAGCTTCCAGCCTTGTGCGGATGGAAAGCGGGACGTTAAAATTTGCATTTTCTAGCTCCAGAACCTTTGAAAATTGTAATTCCGTTTGAGAGGAAACTGCTGCATAGTCTGATTTATCAATTTGTATGTCTAGGTATTAAAATAACATAAATTTTGTAATAAGTTTTACGTTTTTAAAATTATACTTTCCCAACGCCGATCGGTAATAATTTCATCCGCAACTGACTGACGACACTGCCAGCCATACTTTCGGATTTCATTGCAGTCCACTTTCCAGAGTGTTTCTGCGATTGGAAGAAATCTTGATCCTACAAAAAGACAAACATTTTTAAAGAATAATCAAAACCAACTAAAACTGCAAACACAGTAATTCACAATGGTGAGTGTTTTCAAGTACACATAAAACATCTTTTCAAACGTGTCTTTCTTAACGAGTGTTGCCTTTTGTGGTTGAAAAAGCTGAGAACCACTTTTTATAATTGTCGGCTCGAAAATTCAAACAAGCAACAACCAAGGCTCAGCGGACTTCGCTCGAAATGTAATTATCATCTTTGAAACAAATCCAGTAAGCAGCCGGATGTTGGAAATTTTTCGGACAATTGGACCGTTAGCAGAATATTTTTAAACATAAAGCTTCATGACACTATTAAATATACGAACCTTGCTGTAGATCTATGGGGGATGAGGTGTCTTCAATTATCCAACTTAATGCACGGGAGCTGTTTGTTATACAATAAAACTGAGACCCTTGGTACTTGTTCACGACAAAAAAAACATCCTCACTATAAGAGTACTTAAAAGGCACGACAACAAGAAGACTAATTAATTTGATAAAATTTAACTTCCTTAACATTTTAGGGAATACGAATTCGCTTACTCAGCTGCAACAAATTTCAGAGACTAATAAAAAGTTTGTTTAAAACGTAGATTACTTGTCATGACAATATGAAGCTACAAGAAGGTGTGTGGCGGAAAATTGTCGGTTTACTCAAGTCGGAATTTTTTTTTATCTCCTATATCAACATGAATCGTTGGAAATAATATACATAACGCAAAAATATTTCGGGTTTTGATCGCAATTCGGTTACGTTTTTATCTTGTTGGTTATCAGTTTATATATCAATACAGATGTGTGTGAATATCACTGGTTTGATTTATTTCAATTTATATTTTAATACAATAAAAAAAAAAGAAAATTAAAGCAGGTATTCAAAACTTTATCTACATTTTTTGTATATTATGTGGTGTCAGTTCGTAACAAACCATAATTACTCTTTGTGTAGGTTTGTCTTTTTCATTTCACGTTATGTGTAAGTTGTTTATCTTGTGTTTATTTAATGTTTGTACTTGCGCAATAAAACTGTCTTTATTGACAAACACTGAATATCAGTTTACACTTTGCGAAATGCAAATTTTCAAATTTTTATTTCCGGGTTTTTGTCATGCTAACATCAGAGTTCACTGTTAGTGTTTGACTGCGTTGACTAGAGTAGGTAGCACCAAAAAGACTGCATCCGAGTAGTTAAGCTGTTTTATTCAATTATTGGTCTCTTCGATGCGTGGGATTTGATTTTCATTTTACAAGTTTTGATTGCGGTTATGTTTCAGTTTCATTTTATTGTTGTTGCTGATCTGTCAATGTCAACAAGTGAAAATGTCAAATATACCAATTTATTTGAATTGTGATATCAAATTATCGCAAAAAATGAATCAAGTTCACATTCGGTACTGTAAAACAAACATTTTTTGTCACTGTGATTGTTTACAATTTGTGATATCTGGTTTATGAATAAACAGTTTTTCTTTTTTTATCTACTGAAGAGTTTACGTATGTGATTTACCTTGTTTACATATTAATATACTGATTATATTTATTTTATTATAATTTTCCTGGTACAGTTTTAAAAATAATAATTTATTGGGTCGGCATCAGTTTTGACGGAGGCTAAAACTAAAAAAACAGAAAAAGAAATTAGCTGAATTTCTAGGATGAAGCAGCTGTGGTATCTTGTAATGATTGGAAACAAAAAGAGGACAAACGCAGAAGGAAAAATGTTAGAAATAACAAAAACTGTGATTATTTTAAAAATTCTATTCAACATTGCAAAAAGCTGTCGTGTAAGATAAGAGAAAAGCTGCTAATAAAAAAAGTAAAATATTTTCTTCCTAATTAACATATTTCGTACAAGTTATGTTGCTGCATATAAAATTCAGTCGCCTCCCAGAGGAATTTCAGCTGCTCCTAAAACACACACGAAAAGAAAATTAAAACCCCTTCTACAGCATTTTGACAATACAAACTTCTTTTGTTGCAAATTGGTGACGATATCGTCTTACAAGTCTTGCGGAAGTAGAAATGACGGATTTTTTCTCTTTTTTAATGTTTTCTATGTTGTAAGACATTGCCACATACAGTCCTGATGCTGTAGCTCCGTCACTGTGTGTCAACATAATAATATTGAGTTTAAAAAAAAATGGTTAAAACCACTTACCAGCATGTAATTAGTACAGAGTTACAAGCAGCCGTTACGCTGGTAGTCTCGATACAAAACTCTACGAAATCTTTTACAGACGGTGGACAAACTACTTCACCGGACCAGTTCTTCATCCAAAAGATTTTTACGTCTTTGCTGTGCTAAAACAGGGTTTGCCGTAACTTAAAATTTCATTGGTTTTTTACCTTTTGTCCATCGATAAGCACTCGTACAGTTATCCAATCGTAACACTTGAAATGAGTAACATTTACGAGTTTTAGAATCAAGGTGTTACTAACTTGTAAGCCGCCTTGGTTCAGCAGCAGATTCTACAAATGAATTAAATTTACTTGTGACTAGCCAAAGTTTAGATACTTACGGCGCCAAAAAAGTCGTTTTCGTTCAGATTAATAATTACAGAAACATCCACTTTCGACACCATTGTCCAAAATTGCTCTAGGTTGTCTTGTTGAGGGTGCTTAAGTAGTATATACTTCTTGGGACACGAACAATCATCAATTATAACTCCATCGAGGGAAGATAAAAACGAGTCGATTTCTTCATCGGGAGAATAAGGCCTTAACAGAAGCTCACCTTCGTATCCTTCAATTATAAGATTTGAATAACAAGAGAGAAGTTTGAAAAATAATTAGTTTTACTTGGAGCATCAACACGAAAGTATATGTTGCTGTCTCGATTTTTGTCGGGACTTAATTGATCTATCCAAGCTGTGTCTTTCATGTACGTTAAATATTTTTTGAGTTCTTTCTCGTAGAGTACTGAACGCTCCGATTTATCATCGAGTAAGTCCATCTCCACGTCCAATTCGGAAGAAAGCAGACACTCTAAAATAACTAAATGAGCCAGTTGATAGCAATTATAACTATCTATCAAGTTAAGGTTGGAATCCTTCAGGATTTGACTGTTCTTGAATACATCCACAACGTTGTCTTTTTTAGAAATTCTTAAGCACATGTCACATAACAAAGCAAAACCGGTTCCTGCACGTGTAGTACTATAAAGAATTTTTGATGAAATAGTGTGTCTAGTTATTTTGTAACGTACCTGCAGTGGACAAGAATAGGTGATTTTCTGTTTAACGACATTACAGACATTTTTTTGAAAAAATTGACGAACGTCAGCGAGTGAGGTAAATCAAAATCGGTCCATGCGGTAAAACGAAGTTGGTTGATCTTCCAAAACGAATAATTACGAACACAATACGTATTTATAAAAGTTACTTACTACGCGTATTTCATCTTGATACGTCAGTTTAAAGGTTCGCTATTCGTGATCTGAGAAAATTTCTTCGTGAATACATTGTACTAAGATGTGTTTGATGTCTAAGCTTAAACCGAGTTTGGGCCAGTAATTTTTTCTAATCTAAAAAGAAGTTTTTATTAGTTAGTAGAAGTGTTATACTTGAGACAAACTTGATGCCAATGAACATCATCTAACAAAACTATGTGTTCAATGTTTTCGTTCCAGACCAACTTCCAAAAGCTATCAAAATCCTTGGGTACATCACAAATTGCATAAACTTCAGGAATGCGATGACCCTAAAATAGTAGTAATTTATTATTGGAATTGTTTTATGTTACCCTTGGGCTTACGCTAGTAAAGTGCAAGTCGATGCGCTTTGAATACGTTTTTTCACCAATTTCTTCATATTCTGCAGCCGTATTTTGTAAGATTGCCTGAAACGAAGTAGCTTGTTAGAACTTGATATCATGCTACGTTTTTGCAATACCAACATTATGTTGTGCTGCCAGGTTTTTATTTTCTAAGTTATTTTTAACGTAATTGTTGAATTTTCTGTTTGGAATTGGTTTAGACTGCAAATTATTTAAATCCACAACATCTAGACGACTTTCCTAAAAAAGGATCATGTATTCGTTTTTGTTCTTTCTAAATTTTCCTTACCATTGAGGATGTTAGTTTGCAATTGCCGACACCTGATTAAAAAATTTAAAAAACAAAAAATTGATTATTTTAGTTTTTTATTTGTCACTTACCGTGCCCTGAACTGGCAGGTATTTCCTTTTTGTAAAGACGATATCTGAAACGAGTTGCCTTCAAAACCTAATCTATTTTTGTTAAGAACGATTTCACTTGAGATATTTTTCTTTAAAATTGGGACACAAACATATGCATGTGTTTTACTTACGTATAGATAACGGGGACTAGTACAATCAGTAGCAACAACAACAAAACTAGAAACCTTAAATCCCAGGAGGTGTTTGGAGGTTCACCGGACGTGAGTGCGCTTTTGGTGTATAATTTGTAACTACTTTTATTTTGATACGTGCTCACTAGCATGACTGTCACGTTGTAAGAGGTTTCAGCTGTTAAAGAAATATTTGAATTCTGTTTACAATTTACATCGCTGCTTTGTCCTATTACAAATCGTTTTGCTGTGGTGAAACTGTCGCATTCAAGTGCCACTTGAAATAGAGAAAGACTTATGCCGAAATTCCTCTCGAATTTTTGTAACTCTGGTGGATAATTATCATCAGAGCGTGGACTGCCGTCTGACACTAACAAAAATAGCTTGTAAGTGTCCGCATAATTAAAATTTTTGCATTTCTCGATTTGAAGTGTGATTGTGTTACTTGAAACGTTAACAATGGTCGGATCTATTTCAAGCAAGGGAATTTCAGGAGGACTCATGTCTGTGACGGACGCTTCTTTTCCATTTAAACCGTTGTAAGCGTTAACCAGTATTGTATATTGCGTCGAGCTTAGAATATTTGGCGCTTTTACCTGTAAACAAAGTAGTAGATGCATTGTTAAGAAGTGTAATCTTAAATAATTTATTTGGCTACTTACAATCATTTGGTACGCAGATTTATGATTGTTTGTAACGTCCAAAAATTTATCAATTGGTTCGTTTTTGGAAAATTCATGCAATATTCTTATCTTAAAATTTTTAATATCTCCGTTAGCTACAATTGGATGTTTCCAGCTTATGTTAAGATAGTTTTCTAGAGTCCACTTCACTATAACATCAAGAGGTTTCTCTGACGGTTCTGCAATAAGAATGAGTCAAAGATGTGTAATTACAAAATTTGTTTAAATTTTGCCATTCTAAAGAACTACGTCTGATAATTCGTCCAAATTGTCGTTTTAATAATGTTATTTGATTAAAAACTATTTTGCTAGATTAATTACCAATTTTCGTTATGTTCTTAACAAGTGAATATTGTCCGAAGTTGTCCGGTTCCTCGTTTTTCGCCCTCAACTACAACAATATAAGTAAAGTGAAAAGAAAATGCACGATAACTTACTTGAACAGAGTAATTCATATTTTCTAGCAATTTTTCGAAAGTGTAGCACTGGAACTCGGGCCACAAAAAACAAGGCGAGTCTGTGACATTAATAATTCTGTCTTCCTCAAGCAATTTTATTTGATACAAATTTACAATTCCAGTCGGAGGACTCGGTGGCCGCCATCGGACAGAAATCGAGTGTGTATTTTTTGAATAAACCGACACATTCTCAACAGCATTAGGAGCTTCAGTTTTAGTTTTAAACCTACCAAATGTAACAATTTTACTGGAAGCCTTTCTGTGGAATTCAAGTTTTAGCTGATAATTTGTGAACGGGGCAAGACCACTTAATGTGAACGTTTTATGTAGGAGGTATATGAAGGAATTCGATACATTTTGGTCTTTACACCGGTCCGTTAAACATATTGCAGTTGCTACAACTCCTAGTGGGCCCCTGAGGTTGCTACAGGGTACGCTCGAAAACTGGATTTCAACGGAGCAGCTATTTTGCTTTTTTAAAGATACTTCTGGTATTTCCTGATCACGGATTGTGTCTGAAATTCTGTCGTAACTAGAAGTTCAAACGAATCTTTGTTTGGCTACCTGACTGCGGGGTATTTTGTTCTACCTTTTCTTCTAGTCCCGATAATTTTGTATTTCTGGCTTTAACAGAAATGGAATATAGTGTGTACGGATTTAAGTTAGATAAAGTTAGCGATTGATCTGTCGAAATTTTTGTAAGTTCTTCGAAGTGAGTTGGAGCGGCATCACAAGCAAGATATTTCATTATCTGCAAAAATGTATTTTAAAAAGTCAAATTCGGCTGATATTTATTTACCTTATATGAGACAACAAAATCCTGAAATTTTCCATACAGTTTAAGTGGAGTGTTCCAACTTACAACAATTTTGGAATCTGAAGTGGCTTTTGCAATCACATTCGTTACTTTGTCTGGTACTGATTTATGAAAAGAATGAGTAATGTTGTTGATTAAAAAATATTACAGGTTACCTCCTTCTCTTGTGCGAAATAGTATATTCACAACTGTGTTTTTGTTTTGTATTGTCAAAGTAAAGTTCTCAAAAGGGCTTAAACCATTGATATCTAAAGTCATGTCCTCCAATTGATAAGAAAATGTCGATATATTAGGCTCTATATCAATTTTTGTTTCAGAACTTTTCAATTTGCAAATTTTAGATTGCTTCTGAAGGTAAAACGTTTTTTTTTTTTAATTTGAGAATATCTCTAACTTACGTCATTTTTCACGGTTAAAAAAGCTGTGGTATTGGTAGCATCTACTTCAAGATCTTCGCTCTTTATCACTACAACAGCATTTAAAAATATATTTAGTTTATTTAATATGATAATATCTAATAAATATACCGTCACACTTTGTAACAAAATCAGTCTTAGGAATGTTGTCGCTGTAATCTGCTTCGTATGTTCTTATAATGGATCTAACGTAATACCCTACGCCAGGTTTTAAATTTTCGATTTTAAAAGTGTATGAATTTCCTGCGTAATTGGTATCGGCATGAAGGGTCCATTTTATAGAATTTGTTTCCTAGAATAGATTTTTGTAAAATAAATATTTTATCTTATTTATTTGAAACCTTGTATTGGATAGTGTATTTGTACTGAGTGCCAGCATTGTATGATGGATCTTCTAACTCAAAATTATCTACAAAAATTTCGGCTTTCGTGTATCCAATAGTTTTTATTTTAGGAGGATTTTTAAAAAATGGCGTTGACGCTGTTAAAAGCGTGGAAATATTTAATACCTTTTCTTGAAAACTATCAAGCACCTTACCCTTTTCACACTTAAGACCCTTATAAGAATTACTGCAAGCGTTACACGTTCCATTAACGGGGTTGCAGTCCACACAATTCGTATAACACGTTTTACTACAATGATGTCCGTAAGTTCCTGAATCACAAACTGAAAATAAATTAAACTATTTTAAGATACATCAAATTATAATAATTTTTACTTGTTTGGCAGTTTATCTTCTGATAGTTGGTTTTATAGCCAGCAGAGCATGAACAAAGCAACCCGTTTTGACTGTTTTCGCATACTTTTAACTGTCCACAATTTTCATTTAGAAATAAATTACATGGTATACAGTGTGTACTAATGGTATCTTCGGCACATTCGGCGTACTTGTCTGGATAAGCTAAAAGGTATCTTGCATAACGGAAACCTAAGAATTACTTTTTAACGTACATGGTGCTACGGTGTTATCCAAAGAAATGACTTTATTATCGGAAATTAGAAGTTGACAATTTGCTATCCAACCTAACTGAATCATTCTTAAACCTGAAATTGTGGTTCTCAGAATAGTGTTTTGGCTAAAAATATCTTTACCATTTTCTCCACATTGTTGTATTTCTTGTATGTCCCAGTAAGAATGCGAAATAATTTCGTCCATAGTAATAATTGCAAATTTAACGTTCTTGGCTTCAGTTGCTCGTTTAAAAAACGTAATTTCGGTCCATTTGGACATCTTAAAGGATTTTATTAATTAAAATAAAAATATCTTTGTAAGGTTAACCTTTTGGTAAGTTTGTTCTCCTAAAACTTGTTTATCATTGTCTCCATTTGTAATCACAAATTTTATTTTGCAGGTTTTACACATTCTCACGAAAGTAGTAATACAAATTTTACCGTTCACTGGGTACAAGTTCCGTTTAAAATCTATTCTTTTTATTTGATTTATTGTAAAGTATTTATCTAAAACGTTAACCATGATAAGGGAATTTTAGCAAAATGCGAATATAGCTATAACCTGTATGAATCTTCCAAAGACCTACAGTTCTTTTACTGTGTATTAAAATATTCCTTATCTTGTATGTCTTTTCGTTGTCGGTATATGATATTATTTCCTGACCGTCTTGTTTACTGAGACTAATTTTATTATTATTTTTTGTCAACATAAAGTGTTGCCATGTGGTATTTGTTAGAAATTTAGAAGACTCTGATTCGTGCTAAAATATTTTAGAATAATCATTCACTGTAGTAGGAGTTCCTTAATGCATACTTTTTTTGAAACTTTATTGGTATCGCAGGGACTCTTCACCAAGACATTATTTTGTGTAGGTATTGTATTATTAGGACATTTTCTCAGTACAGATTTTGCTCTACTAAATCCTTGTAATATAAACCAGTAACAGTTTGACCTTACGGTTTCGCCATCACACAAAAATACATGAGCTTCCTGGTTCGTACGGATGGATAGCGGCACGTCAAAATTTGCACTTTCTGTCTCCAGGATCTTTGAAAATTGTAATTCGCTTTTAGAGGAAACAGCTACATAGTCTGTTTTGTCAATTTGTAAGTCTAGGTATTAAAATGACATAAATTTTGGAATAAGTTTTACGTTTTTAAAATTATACTTTCCCAACGTCGATCGGTAATAATTTCGTCCGCAACTGACTGACGACACTGCCAGCCATACTTTCGGATTTCATTGCAGTCCACTTTCCAGAGTGTTTTTGCGTCTGGCAGAAATCTTGATCCTACAAATTAACAAAAATGTGCATTGAATAATCAACTAAGTAAAATTATAAGCACAACAATTCAGGGCGAAGACGCTTTACAGACATTTTTTCACAACAAAAACAGATTTTTGTTTCCCAATTATGTAATAAGAAAATGTACTGAATCATCGCCATTCAAACAAAAATTCAAGAAATCACTGAACTGGGATTAAATGTTTGGTGTTTTGGGAAATTAAATAGATAGCGGAGTTTCTTGAACATAGGGCTTTATATTAGTGGCTATACACACCTTGCTCTAAATCTATGCTTGATGTGTCTTCAATTATCCAACTTAAGGCACGCGAACTGTTTGTTATACAATAAAACTGAGACCCTAGGTACTTGTTCACGACAAAAAAAACATCTTTACAATGAGAGTATTTAAAAGACGCTATGAGAAGAAGACTAATTATTATTTTAATAACATTTAACTTTCGTAACATTCTAGCGAATACGAATAATTCATCTAACAGTAGCACGTTTAATTAGACCTATAAAAATTTTTCTTAAATGTGGCTCACTTATCACGACGATAGATAATCAACTGAAGGTGTGTATGGGGAAATTGCCAGTTTACTTAAGTCGTTTTTTCAACCCACTATTTACATATTGCGTCGAAAGAAATAAATAAACTTTTTTGTTTAAACTGATTTTTATCTTTGAATGTATTTTTAAGATTAGTTGTTTTACTTTCCTCACCCAAATTTTTCTTGTTTTTCAAACTTGGTCTACGATGTATGGCTTAAAATTCCGTTACTTGTATAAATGCATCACTCTATACAAATGAATGAGACTTATTCCAAATTGTGAATAAAAATATAATGTAATTTTTGAATTTACAAACCTTCTGTCTTTTTATAATTTTAGAGCAAGTGTTTGCATTAAAGAAAATGTTAAAATTAGGATCGTCTTATTTTTTGTAGGTATATCTGCTTAGTTATCCAGTCGTATTTTGTAAAATAATTTATCAAGCCAAATGTTATCCGTGTTGCACTTATTTTTTTCGGACGTTTTGCAAACGATTCTAAAAATTAGTACAGATACCCAAGACAAAACATTAGAACTCGGTTTTTAGAGAAGAAGATGCTCAAAAACAGTGCTTCATCGTGTGCATAATCATTTTTATTAAATACTATTCGTTACACTTAATGGCAGTAAACACTTTAACACATTTCGTATAAGTTATGTTGTCGTAGGAAATTTTCAGTAGCTTCCCAAAGGAATTTTAGTTGCTCCTGAAACAGACACGAGAAGAAAATTAAAACTGCTTTTACAGTGTTGCCAATACAAACTTCTTTTGTTGCAAACTGATGACGATATCGTCTTACCAGTCTTGCGAAAGTACAAATGGCCGACTTTCTCTCTTTTTTAACGTTTTCTATGTTGGAAGACATAGCTACGTACAATCCCGACGCTGCAGCCCCGTCACTATGTGTCAGCACAATCAATTTGTTTCTAAAAAAATCATTAAAAGCACTTACCAACATGTAGCCAGGACGTGATTACAGGCTGCCGTTACGCTGGTAGTCTCGATACAAAATTCGACAAAGTCGGTTACAGACGGTGGACAAACTTTTTCACCGCACCAGTTCTTCATCCAAAAGAGATTTACGTCTTTATTTTCCTAAAGCACGGTTTGCACTAATTTAAAATTGCAATTATTTTTTACCTTTTGTCCATCGATTAACACCCGTAGAGTTATCCAATCGTAACACTTGAACTGAGTAACATTTACAAGCTTTAGATTCAAAGTTTTACTAACTTGTAAACCACCTTGGTTTAGTAGCAGATGCTACAAACAAATCAAAAATTTATTGCGATTACATAAAATTTAGGTTCTTACGGCGCCAAAAAAATCGTTTTCGTTTAAATTAATAATTGCTGAAATATTCTCTGTCGAAATCATGGTCCAGAATTGCTCCAGATTGATTTGTTGGGGGTGCGGTATTAATATATACTTCTTGGGACACAAACAGTCATCAATTATAATGCCATTGAGGGAAGATACATAAGTGTCGATTTCTTCATCGGGAGTGAAGGGTCTTAACAGAAGCTCACCTTCGTATCCTTAGTAGTAATAAAATTAAATAACAAAGGTGGAGAAATGCGAAAAATAAACTGTTTTACTTACTTGGAGCGTCTACTCGAAAGTATATGTTGCTGTTGCGTCTTTTGGTAGAACTTAATTGATCTATCCAAGCTGTGTCTTTCATGTAAGTTAAATATTTTTTAAGTTCTATCTTATACAATATGGAAGGTTCAGAACTATTGTTGAATACGTCCACTTCCACCTCTAAGTCGGTAGAGAGCAGACATTCTAAAATAACTACATGAGCCAGTTGATAACACTCATAATGATCTATCAGTTTAACGTTGTAATCCCTCAGGATTTGACTGTTTTTAAATACATCCACAACGTTATCTTTTATAGAAATTCGTAAGCACATGTCACACAATACAGCAAATCCGGTTCCTGTGAGTGTGGTACTGCAAAGAATTTTTCACAAATAATCCACTTAGTTAATTATTAACGTACCTGCAATGCACAAGAATTGGCGATTTTCTCTTTAACGACATTTTAGACATTTTCTTGAAAAAGTTGACGAACGTCAACGAATCAGGTAAATCGAAGTCCGACCAAGCAGTGAAACGTAGTTGGTCGACCTTCCAGAAACGAATTATTAGTAAAACAAAACGTTTGTAAAAATTACTTACTAGGCGTATTTCATTTTGATACGTCAGTCTAAACGTTCGGTACTCATGATCTGTTAAAATCTCTTCGTGAATACAGTGCACAGACACGTGTTTGCTCTCTGAGCTTAAACCGAATTTGGGCCAGTAATTTTTTCTAATCTAAAGACAATTTTAGTGATTGGCAGAAGTGTTTTTCGTGGGGCAAACCTGTTGGAAGTGAGCACTATCCATCAAAACAATGTGTTCAATGTTTTCGTTCCAGACCAGCTTCCAAAATCTATCAAAATCTTTGGGCATTTCAGAAATTGCATAAACTTTGGGAATGTGGTGTCCCTGTAAGGTGAGTGAAAATTTACTGTTGGAATTGTGTTGAAGACTTACGCTAGTAAACTGTATATCGATGTACTCTAAATACGTTTTATCCCCGACTTCTTCATATTCTCCTGAAGAATTTAGCAAGATTGTCTGAAACCAAGCAGTCTGTAACAGTTCTATATTATTCTATGTACTAACATTATGTTGTGTTATCAGTTTTTTACTTTCTAAATTCGTCTCAACGTAACTGTTGAATTTTTCGTTTGGAATTGGTTGATATTGCGAATTATTCAAAGCCACACGTTTTTCCTAAAATGGTATCACGTATTCGCATAATATCTAAGTTTTCCTTACCATTGCAGAGGATGCTAGATTACAACTGCCAACACCTGATTTAAATGCAAAAAAATTGAGATCACGAAATAAGTAAAGTACTTTGTTTTCCCTTACCTTGTTCTGAAGACACAAGTGTTTTCTTGTTTTGAAGGTGATGTCTGAAACACGTCTTTAATGTTAATAGACAAATTTTTTTTACTTACATGATGATGATAACAACGACTGGTATTATCAACAGTAGCAACCACAAACCAAGAAGACTTAAATCTATGGGGGCGTTGGGTATTTCATTCGTCGTGAATGCGTTTTGGGAGTAAAATTTGTAGCTACTTTTATTTTGATAGCTGCTAACTAGCATCACCGTTACGTTGTAAGAGCTTCTAGCGGTTAAAAAAATATCTGAATAATTGCAGCCTGAAACGTTACCGCTTTGTCCTATTACGAACCGTTTTTCAGTTATAATGTCATCGCACTCGTAAACCACTCTAAATAGGGAAAGACTTATGCCGAAATTGCTCTCAAAGTTTCGTAGCTCCCATGGATAACGAACAGAGTTTGGACTGTTGTTTGACACTAACAAAAATAGCTTGTAGGTGTTGGTGTTGTTAAAATTTTTACTCTTGTTGACTTGTAGTGTGATGGTATTGTTTGAAACGTTGGTAATTGTTGGAGCTGTCTCAAGCAAGGGAATTTCAGGAGGACTCACGTCCGTAACGGATGCTTCTTGGCCATCTAGTCCGTTGTAAGCTTTGACCACGATTTTGTATTCTGTTGAACTTTGAATATGTTGGATTTTAACCTGTAACCTAAATAGTGAGTGCATTGTTACATTATTTCTTTAAGTAGTTACTGTCTTTTGGTACGTAGATTTATATTCATCTATTGTAATATCCAGTGATGTGTTAATTCTTTCGTTTGTAGACGAACATTTAGGAACTATGTCTATCTTGAAGCTTTGTAAGTCGCCGTTCGCTACAACTGGATGTTTCCAGCTTATGTCAAGATCATTTTCTAAAGTCCACTTGACCCTGACTTCAGGAGGTTTCTCTGAAGGTTCTACAACGTGCAAATTGTACTTTAGTTTTATTACAAATTGAATAGTTATTTAATTACCAGTTTCCGTAAACGTCCAAACTGACACAACTTGTCCGAACGAATCCGGCTCTTCATTTTTCGCACGTAACTACAAAAAAATAACTAAAGTGAATCAAAAATACGCTGACTTACTTCGACAGAATAATTCCGTTTTTCTTTCAACTTTTCCAAAGTGTAGCATTGGTATTCGGGCCACAGAGAGCAAGACGAGTTTGTGACATTAATCCCGTCCTGATCAGCAAATTTTATGTGGTACAATTTTAGAATTCCAGTAGGAGGTTGCGGTGGAAACCACCGTATAGAAATCGAGTGTGCATTTTTTGAATAAACCGACAAATTGGAAACACCATAAGGAGGTTCCGGTTTAGTTTGAAAGGTACCAAACGTCACAATTTTACTGGAAGCACTTCTGCGAAATTTAATTTTCAACTGATAAGTTGTGAACGGCGAAAGACTGCTTAATGTGTACGAATTAGACCACGGGTATAAAAAACCATTAGACACATCTTCGTCTTTACACCAATCCGTTAAACACGTTGCAGTTGTTACAACGTGTAGTGGCCCTCCTAATTTGCTACAGGATATGTTCGAAAAGCTGATTTCAATCGAGCGATTGGAAGTTTGTTTTAAAGACACTGTTGGTATTTCGTGGTCACGGATTATGGCTGAAATTTAATCGTAAATACAAATTAAAACGAATGTTTAACTTACATGACTCTGGAATGTACCTTTCTGCCGTTTCTTCTTGTCCGGCAAATTTTGCATTCCTGGCTTTAACAGAAATCGAATATCGCGTGCCCGGATTTAAGTTAGATAAAGTTATCGATGAGTTCGTTGTGGTTTTAGTAATTTCTTCATTTGAAGTCGCATCACATTTATAATAATTATTTATCTGAAAAATGTATTGTAAGAAGTCAAAGTTGGACAGATATTTACCATTTACCTTATATGAGACAAGAAAGTCCCGTAAGTGTCCGTATAGATTACGTGGAGCGTTCCAATTTACCACAATTTCTGAATTTCGAGTGGCCCTTGTAGCTAAATTCGTTACTCTTCTTGGTACTGACGTGGAAAAATGAGAAATGTTGTTGATTAAAAAATAGAATATATTACCTCCTTCTGTTGTTGAAAATGATATAGTGACAACTGTGTTTGTGTTATATATGGTCAAATTCAAATTAAAGTTCTGAAAAGGTATTAAACCACTGAGAGTTACATTCATATCTCCCAAATAGTAAGAAAAAATAATTGTGCTAGGTTGGATTTCGATACTTGTTTCGGAACTTATGAACTTGCAAATTCTAGAATGCCGCTGAAGTTAAAACGAAGTTTTTAGTGGTCCTGATTTTCGTTCAGATTTTCTCTAACTTACGTCTTTTTTCACCAATAAAACAGCTGTAATATTTGTAGCTTCTACTTGCAAATCTTCACTCTTCAGAACTACAACAGAACGTGAAAGTTGATGTACTTTATTTAATATGTAATAAATATACCGTCACACTTTGTAATAAAATCAGTTTTAGGAACATCGTCGTCGTAATGTGTTTCATACTTTCCTATAATGGATCTAACCGAATACTGTGTTTCAGGTTTTAAATTCTCGATTTTAAAAATATGTGGCGTCCCTCCGTTAGCACTGTGCGTATGAAGAATCCACTCCATAGAATTAGCTTCCTAAAAAATGCTTTTATACAATAAATATACACATTCTCGATCTATAACCTTGTACTGGACGGTATATTCGTACACCGAATTGTTTAAAGCATCATCTAACTCAAAGTTATCTACAAGAATTTCGGCTGCTGTGTACCCACGAGCTTCTATTTTGGGAGCATTTTTAAAAACTGGTACTGGCTCTATTAAACGTGTGGAGAAATATTTGACACATTTTTTTGAAAAGTCTTACCCTTGTCACACTTCGAACCCTTATAACCATTACTGCAATTAGTACACGTCCCGTCAATAGAGTTACAATCCAGACAATTCGTGCTACATGTCTTGCGACAATAATGCCCGTAAGTTCCAGAATCACAATCTGAAAATACATCAAACAATTGTAAATAATGCGAAATTGTGGTTATTTTTACTAATTTGGCAGTTTATCTCCTGATTGTCGGTTTTATACCCAGACGAGCATGAACAACGCAACTCGGTTCGAATGTTTTCGCATATTTTTAGTTTTCCGCAGCTTTCATTTAGGAACAATCCACATGGTATACAGTGTGTACTAATGGTATTTTCCGCACACCTGGTGTACTTATCCGAATAAGCTAAAAAATATTTTTTCTACTAGGAACATAAATCTTATTTTTTAACATACATGGCTCAACGACATTATCCAAAGAAATCAATTTGCTATTGGGGGTTAAAAGTTGACAACTTGCCTTTTCTTTTAAGTAAATCATTCTTAAATCTGTAATTATCGTCAGAATAGGTATTGTCTAAAACTATTGGGTTACCATTTTGTCCACATTGTTGTATTTCTTGCATAGCCCAGTGAGGATCTGAACTAGTTTCGCCCATGGTTATAATTGCTAACTTCACTCTTTTGGCCCCAAATGCATGTTTAACAAACTTAAGTTCAGTCCACTTGGACGCCTTAAGTTCGTAAGTTTCTTGTCCGAAAATTTGTTTATCGTTGTCTCCGTTCGTGATCACAAATTTTATTTTGCAGAGTTCGCACATTTTCACGAAAGTAGTGATACAAATTTTATCGTCCGTTGGTGACAAAATCGGTTGAATTTTTATCTTTTTTGTTTCATTAGTTGTAAAAGATTCGACTAAAACGCAAGCGATAATAATTAGAACATTTTACCCAAATGCGAATACTCGTATAATGATTACGTTTATGAATTTTCCAAAGACCTGCAGTATTTCTACTGTGTATTAAAACATTCTTTATTTTATATGCGCCTTCGTTGTCCATATATGACATTATTTCCTGACCGTTCTGTTTAAGAAGACTAATTTTATTGTTTAATTTCGATAAGAGAAAGTGTTGCCACCTGCTATTTGTTAAAAATGTAGAAGACTCCGACTCGTGCTAAAATATTTTCGAATAATCATTGATTGTTGCAAGAGTTCCGTCATGCATACTTCTATCGAAACCTTACTGACATTCCATTTAACATTATTTTGGGTGTTTGTATTAACAAAACATTTTCTTATTACAGACTTTGTTCCTCCAAATCCTTGTAATATAATACAATAGCAGTTTGATGTTGCTCTTTTCCCATCACATAGAAATATGTAACCTTCTCTGTTAGTCCGGATCGAAAGTGGAATTTTAAAATTTTCATCTTCTGCCTTCAGGTTATTTGAAAATCGTAAATCGTAGTATTCTTGTACATGGTTTATTTTGTGAACTTCGATGTCTGGGCAACAAAACAATATAAATTTTGGAACGAGTTTAACATTTTTAAAATCATACTTTCCCAACGTCGATCGGTAATAATTTCATCCGAAAGTGACTCTTGGCACTCCCAACCACTCTTTCGCATTTCAGCGCAGCCCACTTTCCAGGGATTTTCCGCGACTGGTAGAAACCTTGATCCTACAATTTCAATGAAAAAATAAATGAAGAGCAGCAATTCACACTGAAGAAGAGCTATAGACATTTTAATGACGAAAACTCTGAGCAAGTAAAAACTCTCTTTTTCAAATAGCACTGTTTTAGCAATACGAACCTTGTTGTAAATCTACACTGGATGTGGTGTCTTCTATTATCCAGCTTAAGGCATGCGAACTGTTTGTTATGCAATAGTACCCAGACCCTTTGTAGTCATTTACAACTATGAAAACATCTTCACAACAGGAATATTTTAAAGACAAGACGACGAAAAGGCTAACGATTTTAGTAACATTTAACTTTCGTAACATTCTAGTTCTTTTAGCGCGTGGATCACTTATCGGAATATTACCGTGTTAAATGAAGGTGTGTAGCGAACTTGAAAATTACTTAAGTCGGATATTTTTTATCTCTTATATCAACATAATATACAAAAAATAAATAAACTTCCGTCTGATTTTAACCCTAAAATCAATATTTTTACTTAGATCATCGAAAACTTTCTTGATGGCAAAAATTAGGACGTGTAAGGTAAGAAATAAGGTCAGATTAATAAACCATAAGTGTAAAAACACGATATTTTGTAAAATTGAGATGGGATAAATCTGTTTTGTTTGCAAATTTAGTCCATGTCGAACGTTCAAAATTTCCTTCAAATGCACCGCTCCATATTATGCAATCCATATGTATAAGATAGAGTCATTAAAATAAAACAGATTTGCCCAAAATTTAGCCAAATTATCAAAAGATAAATAAGGGTGTGAATAAAAATATAATGTAATTACGAATTTTGCAAACATATGCCTAGTGTGTAGATTAATCTTTATGGGATCGTTAGTTTATTGACAAATATTAGGTATATGTTAAACTTGAATTTGCCTATCTGTAAAGAATATTGACAAAACTTAATTATGCCTGTCTACACAATATTTTCTTTTTAATGCCACTTATTGGTTATAATTCTAGTCGAAGCAAAAGGGATATGGTAAAGCAATATTCGGTCTTAGAAAACAAGTCACTACAAACATATGTTTAACCAATTATTATTGTTCAAAAATGTAAAAAACAATTATTCTTGCTAATTACAACGTTTCGTACAACTTAAATTGTTGTACGAAATATTCAGTTGCTTCCCAGAGGAATTTCAGCTGCTCCTGAAACAAACACGAGAAGAAAATTAAAACCGCTTCTACAGAATTTTAGCAATACAAACATCTTTTGTTCCAAATTGGTGACGATATCGTCTTACAAGTCTTGCGGAAGTAGAAATGACGGATTTGTTTTCTTTTTTAAAGTTTTCTATGTTGTAAGACATCGCCACATACAGTCCTGATGCTGTAGTTCCGTCACTGTGTGAATGAAATGATATTCACTTATACCGAGATTAAAAAAAAATCGTTAAAACCACTTACCAACATGTAATTAGTACAGAATTACAATCAGCCATTACGCTGGTAGTCTCGATACAAAACTCTACGAAATCCTTTACAGACGGTGGGCAAATGTCTTCACCGAACCAGTTCTTCATCCAAAATATTTTTACGTCTTTGCTGTGCTAAAACACGGTTTGCAGTAACATAAAATTTCATTGTTTTTTTACCTTTTGTTCATCGATAAGCACTCGTACAGTTATCCAGTCATAACATTTGAAATGAGTAACATTTACGAGTTTTAGAACCAAGGTTTTACTAACTTGTAAGCCACTTTGTTTAAGCAGGCGATTCTACAAACAAATCAAAATTTATTGTGATTACGTAAAATTTAGATTTTTACGGCGCCAAAACAGTCGTTTTCGTTTAAATTAATAATTACGGAAACATCCATTTTCGACACCATTGCCCAAAATTGTTCCAGGTTGTCTTGTTGAGGGTGCTTCAGTAGTATATACTTCTTCGGACACGAACAATCATCAATTATAACTCCATCGAAGGAAGATAAAAAGGAGTTGATTTCTTCATCGGGAGAATAAGGCCTTAACAGAAGCTCATTTTCGTAACCTTCAATTACAAGATTTGAATAACGAAGGAGAAGTGAGAAAAATGATTTGTTTTACTTGGAGCATCAACACGAAAGTATATGTTGCTTTCTCGATTTTTGTCGGAAGTTAATTGATCTAACCAAGCTGTGTCTTTCATGTACGTTAAATATTTTTTGCGTTCTTTCTCATAGAATACCGAAGGTTCGGATTTATCATCGCGTAAATCTACTTCCACGTCCAATTCGGAGAAAAGTAGACACTCTAAAATAACTAAATGGGCCAGTTGATAACACTTATAACTATCTATCAAGTTAAAGTTGGAATCCCTCAGGATTTGACTGTTCTTGAATACATCTACAACGTTGTCTTTTTTAGAAATTCTTAAGCACATGTCACATAACACAGCAAAACCGGCTCCTTTGGGTGTGGTACTGAAAATATTTTTTATAAACCAGTGCATCTATTTATTTTTTAGCGTACCTGCAGTGAACAAGAATAGGTGATTTTCTGTTTAACGACATTACAGACATTTTTTGAAAAAATTGACGAACGTCAACGAATGAGGTAAATCGAAATCCATCCATGCAGTAAAGCGAAGTTGGTCGATCTTCAGAAAACAAATAATTACCAAAACAATACGTTTTAATAAGTTACTTACCACGCGTATTTTATCTTGGTACGTCAGTCTAAAGGTTCGGTATTCGTGATCTGTGAAAATCTCTTCGTGAATACACTCCACTAAGATGTGTTTGATGTCTAAGCTTAAACCGAATTTGGGCCAATAATTTTTTCTAGTCTAAAAAGAAGTTTTATTAGTTAGTAGAAGCATTGTACTTGAGACAAACTTGATTCCAGTGAACATCATCTAACAAAACTATGTGTTCAATGTTTTCGTTCCAGGCCAGTTTCCAAAATCTGTCAAAATCTTTGGGTACATCACAGATTGCATAAACTTCGGGAATCCGATGTCCCTAAAATGGCAGGAAAAATTTATTTTTGGAATTGTTTTGTGATACCCTTGGGCTTACAGTAGTAAAGTGTAAGTCAATACGCTCTAAATACGTTTTTTCACCGATTTCTTCATATTCTGCTGCAGTATTTTGTAAGATTGCCTGAAATGAAGTAGCTGGTTAAAATTTGATAAGATGCCAAGTATTTACAATACGAACATTATGTTGTGCTGCTAGTTTTTTATTTTCTAAGTTGGTCTTAACGTAATTGTTGAATTTTCTGTTTGTAATTGGTTTAGACTGCAAATGATCTAAACCCGCAACATTCAAACGTAATTCCTAAAAAAGGGTCATGTATTTGTTTTTGTATTTTCTACATTTTTCTTACCACTGAGGATGTTAGATTTCGATTGCCGACATCTGATTAAAAAATTAAAGATTATGAATTCTGTTATTTCCCACTTACCTTGCCCTGAAGCCGCAAGTATTTTCTTTTTGTAAAGACGGTATCTGAAACGAGTTGCTTTTCTTTAAATTTGGTATACAAAGACATGTATTTGTTTTACTTACGTATAGATAATAGGGACCAGTAGTAACAACAACAAAACTAGAAACCTTAAATCCCAGGTGTTTGGAAATTCACCGGAGGTGTTTGATGATCCATCGGAGGTGTTTGGAGATACACTGTTTGATGATCCATCGGAGGTGTTTGGAGATACACTCGAGGTGAGTGCGCTTGTGGAGTATAATTTGTAACTACTTTTATTTTGATAGGTGCTAACTAGCATCACCGTTACGTTGTAAAAAGTTCGAGTCGTTAAAAACATGGCTGAATCTTGTTTGCAGTTGCTTGAAACGTTACCGCTTTGTCCTATTACAAATTGTTTTGCCGTTGTAAAATTGCTGCACTCGTAAATCACTCTAAACACAGAAAGACTTATGCCGAAATTCCTCTCAAAGCTTTGTAGCTCTGGTGGATTAGAATCATAGTGCGAACTGTTATCTGACACTAACAAAAATAGTTTATAAGTGTTCCAACTTTTAAAATTTTTGATTGTGCAGACTTGTAGTGTGATTGTGTTGGTTGAAACGTTAACAACTGTTGGATCTGTTTCAAGTAAGGGAATTTCAGGAGGACTCATCTCCGTGATATTCACTTCTTTGCCGTCTAAACCGTTGTAAGCGTGAACCAAGATTTTATATTTTGTTGAACTTAGAATACTTTGAGATTTTACCTGCAAACAAAGTAGAAGATGCGTTAAGAAATGTGGTTTAAAATTATTAATTTGGCCACTTACAATTTTTTGATATGTAGATTTATAGTGACCTCCGAAAATGTCTAAAGTTGTATCAATTTTTCCATTTTCGAATGAAGACCAAGGAAGCATCTTTATCTTGAAGTATTGTATGTCGCCGTTCGCTACAACTGGATGTTTCCATCTTATGTCAAGATCATTTTCTAAAGTCCACTTGACCATAACGTCAAGAGGTTTCTCTGAAGGTTCTGTAATGTGGATGCCGCAATGTTAGTATTGTCGAGTTACAAAATTTATTTAAATTTGGCCATTGTAAGGCACCGCACCGTGTTCACAGTCTGACAATTACTTAAAATTGTTGCTTTAATCCTTTGATGAATATTTACCAATTTTGGTTATCGCCTTAACAAGTGAAGTTTGTCCGAAATTGTCCGGTTCCTTGTTTTTCGCACTCAACTACAAGAATACAAGTAAAGCGAAAAGAAAATGAACGATGACTTACTTGAACAGAATAATTCATATTTTCTACCAAATTTTCCAAAGTGTAGCACTGGTACTCGGGCCACAAAAAACAAGACGAGTTGGTGACATTAATATTTTTGTCTGGCTCAAACAATTTTATTTGATACAATTTTAAAATTCCAGTCGGAGGATTCGGTGGCCGCCATCGAACAGAAATCGAGTGTGTATTTTTTGAATAAACCGACAAATTATTAACACAATAAGGAGCTTCAGTTTTAGTTTCAAAGTTGCCATATGTACTAAATTTACTGGAAGGTTGTCTGTGAAATCCAAGTTTTAGCTGATAATTTGTGAACGGGGCAAGACCACTTAATGTGAGCGTTTTATGTTGAGGATATGTGAAGGAATTCGATACACTTTGGTGTTTACACCAGTCCGTTAAACATATCGCAGTTGTTACAACTTGTAGTGGGCCCCCTAGGTTGCTACAGGATACGCCCGAAAACTCGATTTCCACCGAGCGACTATTCGTTTTTTTTAAAGATGCTTTTGGTATTTCTTGATCACGAATTGTGGCTGAAATTCTATCGTAACTATAAACTCAAACGAATCTTTATTAAATTTGTTACCTGACTGCGGGGTATTTTGTTCTACCGTTTCTTCTAGTCCCGATAATTTTGTATTTCTGGCTTTAACAGAAATGG